ACCCCCGGCCGCCCGCCTCACCCTGTCCGGCCCCCTGACCCCTGGCCGCCCGCCTGTCCCTGTCCGGCCCCCTGGCCCCTGGCCGCCCGCCTCACCCTGTCCGGCCCGCTGACCCCCGGTCGCCCACCTCACCCTGTCCGGCCCTCTGACCCCTGGCCGCCCGCCTCACCATGTCCGGCCCGTTGACCCCCGGTCGCCCGCCTGTCGCTGCCCGGTTCGCTGACCCCTGGCCGCCCTCCTACCGCTGTCCGGCCCGCTGACCCCTGGCCGCCCGCCCGTCCCTGGCCGGACCAGCTGACGGTGTGTCGCCACCGCTCTCCAGGATGGCCGACTACAGAGCGGCGACCACATCCTGCAGATCGGCCAGTACAACCTGCGCGGCATGGAGTCCATTCAGGTGAGGCGTGCCACCGACCTTGTGACATGGAGTCCGTCCACACGAGGTTCCGGCCAGTCCTGCCTTCGGGCTGGGTGGTACTGTCAGTGGCTGGGGTCCACGCAGGTGAAGATTACTGCTGATCAGCCATCGGGTCGACCAGTGCTCTCAGTGTGGAGGAGTCCATCCAGGCGGGATGTATGGTTAACCCTGCCTTGGGTCGGACAGTCTTAAGCTGGGTCACGACTTTAACACGCTGGGTCAAGCCAGGTCCGGGCTACGTCAGTGGACTACCGTCTGTCGCCGCCCCCCGGACGTGCCTGGGCCGGCTTCTGGCTTTCCCTGTCCCGCACCTCCGCCGTGCTCCGGTGGGCGTCGTGGGTCCCGACCGGCCGGCCTGCAGAGACACAGGCTGCCGCAGGCTGCCACGGCCAGCTTGTCTGAGTCTGAACCCCTCTCCTCTCGGCGTGTCTTGGACAGGGACTCGCGTCCTGCCAGGTGGATGGCAGGAACGGGGTCAGACTGGCACTGGAGCACGATAAGGTCGTTTGGCCTCCCCGCAGGGGCACCGGCTTCGGCCGGTGTAGGGGACTAGCGCCCCCTCGGGTCCCAGCTCCGGTAAGGGGTGGACAGCGCAAGCTGGTCCTCTCAGGGCGTAGCGACCCTGCCGGTACGTGAGCTCCTGCTCCTTGTCCCGCCCGCTCCCTCCACATTACCCGCACTCCCGCATCCGGCCCTATCACCACCACTCCTCACCCGCATTTTATCGAGGTCGCCGTGCCCCCTCGCCCACGTCCCCGGGTTGATCGGATCCTGGTGGCTGAGGGTCGCGTCGTGCGGGTCAGTCACGGCGCGTCCTAACATTCCACTTTGGCCAGGATATCCGGGGGCGCGGGAGGCCCGTGGGGCCCCCACGGGTCTAGCGGCTTGTCGCTCGCGTCGCGGTTGGGTGCTCCTTGCGGGTTTCCGCTTGGGGCGCCTGGCCGCGCGCAGCGACTTAAGGGGTCAAGGGGCGGCGGCGCTGAACCACGGTCAGGACGGGGAGGGGTCTCCCCGGTTACACCTGGCCGTGTGGGAGGCGTCGTGCGCCCCGTATAGCACCGAGGTAGCCCTGGCGGCACCACCACCAACTGGTGAGTGGGCCGTCCCCCAGTTGGGCTCCGAGGTGGGTGGGGAGCCCCGGTGCCGAAATAAAGAACAACCTTGCATGACATCTACAAACCAAAAAAGCTCCCGCCCCCCGAGAGGGGGACGGACTGCGATGAATTTAGGGTGCAGCGAGGAGTCGGTTCCACCTGCCCCACGCGTTCTTGTCTTTCGGAGTGATGTGAAGAACCTGACATCGCTTTCACCGTTTCAGCACCGAAACGGATGCGACAGGTTGGGAAAAGTCACCCGCTGTGACAAGCTGAGGGACGGCGCGATCGAAGTGGAGTTCGCAAACGGCACCGATGCGACTCGAGCTTTGACTGTAACTGAATTTGTATATGCCGCGAGAACCGAGGGTGCAAAGCGAGACGTGAGCGTGCCAGTCACGGTCACACCGCACCACACCAAAAATTTATCAAAAGGTATCATAAACTGCTATGACCTTCGTGACGTCAGCGAGGAAGAAGTCATCGAAGAGTTGGGAATTTCCGGGGTCACGGCAGCACGTAGGATCACGACCAGGAGGGGTGATGACCAAATCCCTACAAACTACATTATACTGACATTCAACCGGCCTGATTTACCGTCTGATATCCGCATTGGCTACGCAGTTGTCAAAGTCAGGGTCTTCGTTCCGAATCCGATGCGATGTTTTCAATGCCAGCGCTTTGGTCATACAAAACCACACTGCCGCAATCGAGCTGTCTGTGGGAAGTGTGCATCTTCCGAGCATTCGGGAGACCAGTGTACCTCTGCGCAGCCCTGGTGCGTGAACTGTGGCACGGGGCAGGTACCGCACACAGCTTTCGATCGAAGTTGTCCAGCCTTCATGAAGGAAAAGGAAATTAATATCACTCAAAACTTCAAAGAACATTTCTTTCCGCGAGGCGCGTGAACAGTATAAGGCTAATCACCCCAAAGTATCTTATGCCGAAAAATCCAAAACCTCTGTACCACAGTCCACCAGCATCAATCACATGTCAGCGGTCCAACTCATCACGCTCCTGCGATCCTTCGGTTTGTCTGTGGTGCCGGCGGGGTTGGCGACCCCCGCCCAGTCGGATCCTCCTGGTCCTTCAGTTGCGTCCTGCTCTACCAACGCTGTGCCGCCGGACCTTCATGTGTCGTCGGGGTCGCAGGCGGGGGAGGAGGAGGGGTGGACGGTGGTCAAGCGCGGCCATGGTACGCAGGCTCGGCCTTCCTCGCCGTCTGTCACTCCGCTGCCCTCGTCGCCTCCGGCGACGCTGGCGAGTGTGTGTGGACGAGCAGCGGAAACGATGGAACGGCATGAGGCGGACAGGCGCGCCCGCGACGCCAAGCGGGCCCGCCTGGCGGAGTTGGAGAGGGCTTAGGCGGCCAATTGTTTGTCCGTTGCAAGCAAGGAGCCCACCCCTCGCAGTGGCACACCATCGCCGAGAAGGCCAGTGGAGGCCCCCGCTGACCCCCAGACGCCCGGTAGAGGCCCGCCGATGGGCCCTCCCCCGCCGCCACCCCGGACCGGGTACGCTGGCGTCAAGCGTGCCCCGGCCGGTCCCCCGTCTCCATCTGACGGCGGGAGCCCCAGAACTCGTCCCAGAGTAGGGCACCTTCCTGCAGATTCTAACCGTGGTTCTCAGTCAGAAAAGTCTGCTTCTGCAACTGGCGCAGCCCAGTTCTTTTAGGACGTGTCCGGTTTTAGTATGTGACCTCCAGCCGCCTTTTTAACACTCCCCCTTTACAGGCCCATTTTACAGTGGAACTGTAGAGGAATAAGGGCGAATGCCCTCGACCTCCAGGCTGTCATCAGCAAGCACTGTCCTGCAGCCGTAGCGCTGCAGGAGACCAAGCTTGCTTCTAGTCACCACTGCACGCCGAAGGGATACGCCCTGTTTCGCAATGATGTGTTAACCGACGGTATCGCACATGGCGGTGTCCTTCTTGCGGTCCACCACAGCGTGCCAGCCAGGAGGTTTAACCTGCGGTCTACGCTACAGGCTGTAGCCGCACGCCTACATTTTAATCACCGCCACATCACGGTGGGTTCTTTATATCTTCCACCTGGCGTCGGTTTTCCATTGGAAGACATGAGACGTTTAGTGCATGAGTTGCCTTCACCATGTCTTTTTTTAGGCGACTTCAACGCTCATCACACCGCGTTGGGGCTGTGATAGCACGAACACGCGCGGAAGGATGTGCGAACATTTTATCCGTGACTCGTCACTGTGTATTTTAAACACAAGGACTCGTACTCACTTTACACTGCCGTCTGGTCAGACTTCCGCGCTTGACCTGAGTCTTTCTAGTCCCGAGCTGGTGGAGAGCCTCGAGTGGTCTGTGGCAGATGATCCAATGGGCAGCGATCACTTCCCAGTGTGGCTTCGATTCCAAATAAGAGGAACGTTTGGTGTAAGACCACGACGTTGGAATTTAAAAAAGGCTGACTGGAGTGAGTTTGAGGCTCGACTGGAGACATCATGTCAGACCGGAGGTGTGAGGGTGGCACCCTCTATTGAGGATTTTACTCACAGACTTCTAGATTGCGCTGGCGATTACATCCCGCGCACTTCTGGATTTCCTCGTCGCACTCCTGTGCCGTGGTGGACGGAGAAGTGTCGTGACGCAATGCGCGCACGCAAACGTGCTTTCCGAGCTTTTGACGCCAGAAGTAGCTTGGAGAATTTCGTAGCCTTTAAGAAAGCCAGGGCTTTCGCCCGCCGCACGATAAAAGAAGTGAAACGTGAATCCTGGCGTATGTATATAAGCACGCTCAACCGATTCACACCAACTTCGCAGGTTTGGGCTCGGATCAAACGAATCTCTGGGCAGTTTTCATCCGTGCCACTTCCTGTGTTACATGTTAACGGCCAGGTGGTGACTCATCCGTTGGATGTGGCTAACGGGATCGCCCGAGCACTCTCCCACCGTAGCGAAGGTGCAAACATGAGCTCACAGTTTTTACGGCAAAGAGCACAATCCGAAAAAATTGTAGTGAACTTTTCTACAAGGCAACCACAGGCGTACAATGAGCCCTTCACTTTAGTGGAGTTGGAGTCGGCAATTGGAAAACTTCGTAGTGTATCGGAAGGTCCTGATGACATCCACAATGAGGTGCTCCGACATCTGCCACCGTGTGCACGTCGTGCACTATTGGCGGCCTTCAATAGGGTGTGGTCAAGAGGTGAGTTCCCTCCGGCCTGGCGGGAAGCCGTCGTGGTGCCTATCCTAAAACAGGGAAAGAGTGGGCTGGACGCTCTTCATTACCGACCCATTTCACTGACGTCATCACTGTCCAAGCTCATGGAAAAGATGGTAAACGTGCGACTCACTTGGTTTTTAGAGAACAACGATGTTTTTAGTAACTCGCAGTGCGGATTTAGGAAAAACCGTAGTGCGGTGGACCATCTTTTAACACTGGACACCACGGTTCGCAAGTCTTTTCAAGAAAAAGCGCATATGGGGACAGTATTCTTCGACATTGAAGCCGCCTATGACACCACATGGCGCCATGTTATTGTTCAAAAGCTTTTTAAATATGGTATACGTGGCCATATGGGTACTTTTCTCCAAAGGTTTTTAGCCAAACGATACTTCCGTGATCGGGTCGGCAACGTCCTCTCCGATAGGTACAAACAAATAAACGGCGTGCCCCAGGGCGGCGTGTTAAGTGTAGCACTGTTCGCAGTTATGATAAATGACATTTGTGATGTGCTCCCACAGTCGGTAGGACGTGCCCTTTTTGTTGACGATTTTACTATTTGGACCAGTGCAGCGAGAGCACCAGCGATGGAGCGGCGTCTCCAGCTGGCTGTGGACCGCGTTGAAAGATGGGGTGACATGAACGGGTTTCGTTTTTCAGGCGACAAGACCGTTGCGATGCATTTTTGTCGTCGCCAGCGATGTGATGGTCTGAGCATCCGTCTATATGGTCGCCCTATTCCAGATAAGGCCGTGGCCAGGTATCTCGGGATACACTTTGACCGCCGCCTTACATATAACGCACATCTTAAAATGTTACGCGATCGATGCTTTAAATCTCTCAACATGCTAAAGTGTGTGTCTCGCACATCATATGGGGCAGACAGAAGCACGCTTATGCTTTTATATCGTTCCCTCGTCCGCTCCAAACTGGATTATGCATGCTTTGTTTATGATGGCGCGTCTGAATCTAGCAAGCGTGTTCTTGATACCGTCCACCATACTGCCATTCGCATTGCTACTGGAGCGTTTCGCACATCACCTTCCGTCAGCCTTTTAACGGAGGCACACGAACCACCACTTTCGACGAGGAGGAAAATGCTTGGCATGCGTTATGCCTTGAAGCTGCGGCAGTTCCCACTTCACCCGACATATTCTGCAATATTTTCGCGGTTTGCGGTAAGTTCTCTTCGTCATGGGCCGCGGCAGCACGCTTTAACTTTTGGTTCCCGAATGAGAGCGTTATTGCTTGGGAGCGGAATTCCTGTTCGGGGTGTAAGGCAAGTAAGCCACCTGGCTTCTCCTCCTTGGCAAATGACCACACCCTTCATTGACACCTCGCTTACGGAAATTAGGAAAAAAGACGTCACACCACACCTATTGAGATCCAGGGCAGTTGAGCTTTTGGCGTGTTACGAAGGATATACCCTGACATACACAGACGGATCCAAAACCTCGGATGGCGTGGGTTGTGCTTTCGTTAGCGGTTCCGTCACTCGATCGTTCTCGTTACCGGCCCACTCGTCAGTTTTTACGGCGGAATTAGTTGCAATCACCAAGGCAATATGTTTCATAGAAGTGGGTGAAGAATCTTCACACGCCATTTTTACAGATTCACTGAGCAGTGTCTCTGCACTGAAGTCTTTTTATCCACCATGTCCCCTTTTACAGGACATTTTATCACGCCTGACACAATTGAATCGGGTTGGAAAGAGGGTTGCGTTGTGCTGGTTCCCTAGTCACGTCGGTATCGTGGGCAACGAACTGGCTGATGCCGCTGCTAAGCGTGCAGCGGTAGCACCATATACCCGGTTTTTGCCTATCCCTGCCAGAGATTTTTGCCCGGCAGTCAAGGCCTTCCTGATAAGCAAATTGCAGCGTTGTTGGGACCAGGTGGGTGGCAATAAGCTCAGGGCAATAAAGACAGAGTTGGTCTTGTGGTCGTCATGCTCTCGCAGTGTGCGGTGGGAAGAGGTGGTTTTATGCAGACTGCGCATTGGGCATACTTATGCCACCCATGGCCATCTGTTGCATGGAGCCGACAGACCCCTATGCCAGCGGTGTGGTGCCATCCTCACTGTCCATCATGTCATTATATCATGTCCGTGCCTCATCGAAGAACGACGACGTCACTTTGGTTCACAGGCTTCGACCCTGACGATTAACGATGTGCTTGATGACAGTTCCTCCTTTCTTGATCCCAAACAGCTCTTTTGGTTTTTAAAATATATTGATTTTCAAGTCATTCTCACACCGTACTAATTAAGTAACAGCATAGTTATGGGCGCAAAATGACCACTGCAGTCGACGCGCCCGAAAACTCCAATGAACAACAAAAAAGGTCGTTTGGCCTTAGTGCATGGGTGGCCGTGCTTACGTGTGTAGGTACATAAGTTAAGTGATCATCTTTGTATGCAAACGATAAGTGACTACGCAATAAGGCCTAGGTGTGCTCGTTTCCAAGCTAGGTGTGAGTTCGGCGGTTCGTTTTCAGGTGTGCAGTAAGACGACGCGCATTTATTTGCTGTCGCTGGAATCCGTCAGATCTCGCCCTGTCGCTGGAATCCGTCAGATGTGTCGCATTGTCTCACTTATTACGGGCGGCATATTTCGGGCGCTGCGGCCGGGATAATGACGTCTTCCGCTGCGGTCAGCATGACAAACACGCAGTGCGCACGTGCGCCGGCGGGCTGATACACTCCCGCGGGAAATACAGGCACTCGTGTTCCGAACAGGACACGATACGCGCCCCATCGATGGCTGATCATGTGGACATTGGTTATCGCAACACGCTGTCTCGTGACGAAGTGTGGCATCGATCCGAGGGTATTGTTGACGCACCTGGAATCATTTTGCAAACAAAGCATGCTGTGACTGTTGTACATCAAGTGTGTGCAGAAGAGGGAATATGGTAGTGATGGCGTGGGTTGAGTCATGAATTTTTGAAATAATTTATTTCATTTATCTGTTAATTTATTTATTTAATTGATTATTTACTCGGTCATGTTTGTAACTTAAGTCGGGAATTTGCAACGGTAGGGGTCCACGCAACCGCCGCCCACTTGAGCCAGGACTCGCCGTCAGGCTTTTGATGATTAATCACGAAAGGTCACTTCGTATACGAGAAGACGTTCGATGACATTTACCAAATTGGGCCCGTGTGCTGAACGACTGGACATTGAGCACGACCTTATCGAGAACTTTATCGTGGCGCAAGAAATTGGTTCGTTTATTTTGACTCGGGCTTTCGCAGAACTTCGCGGGCAAGGTTCAGTGACCTATGCTCACGCTGTGACCTACCATGATGACTGCAAGGACTCTTAACCAGTACCTTCCGGTACATTAAAGGTCGCGTACTTCCGGCAAAATAACTCACCGAACAGTCATTGTTCATATCGGCCGTCGCTGGGTGGCCGTTTGGCTGGCGCCGGACGCAGCGCGCCACAGATGGGCGTCGTCTGACATCGCAATGCCATCAGCGGGGATCACGCCGTTCTCCGCTGGCGGACGTCCCCCGCGGGGACCCCCTGATCTCCCTGACCTGATCGGCGGTGTGCTCCGTTGGTGTGATGTTCCCCGGAGGGACTCCGTGACGCCTGACGCTGTCCGGGTAAAACGCCGCGCCGTTGCGGCGCTGTGCAGCGACGCTGTGATGCTGTGATGCTGTGCCATGCATGACGGCTCGATGCGAGGAGGCGCGGGACGTACGCTGAGCGCATGGCGGTGCGTGGAGACGCGGGCGGCTTCTTTACCTCCGCATGAACGCCGTCGAGTCGATACGTGCCCGCGCGCCGAGCGGCCGCGTCCCGCCGCCGCCACCGCCGTGTGCCGCGTCTGCGTGTTTGCACGGGGCAGCCCCGCGCCGCTCGTCGCCGGCGTGTCGGCGCTGACTCGGCGCGCCGTCCCTCCGCCAGGTGGCGCAGGTGCTGCGCACCGCCGGCACGCAGGTGCGGCTGATCGTGGCGCGGCCCGTGGAGCCGAGCAGCCCCGACTTCCAGGTGGACGTGAGTCGGGCACCGGGTTTGGGCCCGCGGGGAGGTATGGGTCACACTCTGCGCGAGCATGGGAACGGGAGTTAGACTACAGCCCCGCGAGGAGAGCAAAGGTGCAGTCGTGTCCCAGCCAGGTGCGCACGAATCAAACCATGCCGTTCTCGTGGGCGGGTTTGGGACTCTTTCCCCAGGGCAGGGATGCCAGTCTGACCGTGGGCTGGCCGGCTGTCGCACGTCCGACGCTGTCCCAGTAAGGGGCGCCCCAGCCTCCACCGCGGTTCAGCGCGGTGCTCCTGGCCTGCTCGCGGACCAGCCGCCGACTCTGGTGGGTCGTCATACGTGCACGTGCCGACTCCAAGTGCTGTGCCGGTCGTTCACGAGCGCGGCTCGGGCGCCGTCTGGCCGCCTGGCCGTGAGCTGAGGCCCCCCGGCGGCGGCGGCGGCAGCGCCCGACCGTCGCCGCCGCCGGACGCGTCACCGACTGTCTGACGGTGGTGTTTGTGGGCGGCGGCAGAGCTCGGTGATAACGCGTGCGCCCATCGTGCCCACCCGGCTGCTGGCCGACCCGGACGAGCTGGACCATCAGCTGCAGGCGCTGCAGGTGAGACGGAGCGGGACGCACGCAGCGTGTCGACTTCGCAGCGCTCGTGCCTCGCGGCGCCGTACGCCGCGTGACCTACGTCGTCGTGTCAAAGCCCCCCCCCCCCCCCCCAGCTCGCTTGCCTCGCAGCCTGTCGCGTCGTCTACGTCCGTTTCTGTACCGTACTTTATGTGCATGCTGACTCAACTGCGCCTACTTCTCGCTTGTGTCTCGGGTTTTTCACACACACCTAACCACCTCGCCCGCTCCTCCACTCACCGCCCGGGATTTTCACGCGTTGTGTTGTGTGCGGCTGGTCGAGTGCCGTTCAGCTGAAAGTATTCGGCCGGCCAAACATGGCAGAGCGCCCCCGGCTGCGCACTCGCTCGGCGCTGAGTCGCCGTGCGAAGCGCCGTGCGTGGCCGACAAGAGCCGTGTGTGTGGTGTTACGAGTCTGACGACTACATTTCAGCTCCCGGCTGAGCGTGGTGCGGCGTGCCAGGGGCCGTCGCTGTGCGTGCAAGCCTGCTGTGTACGTTCAGGTGTGGCCCGCTTGGCGTCTGTTGCGTCGAGCGGCCGCCGTCTGTGGCGCGCTCGCCGCGGCCCGGTGCGCGCCGCGGCGCCAGCTGTCGCCCGCGGCCGCGCCCGTCGCGCTGACACCAGCCGCGCGCCGGCAGAACGGTTTCCCGGAGCCGTACATCCGCGACTCGGCCGTCGACGAGAACAACCTGATCAACGGCCAGCTGGCGGCCGAGTACGAGCTGCGCGAGCCGGCGCTGGCCGACCCGGCCGTGCTGGACGAGCTGCAGAGCCAGGTGAGATCGCCGCCCCCGTCCCCGGCCCGGCTGGGATGTCAGGCCCTGGGTGTCCGTGCGTGGTGGGATCGGTGTGGAGGCAGCGCTCTCCGGAGCGCAAACACAGCACAATGTGATACTGCACGACAATCTCTCGATTGGTCCTATTTCCCGGGGAATAGGAGGTCAGTAGCATTGCGTTCGTGCGGCACTTCGGAAACCATGTGTAGCATAGTTCGCACTCCTGTCATCACGGCCAGATTCAGTCTCGGTCATCGACGGCCACGCTGCCGAATACCAATCGTTGCGCGCGGGCGCCGCCGCCGCTGACCGATGTCCGCTGGCTGCGCCTGGCCCGCCTCTCCACATAGGGGGGGGGGGGGGGGGGAGGCTGAACGTGGGCTCCGGGGGGCGGTCGCAGCCATGCCCGCTCGGTGCTGTCCGGTGCGGTACGGAGGGGTCTTCGGAACAGCACGGGCGTAGCCGTGCCGCCGCCCGTCCGTCGGCCTGCGTGCGGTTCTGCCCGCCTGCCTGCCTGTGTCGTCTAATCAGGCGACTGGATAGCGATCGCTGAGGGATCATGTTGACAGACGCGCCATCGATCGAGCCTTGCTACTCACGCTCGCGTAGACACCGCTAGCCGCCGAGTAAGCTTTGCGGTTGGGATATGAGTGGGTCGCTTCCTGGACGTCACTACTTTGCCGCAGTAATGAATGAACGACGCGCTGTGGGTCGTTTGTGGGCGCGGTATTTTTCCTTCAGCTAAGATGTCAGTGGAAACATACTTCGCTATGCCGTTTTCCCCCTATATAAGCTGTGGTCATCAAATAGTCAAGATATAGAATGCTTCCACCCTTAGTTCGTGGGAGAGAAGAAACTAGATTGCCTTATTCCGTTAACAAACATAGTCTTTCGTACTCGGTGCCATTATCAGGGAGATGTAGGTTGACTGTTGTGAGCAAGTCACGATATTTACGGTCACATTAACACACGTCCATGGATAAGTTGGATACGTTAATGATCATTCACAAGCGCAGCCGCCAACACACCTGCCATCCAACGCTTACCATCTACCATACAACGCCTCGTCGTGCCGCATGGCGCAGCTAAGAGTTGTGTGGTGTGCTGCGTTCAATGTGCAGAGCTCTTTCGTCCCTCCATCGCATGTGTGGTCTTGGCGGCCCAAATACGCGATGTTTCTGTGATTCGTCCCGCCAAAACGCTGTACGTGTCTCGGCGACGTCTCCGAGGTGCTGGAGTGGAACGAGGCATGCTGCTTAGAAATGCTCTAAAAGGTGGTTTTATTTCTTGTTTCCTACGTGATCGATGAGAGGGTGTGGGTTCTCGGACGGGCCCGGGCGCTGCACGAACGAGTCCTCCAGCTCGCCTGTCGTGCATCACTAACCGCTACCGGGCTGGGGTCTTGTTCTCCGCTCACCCGCAGAGGAGCTGCGCTCTCGTAATGACGTGCGCTATGAAGCGGCCTAGCTGATGAGAGCACACCTTTTGGGGCACTGTGGCTCCCCGACATTGTTGACGGGCCGTCTCGCGTCAAACTCGGACACTCTGTATGCGGCACGTGGCGGGCGGCGTATCGGATTCAGGCCAATCTCATCTGGCGACGACGGCTTAATTTCTACCGGAGTTGCATCTGGTCAGATTGGTCCGTACAACGCACCCGGTGTAACTGTTCGAATGGAGCGGTCATGACGCCCACTGGCAGCTATTGGATGCCTCCGGCTGGCTGGGCTTATAAGCTAGCCGACACTAAGCGGTATGCTGCAGATGGCTTGCAGATGGCTTCGTCTCGCCGCTCATGACCGCAAATGCCTTGGATGGAAGAAGGTGGTTTGGGACATGGCTTTGGCTAGGACACGGTATCCCTGCATTTTGTTCGCGATATTGCATAACACGGGCGACAACTTCTTGCCCCGAGACGTTTAAACCCCGCTCTGTTAGAAGTAGATGAGGGTATCATTGCCCCCCACCCCCCACCCCCCCATCAGCATACAGGTTTCTACGAATAGAGGTTTTGTCTGTTGCCGCTTTTGTCTGCTGTGGATCACACTCTACGTGCCAGACGGGATCTACCAAGCCTTTTTGTGTTCTCAGTTTCTCAGTTTGTTGCCTTTAAGTGTTTGACCTCTTCCCAGGTTGTCAGACAGTCATACGTCAAATACTTGACCAGCGCCTCTGTCCACAGGCAAACTTTTCTTCCGCGTACGTGCTGACTGCTGACATTTTCCTCCCTGCACGTGGTGTTCATTCGGTGACAGTCGCCTCGGTGCGGCGTCGCCGCCAGCCGCCGGTTCTCGTCCCCGCCTGCCCGCCCACATCCTCGCGCTGACGGCCGCCTCTCCGCGCTGCAGTACGCGGCGGCGGCCGGCCTGTCGACGGCGCCGGGCGCCGTCAGCGGCCCGCCGCCGCCGCCGCTCTCCGACACCGAGACGTGCGAGGTGGAGCTGGTCAAGGACGCCGCCGGCCTGGGCGTCACCATCGCCGGCTACGTCTGCGAGCGCGAGGAGCTCAGCGGCATCTTCATCAAGTCGGTGAACCCGGGCAGCGCGGCCGACCTCAGCGGCCGCATCGCCATCAACGACCAGATCATCGAGGTGCGAGGCGGCGGCGCGGCCGGCGGTCCGCGGCGACGGCGGGGCATGTGGGTGGGACGAGAGACGGGTCATTGGTAGGGAAGGCGATGCTGGGACGGCGGGATCAGCCGGTCAGTGGTGAGAGAGGCGGGGCTGTGGCGCCGTGTTCGCGACAGCGCCGCCGTGTAAGCGTTGCGTCGCCTTCAGATGGCGCGGTTCGGGCGGTTTAAGCGCATCTTCAGAGGCGTTACTGGACAGTTGTCGGCGGCCATGAAGCCGCCAGATTCCCCGTCGTTTCGCGGATTCGCTTCACCCTGAGTGACATTCATAGCAATCGCTCATGGCCTTCAGTGCAATCGCCGAAGCTGTGAAGTAGTAAAGTGGGGAAGGGGAGAGGAATTGCCGCACATTCCTCGAGCGCATAATGCGCGTGGGTGTTTGGGCTTGACGCGCCCACCTGTGGAGCGTGTCTGGTGAGCCCGAGCGTCGCCTGATCACCGGTGACCTCTCGACCCCGGCAGGTGGACGGCACGCCGCTACACGGCTACACCAATCACCAGGCCGTCGAGCTGCTGAAGAGCACCGGGCAGGTCAGATAACCCGGCGGCGCTCCTGTTCGATGCTGTGTGGGTGTTCGCCACTGAACCACTGCTGAGGTTATGCTCTACCGCGGTTGATCGGCTCTCTGGAGGCTTGCCTTCTGCTCGCGCCGGCAGCCAGCTGTCTGGGTCTCATAATCCCACGACTGTCTGTTTTCGGCTCCTGCGGTCGGGGGCTGCTCAATATCTTTATAGCCCCTTCGCCCGGCGAGTCTGCGAGGTTCCCGCGGTGCTGCCACCCGCCTTGGTTCGGTTCGTTTGGTCCTCCTGACCACGTGTGTCCAGCTGCTCAGCTCACTGCTGTGAGCTCCGCCCGGCTCTCGCGCTGTCACCGCCAGGCTGTGACCAGCTCGTCCGCTGTCGCTGACTGGCCGCGTTGTAGCTGCCTCCGATCCCACTCACCAGCTGCGGGTCCCACTCAGCTCTGCCCAGTTGTTTCGCTCCCACCGACATTCGCTGTCCGCCTGGCCGGCTCTGCTGAGCTCCTGCTCCGCCGCCGCTGACCGCTGCTGCCCTCCAGGTGGTGCGTCTCAAACTGGCCCGCTACATCAGCGGCCCTAAGTACGACCAGCTGCAGATGGCGATCGCGCGGGACGGCGCGCCGCCGGCCTCAACCGAGTCGAGCTCGCGCACCTCCTCCCAGCCGCACCAGGTGCGTGTCGCCGCCCGGCCGGCGGCGGCGGCCGGCGCCGCCACCGCCACCGCCACCGCCACCGCCGCCTTGTTACCGGCTCGGCGGCTGGTCGAACGAAGCCAATCGTCTGAAAGCGAGGCGTGTGGGGGACGCGGTGGGCCGCGCTGGCCGGCGGCGGGGGCGTCCGGTCGGCATGGGCACACGCGGCCCGCCGCCGGCGCCGCCTGTCGCTCACCGGTCGGCCTGGCGAGCAGTCGGCCAGGACGCCGGTCCGCGCGACGCCCGGGTGCGTTCCGGTGCCGGACCGGCGCGATCTCGTCGCCCGTCTGCCGGCGTCGGCCGCTCGTGTGCGAGGGTGGGCGCCGGGCGGCGGCGACGAAGGCAACGTGTCGCGCGTTTGCGGCGAGCGGGCTCTCCGGCGAGCAGGAGTGACTGGACGGACCGAGCCAGCTGCCAGAGCGCGTGAGCTCCGTTCGGGGCGGCCCCGGCCCGTCGCGTGCTCGCGTGACGCCCGTCGCCGTCGACAGGACCTGGTGAGCGGCTCGTCGGCGTCGACGCAGCCGGTCGGCGGCGCCCCGCTCTCAATGGAGCTGGCCGCGGCGGCCGAGCAGCAGCCGGCCGGCGGCGCCGCCTTCCCCGGCAGCAACGCCAGCTACTCAGAGGCCATCGACAAACAGGTACGGCCCTGCGGCCGCCGACGTAGGCACGCGTTCTGACATGGGGACACGTGTGGACACGGGCATGCGTGTAATCTCAACGTGACGCCGTTTGGTGTGAGCCGTCGACTTCGACCAGCCCTGTAAACCCGCCCCGGGGCGATCGCGTCCGTGTCGTACCGGCCCACCGACGTGATGTGTGCGCCGTTGGGGGCTGTTTCGCGAGCGTTGATGGTCGGTGCGCGGCAGGTTCTGCTGGAGGACCTGGAGAAGCTGATCGACGCCGACTATCACGGCGAGATCAAGCCCGAGGTGGAGACGGCGATTCAGCTCAAGTGGGGGAAGATTCTGGGCGACGAGTACGACATCGTGGTGAGTGCCCGCGTACCGAGCAAGGCTTTCCCACCATGGCTTGCTCCTACGTGATAGGTTTTATGTCGCCGATGCTGGCTTTGTCGCTGTGGAAATTAAAGCAGCAGAGCGAGCGATGCCGTGCGTGCTTTAGAACGGAACCGTCGGGAAGCATTTGAACTGCTTTGTCATGGAGTGCGTGAAAGCAGAAAGCAGAAAAAAAGCAGTTAACGTAAGGTTCGAGGTGGTAGTGAACCCGTCGAGGCGTGGATGCCACCCTCGCTGGTGCGGATGACCGGGGAAACACCGTAGTCACGCCGTCGACGCTCGCCGTGCCGTACGGGCGAGCGCGAGCTGTGCGTCACTGTCCGTCGCGCCCGCCAGGTGGCGCAGATCAGCAAGTTCCAGCCGGGCGGCGGGCTGGGCGTCAGCCTGGAGGGCACCGTGGACGTGGAGGACGGGCGCGAGGTGCGGCCGCACCACTACATCCGCTCCATCCTGGCCGACGGCCCGGTCGGCATCAACGGCCGGCTGCAGAGCGGCGACGAGCTGCTGGAGGTGAGGAGCACCCAGCGTCGCCCTCTGCCCTGCCACCGCCCCTCCGCTCTGCCACCGCCCCTCCGCTCTGCCACCGCCCCTCCGCTCTGCCATCGCCCCTCTGCCCCGCCCCTTCCCCCGCCCTGCCACCGCCCCTCCGCTCTGCCACCCGCCCCTCCGCTCTGCCACCGCCTCTCCGCTCTGCCACCGCCCCTCCGCTCTGTCATCGCTCCTCTGCCCCGCCCCTTCCCCCGCCCTGCCACCGCCCCTCCGCTCTGCCATCGCCCCCTTCGCTCTGCCACCACCCCTCCACCGTGCCAACGCCCCTACGCTCTGCCATCGCCCCTCCGCACTGTTACCTCCCCTCCCCTCCGCGCCGGCCGCCGACAAAGCTGGCCACCCTCGACCGTTGGACCTCTGTAGCCACCCTGGCCTGTGCTCATTGGCCAGATGAATCCGTCCTGAGAGTGTCCGAGACGCTGCAACTGTACGACACAATGACGCCGTATCCTGATGCCGCTGGCGTTCGCTCGTGGCGTTTGTGACGCTGCGGCGCGTCGCTGGCGACCGGCCTCTAACCGGGCGTCTGTCCGGTGCTGCCGGCATGTTGCATCCTGGCCGTCGCGTCGTCCCAGTCGTCTGTTTCTGTTCGTCTGTTCTGTTTGGCGCCGTGGGTTCAGATGCCGCCGTGCGCCGTGTCGCCAGGTGAACGGCAAGCGGCTGCTCGGCCTCAACCACATGGAGGTGGTGAACATCCTGAAGGAGCTGCCGGTGGACGTGCGCATGGCGTGTGCCCGCCGCTCGGGCCACCCGCCGCTGCACGGCTTCGACGTGCCGTCGGCGCACGGCCGCGCCCAGTTCGCCGCCCGCGTGAGTGGTCGGCAGGCGCGGCGCGGCGGAGCTGGGGGAATGGACCGCGCGCGCTGTTGGGCGTGGCTGGTGCTGGTTCGGGGGAGGAGGTGATGTAGGATACAGTTAGGCGCCCGAGCGAGCGCGGGGCGCCAGCACAGGGCGAGCACCGGTGTGCCAAGCTGTCGCCTGCGGAAAAGGATGTCTGGTTTTGCGTTATCTAAATGGCCTCAGCGGTGCACGTGCTGTGATCCGTCCAGAATAGTACACAGTATGACATTTTGGTGCCAGAGGCGTAGTTTGGTGCCTGAGTTGACACGGAGGCCGGGTGGTGGTGGTGATCCGGCGAGCGCTCACCTGCGGGCTGATGCCGATAGTTCCAAGTTGTGTGATTACGTCTGAGAGACGGTGGGTTCGAGACGCGCCGGTGTCATTGTTTTGACTTCCCTTCCCACCGTGGCGCCAATAACGGGGCCCCGCGGCTGTAACCGTCGCACACAAGTCGCCGCAAGCCCGGTCAGTCAGCGCGTTGGCCTCCTCCCCAGAGCCTCCTGAGCGGCTCTCTGGGCCAGCTGTTCCCGTCGGACCGGCTGGTGAAGGCGAAGTCGGACGGCTCGCTGGCGTCCAGCGGCGCCACCACCTCCGCCACCGACACGAGCATGTCGCGGCTGCGCTCGCGCAGCATGGAGCCGCTCTCGGGGCTGGCCATGTGGTCCAGCGAGCCGCAGGTGTTCACGCTGGAGAAGGGCGAGCGCGGCCTGGGCTTCTCCATACTCGACTACCAGGTGCGGCTCGGCGGCGTCCGGCCGTTTGGAGCTCGGGCCTGTGCTTCCGGCCCCATTACCGGCTCACGGCGGCCACGTCTACCGAGGTTGTTTGGTCGCGGGTTTATGGTTCGGGGCGGGGCGGTTATTACCGGGCGTTGATGTTGGGCGGTTTGCAAATGGGGCGAGGCTGGCTGTGCCGAAGTTGTCATGATATTGGAGCTGTAGTGCCGTTATTGTATTTGCAATGCGGTATTATGCTCATGTCGTGGGTGTCCGCCATTTCCGCAAAGCATACGAACCGGTTATGTACAGCTAGTCCCATCCTGCACTGCCCTAATGTGACCTGACCTGAGCTGGCGTGGCGTGATCCGATCTGACCTGACCTGGCGCCGGAGGACCGATGAACCTGACAAGCTGTGTGACCTGACCTGACCCGACAGGACCCGATGAACCCCACCGACACGGTGATCGTGATTCGGTCGCTTGTGCCGGGCGGCGCCGCCCAGCTGGACGGCCGCCTCATCCCCGGCGACCGCCTGATGTTCGTCAACGACGTACGACTGGAGAACGCCTCGCTGGACCAGGCGGTGCAGGCGCTGAAGGGCGCGCCGCTCGGCGCGGTCCGCATCGGCGTAGCCAAGCCGCTCCCCCTGGCGGCCGACACCAGCAGCAGTCAGGTGAGGAGCGGCCGGCCGGCGCCGCCGCCACGCGCAGCTGAGAAGAGGTGGCTTATCTGGGGAGGGGCGATAGCGGCGTGGTCCGCCCCGCCAGCTGCCGTCGGTTCACGGGTGAAGTTAGGCGTGCCTGGTGAGCCGGGCCGGTGCTCAGGCCTGCTGTTGGATCAGGGCCGCCGGACGCTCCGGACGCCGCCGCCGCCTCTGACGGTCAGCCCCTGCCGCCAGGAGCTGACCGCCTCGTCGCACTCGGAGACCGAGGTGGACCTGGAGGTGGCGGACGTCGAGCGGAGGTCTTCCAGTGGCGACAGCTCGTCCACAGACATCTCCCGGCTGCAGGTGCGCCCCCCCCCCCCCCCCCCCCCCCCGCGACACCGCTCCACGGAAGGCCGGTTGCGGTCCAAGGCGATACGCAGACGCGATGTGTTGTCCGTTCGCACTGACCGGTGTCACGCTGTGCCGCTGTTCAATGTCGAATAGGTATTGTGGGGATCAGGTATACGTGTTTGCTTTTGCGTTTCTGGGCCTTCATTTTTTCATTTGCGAATCATTTTTGGCGTCAGTTCTTCTTTTCGACATCGTGGCACAAGCTTAAATTTGAAGCGCTGTGCCGGAAAGGGCGCCAGGTTTCCCAATGACACGGATGCGGCCGAGGAGGGAAACGGACAGCGGTCTAGCTTCCTTTTCATTTGTGGAGGAACTCCAGCTCCCTTCCCCCCCCCCCCCCCCGTCCCTACAAGTCAACTTTGAGAGAAAAGTCTGTCCAGCCCACCCGCTCTCCCCCATCCCAACTTGTCCAGAAAAGTATGTTAAGGTGGAAGGGAAACTCCTTTTTGTGGATTGTGGGCGTAGGTGAAGTAAGCGTCATTTCCCTACCCACCCCCTCTTCCGACTTACCAGCACCCAAACCACGTCCCTGGTGGCAGGTGCAGCGAGCGCTGATCTGATACCCTGCCGGAGAGTAGGCTTCCCTGTCTCTCGTGGACGCGCTGTCCGGCGCGGTTCGACCATCTGTCAGTCGTATTCGAGCAGACGGATCGGCGAGACCCTGGCGTGAATCGGCCGCTGGGGAGGCGCTCTCGCCTTCGTGCATGATCAGCCTCACTGACGTGACGTGCCGATGCGCCCACCCGCAAGGCTGGCTAGGATGACGCCCGTCGCACTGGGGCGCCAAACATGGGCCTCGGCCGCCTCCGGCACGTGCCGCGAGTAGGCCGTGGTGGGGCGGCGCGCGGCGGCTGGACGGAGCGTCGCCAGAGGGCTCCGCTGACGCGTGCTCTGGCCGGCCGCCAGTGTCTGGAGGGCGAGGAGGCGCTGCTGCCGCCGCTGCCGCCGGCCGACGCCCCGCTTGACCTCACCCTGGACGGCGTGGCCGATATCAGACAGGTCAGGTGGTGACCCCAGGCGACCGCCTGGTGACCGCGGGCGACCCCGACCGCGGGAAAGGCGTCTGCGCTGTCGTATGCCGGGAGGGGTGATGGGTTTGCGGTGTCGTGCGTGTTTGAGGGGGGCGGGGGGAGATGAGCCTGCGGGCTCTGCGTTGCAGCATGTGCACAGCGGTGGTGCTCAGATTTTGAGCGGCGGGTGCCCTCGGTGTGAATGTTCGAAATGCGCGATGAGCTCGCAGTTGGGGCTAATCTGGCGTGATTTCTGATGTAGCATGCTGCACGATGTCTTCGACTGCGATGTTTTGTGTGCATTTACGTGTGCTGTGTGGGCGTAGGTGCGCATTCGCCATAACTTACTGCTGACGACTAACAAGCATCTAAACAGTACTTTACTCACGCGCATGAATTTTGCTTGCCTGACGTGCTTCTTAGTGCTTGCATTGCGCGGCAGCCTGTGTCGGAACTCTGGACGGTTCTTACTACCAGTAACATATCTCATTGGCCTCTCTGGGAGCACCTCATCTTCCCCACGTCACCAGGCACGCGACCTCTGTCGGGCTTTCACGCTGGCTCGTCTGTTTCTAGCTGCTAGCCAGCCTGGAGCTGTCCGAGGACGCCTAGCTGCATGGTGCTAGTGGGCCGGCCGCTGGGGCTGGCTCGCTCGCACGCGCGCGCGCTCACCATGCTCTCAGCGGCCGCCGCGCCTGCCGTTCGGCCTCTGGCAGCCGGCTGCGGCTCTGTGGGGCGTCTCTTTCTGGGCGTGCGCGGCGGTGCGGGCTCAGCAGGGGTGGCGGCGAGGTTTGGTGGGCGGTGCGGGCGCACCGCGGCAAGACGAGCGCGCGCATGCTCTGGCACCCAGCGCATGTGGTGCGTGTTGTCCGCGGGTCGTGCGAATGCCAACGGCGTTGACGCGCTTGGAGCCTGCAGGGACCGGCGGTAGATACAAGATGCTATGCTTTTAGTTATGACTTGTCTAGTCCGGTTGCGGAGAGCTGGGCGGTGCTGGGGTTACTGTTTCTGAGTGATCGTCATGAAAACGGCAAATGACATGCGCATCCATCTAGACACTCGCATGGTTTCTGCCTGCTGCGTATACGCCGTATGTGTGGAGGGCCTTTCAAACTTGAATCGTGAATCGTCAGTCTCGGGCAGACTCCGCCGTCTGGATCACCTGATGGAGCGTTGGAGCGTTCAGATTCGTACACCTACCGATCGGTGCCCTTCCTTTATCGGTCGGTTTCGACCGGCCGTTGAGGCGCGTAGTGATATCCTTTCGCTGTCACTGGCGGGCTGGCTAAAGCGCCAGCACACTTGATAGATTGTGCCAACCCTTTGTGCTGTAGTGCCGCGTTATTCCACGAGTTAAAAGCGCTGTTGCCAAGGAGACAAGTTTGGGCGCAGAACGACAATTCTTGCGCGTCGCAGTCGGCCTCACATATTGTGCACTGTGGAATGACATATAATACATCACGCCGAGAGAAATTGGTCCGTTTTTCGGCGATTGCATATGCAATGGTTTTTTTGGCTCTCCAGCGTTAAACAGATATGACATGCGCATTTGGAGTGCCGTGAGATCTTTTGGCATGCTTGCGTGTTTTATCTCGTGAAATTTTAATGTACAACGAATGTAAACCCGTGACAAGTCTTCATCCGGGGTAAGTCATGCTCTTCTCAGATCGTCATGCCTTGTCCGCTGTTGTAGAGGCGCCCAGTGGCTTCCAGGTACCCACAGTTATGCCATCACAACATCGCCTGGATGTTCTTGGTTTCCTTGTGCACGCCGCTGTTGCAGTGGTATCATGCTTCCTCCGTCAATCCGCAAGACAGCACTTGCGTACTTGACACGGTCCGTCGGGTGTGTGGTGCATTCGATGTGGTAACTTGCAGATGTGGGGCTTTTCTCGCCATCACCCGTGCCTTTGCTCGCGTAGAACTCTGCGCTGTCGGATCTCCCACGGCGCCTCGTGTCGGCCAGCCTCTGCGGAGGCGCGTCGCCCGTCCGCTGCCCGCCGGCGCCTCCCGGCCGGCCGTCAGCGGGGCGTCGCCTGGCTGACGTGCGGCTGCACCCCGGCAGGAGTGTGTCCCGGTGCCGGCGGTGCGGCAAGAGCGGCTGCTGACGGCCGGCGCCGGCCCGCTGCCGGTGGAGCCGCCGCCGCGGGACGGCCGCGAGCCGCCGCCGCCCGGCCCGGCCGTGCTCCGCTACGGCGGCGAGATCCCGCCGCTGCCCGACGAGCTTCAGCGCACCGTGCGCATCCGCAAGGGCGGCGACGAGCTCGGTGAGCGTCCGGCTGGTGGGGGGACCTCAGGCGCCACCGGAGCCGAGGTCACCGAGGCGGGACAGGCGGGAGGGCGGCGGCAGGCTCGGTGAGCCCTCGGCTGGTGGAGGGGCCTCGGCCGCCACCGGGGGGACGGGTGGGAGCACTGAAACGAGGACGGGGACTGCGCGCAGCGCAACTGACGCAGTTGATTTCCTGGCTGAGTTAGATCCCATGCAAACTGCAGCGTGGTGGGACGTTTCCAGTCAGCAGATGTGATATTGATGTGGCGACAGGGCATGGGGCGTTGGGTTGCCTGCGGGGATGGCAAGTTCGACTGGGGGCGGACTTGTGTAGCGTCAGGGACGCGGTCGTTCATTGGCTGGGAGGAGGAGCATGGCGTGTCGCTGGTGGAGTGGAAACGAGATTCACGACCAGGGTGATGTTCGAAGGATGAACGACAGCTGAAGCCGTGGCCGAGGCTGCTGTTGTCGAACAGCCGTTGCAGGGTGCCGAGCAGCCGTGGTAACTGCGTGACGGAAGAGTCCATTTATGCCCAAACAAGTCCGTGAGATGAGGTGATTGGATGGGATGAAGCGGCTGTTACCCCCCCCCCCCCCCAACTCTGGCGTGTTTTGGTTATTTTCTCGGCTGTGCTGTAAGTAAACGAATGCCTCTGTAAACACTTGGCATATCGTGGCTTATTTGATCGGTGGAGGTATGGAATTGGACCTTTCAGGGTGAGGTGTTACCGAGGTATATCGTGGCTAATTTAATCCATGGAGGTATGAAATTGGGCCCTTCAGGGTGAGGCGTTACGATTGCCCGTGGCTTATTTGATTGGTGGAGGTATCGAATGGGCCCTTTCATAGTGAGGTGTTACGTGTGCCGTATGTCGCGTATGATCCACATAGAAGCGTTTTAAAGACATGCCACTTCGTCCGGCAACAACAACGTCTTGAATTCCAACGTTTTCACGAAAATGTCCAGTGACTCCGCGACGATAAAACCCATAATGGAAGGCGCCACAATGTTACCAACAATACGTCTGCTCGCCACCTGGCGCAGTGCAGACCCTGGCGCTCAGTCGTAACAAGGCCTGTGCCAGACACCGCTTCGATCCAGATAGCCTGTGAATGGCCGGTGCCTCCGTCCTCCCGCTGACGCCCGTTTGTCGGCGCCTCTGTCCTCCCGCTGACGCCCGTTTGTCGGCGCCTCTGTCCTCCCGCTGACGCCCGTTTGTCGGCGCCTCTGTCCTCCCGCTGACGCCCGTTTGCCGGCGCCCCTGTCCTCCCGCTGACGCCCGTTTGCCTGCACCTCTGTCCTCCCGCTGACGCCCGTTTGCCCGCGCCTCTGTCCTCCCGCTGACGCCCGTTTGTCGGCGCCTCCGTTCTCCCGCTGACGCCCGTTTGTCGGCGCCTCTGTCCTCCCACTGACGTCCGTTTGCCGGCGCCTCCGTTCTCCCGCTGACGCCCGTTTGCCGGTGCCTTGTCCTTTCGCTGACTCCCGCCCGCCGGTGCCAGGCCTGAACGTCGAGGTGGTGGACAAGGGCCTCAACGGCGTGCCGGTGAAATCGGTGACGCGCGGCTCGGCCGTGCACAAGGACGGCTCCATCTCGGCCGGCGACTACATCGTGTCCGTCAACAACGAGACCATGCGCAACGTGACGCAGGCGCAGGCGAAGGCCGTGCTGCGGCGCTGTCAGCTGATCAGCACCGACATCACGTGAGCGCTGGCGCCGAAGCCCCGCCGGCCCGCCGATCCTGTTAGCTGCCGGCCTTCGCCGCCGTCGTCGGCTCAGCACTAATGGGATCGGCCGGTGCGGCGGCCGCCGACGGGGCCTGACGACGGCCGGGGCTGGTCGGGGGCAGGCCGGCACGATAGGCGGGACGGGCTTCGGTTGTCTTGGAGGGAGGCGGGGGAGGTAGGAGGGGTGAGATCGGCACCGGCGCGGCAGGGGACGGTGAATGTCACGTGGTAGACGTGGAAGGTGCGGTTCGGTTTTGGGCGGTTATATTGGCGGCTCGGCTAAAGACTTCCATACTGTTGCCGTCCAGAGGCAGAGTAGCTCACGTCGGCATTTTCAATTCAGCTGAGTTTGCATCTGAAGACGACAAGAGATGCGCCTGCCTGAAAACTCGCGGTTTTTGATGTGCGACTTTTGGATGGCATACTAGTTATTGCTTGTGCGTCCACTCTTCGATAGGCCCCTGTATTACTGTGATCAATATCATGAATTCTTGGCGGCTGACCTTGTTGAGCAGGTTCTGCTGACCGTTCGCTCCCCCCCCCCCCCCCCCCATGCTCCCGCAGTCTTGACTGTAGGCCGAGCTCTAGACGTGCAGCCGACGCTGGTCGATGTGTGTAGCATCCACTCCCCAACACGGGTGGATGCAGGGGCGGGCACTTCCCACATGTGGTGGCGGTCTGACCGCGCCGGGTGCGCCGCGCAGGATCGTGTACGTGCCCAGCGCCGACGCCGCCAACCACCGGGAGGCGGCGCTGATCCAGATCAAGCGGCACGCGGAGAAGATCCGGCAGATGAACCTGCAGAACCTGCCCCGCCAGATATCGCCCAGGTCAGTCTCGGCCCGCTCCGCTCGCGCTGCGTCTGCGGTGCCGGCGACAGCCGTGTGCGGGGGGTGACGGTAGCCGCCGGCGCCGGTTAGCCGCGCGGAGTTAGTGAAAGGTGGCTGGGTGTGGGTTCGGCCGCTTCGGAGGCGGCGGCTGCACGTGTGACCTCTCGACACTGCCGGCTGGATGCTGGCGTGTGGCGCGTAGCACCCACACAGAAGGGCGTAAAAGACATGCCACTTAATCTGGCAGCAACAACGTCTCGAATTTCAACGTTTTCACGAAAGTGCCCAATGACTCCGCGACGGTCCTGACCCGTGATGGAAGGCTGGATGCGCCTGGCCGGCCGCTTGGTGGGCGGTAAAGCGACCGCCGTCCGCCGGCTACTCGCTGCTTAAAAAGAAATCAAGTCGAACGCGGCAAAACCCACCAGCTGCTGATGTGGTGCTATCGGACCGCCGTCGTGCCTGGTCCCCCGGCGTGATAAGCTATTACACTGTTCGATGGAAAGCCATTTGGCTGAATGGCATCATCTACCATATGTCTGCGCTGTCTGAACCAGCTGTCGCCGCGGCACGAGCAACAAATGTCTTCGGAGAAGTGGCTCTGTCCGCGGCGGTTGGTGCGCTTTGAAATCATTGCGACCTTCTGCTCTGAATTCAATACCGCCTCTAGCTCCGGCATTGGGCAGGCATGCAGTATGCATGAAGCGCTCCTGCGAAAGCGAGCGAGCGACGCAGGCCGTTGCCGGGGCGTCCGCCGCTAACCCGATTGGTGCGGCAGTGAGCGCTGCTGGGGTACGCCAGCGCGCCTCGGTCATTGCCATCACCTTTTTCTGGCGTGCTCACTGGGTCTGCTGTGAAGTGCCGGCCAGCAGAGACACACACCGACGCGTTTTGACCGGGATTAGGCGTTCAGGTTGTCGCATTTTAAAATCTGGACCTGCATTGTATCAATCGGATGTGCTTGTCCTGTGCGTAAAGCCGATCTAACAAGTGTATTCGATTTCGTTTTACGTACGCCACCTGTTAATATCCTCATCGCGGTGGTTGGGGTGGTGGAAAAAACACACTGAGTGAGTGCTTTGGCAACATGGGACCCGCTGGTAGGAATTCGCTGCAGGGCGTTTCGGCATGCGGAACCCGCACCGTTAAGGTCAGGGGCCCAGGTCCACCCCTTCACCGCTTCGTGCACGCAACGGGTCTGAACCACACGCGTGAGCTATGCACCAACACACGGAGTCACCACCGGTCTGCCCTGCGTGTCGTCCACCATATCGCCTCACTGCTCCCCCCCCCCCCCCCTCCCCCGGCGGGGCGGCCAGGAGGGATGGGGTCGCTCGTGCAGTGCCCCACCGTGCCTCGCGAGAGTGGCCCACCGCTAGCGCACCCTGTCCACGGCTTCCGTACGGACCAGCTTGGCGTCCCGCATGCCTGCGTCTAACACCCGTCTCTCGCCGTAGGATTTTCCCCAAATACTACCGGTGAGTGGCGCGCGCGCCCGCGCGGCCTCGGCCGACGCGGCCGCCGTCTTCCGTGTAGCTCGCCGGCCCCGCGCGCCGTAGACTGTGCCGCCGGGCTCGGTTGCGCTGCGGCCGGGCCGGTCCAGTGGCTGTGTTTGGGGCTCGACCGAGCGGAGTCGTGCGGCACAGTCTGTAGCGCCGCCTGCGCCCGGCCCGTCTGTGGAGCGCCGCCTCTGGCGCCCGTGGCGGTCTGTCTGTCTTGCCTGCGTCGAGCCGTGCCGTGCCAGCGGCGACACCCTCGGCCGGAACGTGATGTCTGTCAGTCGGCCTCCCGTGCCCTGTTGTACCGGCTTGTAGTGCCTGTGTCGAGCGGCCCGCGCCAGCCTTTGGCGCCCGCCCCCCCCCCCCCCCCCTCCCTCCCCGGAACGCGAGGATGCGATCGCCCGTCCCCTGCCTCTCCCTCTCCCTCTCCCGCTCCCTCTCCTTCTCCCTCTCTCCCTCTCTCCTCTCGCTGCATGCGCCCCGGCGGTAGTGATTGCCTTCATCCAACCGGGCGCGGAAGCCACGTGGGCATGAGGTGTCGTGTCGCTCGAGACGGTCCTCGCAATGTTTGCTGGCTGCACGACAGCGGTGATCCGAGGCCATGGCGTCTGGAGTGTTAGCTGTCCGCGCGGCTTGACCCCGGGACCGATAGCTCGTTAGCAGGGTCGGCACAACGGGCTGGAGATCAAAACGGGTTCTGTGTTTGGCTATGCGGCTAGTTTAAATCAGGCCCATCAGTCTGCAATTTTCCTTCAGAGATTCTGGCAATGCTAGCTGGATGTCATTCGAGGCCATGCTCGCTAGGAGCTTTCCAGCCATAATGAGGTTCATCGGTCGTTTGCATCGGTGTAATACGTCCGTCATTTATACGCGGGCAAGTTTTGCAGACGTCGCCTGCACAGGGCGATATTTTTATGGATGAGGTTGCATTCGCTTTTGTTAGAGGATCCGGGCTTTGCCAATTGTCTTATTCTTTCAGCCTTGCACTTGAGGTGTGAAACATTACGCCGACATTGCATTGCACTTGGACATGGCGCTTGCACTTGCACTTGCACTTGAAGAAGCAACTTTAAATCTTTTGACCTCCGTATTAGGCAGTATCTGAAACACTCGTTCCGCATTGCTTATGGGTCGAGCGCTTAATGCGACCTGGTAGCATTTGCTCATGCCCATTGCACGCTTTTTCTCCATGCATTTTGTTTGCTGCTGCGTCAAAATGTCATCTCCAATCTGCTCCATTTGTGAATCGATTGATTACGTTCTTCAGTTGGGTGGTGGTGTCGGTTCCAGCAGAGCTGATCGCGGACGACACATGGGTCTCAGTATTCGGTGTCTGGTGGGCGGTCGGACCACGCGCCGTAACAACTGCGCCATTTGTGGCATCAGTATTCCGCCATCAAGTTTTGTTCTACGTATGGATCATCAGCCACAAAGCGAATGCGTTTGGCTAAGGCGTTGGTGCACCTCCGGCTAGCATCTGTGCAGCGTAGCGTGCGGTTCTGTGCGGCGCCGGTGAGGGTGCATGCTGTTGCAATGTGTGATAGCTGTGTCTGTGTGCAACTCTGTAGGTGTGCATTAGATGTCGCGGGGCGGCGAACGCCGTCAGAATCCGGACCAGCCGTCGGGCTTCGCGCTCGCAGAGGGGCGTCGAGCTCTGTTCAGCCGAGTGTGTGTCGCATGCGTGTTCCGTCCGTGAGTCTTCGTGTGGGTCTTGGTCGTCTTGGTTCCGCTTGGAATGTCGGCTGTTTTGCGGGATCTGGCTACGGGTGTTCGCCGTTTCGAGGGAAACGTCACTGGATTTCGAACCGAGTCCAGCCTGCGCTGCACTCAGTCCGGGAACGGCGCCCGGTCGCGGCAGGCTCCGCCGCCAGCCGCGCCGACCCTCTGGGGCGGCCGCTGACCCCGGTCGGCCCGTTCCAGCTCTCCCTACTTCGGCCCGGACCCGTCGGCGGCGGACGCGACGGCCAGCGGCAGCGATCCGGCGGCGCTGACGCGCTCCAACACGGCGCCCAACCTGAGCGCGCCGCTGGCGCGCGTCGTCGACGTGGAGCTGGACGCGGTGTCGGCGTTCTCGCTGCCGCAGACGGCCGGTGACGAGCGGCCGCCGCCGCCGATTGGCCGGCGCGCCGAGTCGGCCGACCAATGGCGCGGCGGCTGGCGGCCGGCCTCGGCCGAGGAGGAGCGGCGCCGCTGCCGCAGCGCCGACTCGGTGGTGGCCGGCACGCAGACGCCGGACGAGGAGGGCCCGCTGGCGCCGGCCGGCGACACCACCATCCTCACCGTCGAGGTGGACGGCAACACGTTCAGTAGGAGTTTGCCACCGCAAGTGCCCGCCCCCGCACCAGCTCAAGGTGAGTGCTGCCGGCGGGGAAGGGTGGGGGGACTGATGATGCTGGATAGGGAGTCTGGCGAGGAGTGATACACCATCGCATGGAGTACGTTTGTCAGCTGATCGCGTGTGTGCTCTTGCCCGCCGTGCTGATGATCATGTGTTTGCTTTTGTATAACTTTTTCGCTAGGTGGACAGATCAGCATGCAAAGTTAAGGGTCGTGTAGCATTTCAAAGGTTTCTTTAGAATCGATACCAGTCCCGAGAACAAATCTCATTAATGGAGGAAGCCAAGTGGTGCCTTGAGTAGATCCGGACACCTTGGCGCGGCCTGACGTCGCTGCCTCTTTCAGAAACCACGTGCGAGTCGTCGAGTTTTATTAGCGACAGCGCGACCGGTGTGAGTGATACAAACAGTGATTGCGCCGGCGCGGCCGGCTGGGGCCGCGCGGACAGCCAGCGGGCGAGCAGCGGGGCCTCCGCCGCGGACGACGGCCGGCGCGCCGGCGCCGACAGCCGGGACTCGTCGGTGGCGAGCGTCGAGCGCCGCCCGCCGCCGGCCCGACGGCGCAGACCCTAGTTCGGCGGCGCGCCGCACGGTGGAGGGGGCCTGCCGGCGGCCGGCGGCCGCGGCGCCGAGTGTCGCCTCGTCGGCGGACTCACCGCTCAGCGGGCGCGGCTCGGTCAGCGGCACGGCCGGCTCTCCCGTCAGCGGGCGAGCCTCAGCCAGCGAGACGGCCGGCTCGCCGATCAGTGGGCGCGTGTCCGCCAGCGGGACGGCCGGCTCTCCCGTCAGCGGACGGGCCTCCGCCAGCGGGACTTCCGACCAGTGCTCACCTGCGGCGGGCTCCCCCGCCAGCGGGCGAGCGTCGGCCAGCGGCACGGCCGGCTCCCCTGCCAGCGGCCGGGCATCGGCCAGCGGGACCACCGCCTCGCCGGCCAGCGAGCGCGCCTCCGCCAGCGGCACGGCCGGCTCCCCCGTCAGCGAGCGGTCGGCGGGCAGCGAGGCGAGCCCGGCACCGGCCAGCAGCAGCCTCGAGGGTCGGCCGACGCCGCGCCGCCCCAGCCCGCCCGTTGTCACCGGCGTCACCGTCAAGATGGTCTCGCAGGTGGGCGGCTCGTCTTGGAGCCCCGCCTGCCCCGCCCCGCTCCGAACCTCCACTCCCATCCCTTCCCCATCCCTCCGCTCCTCCCCTCCCCTTTCATCCCCCTTCCATGCCCTGCCCTATGCTCCCCTCTCCTCCCCTTCCCTTCCCTCACCTCTCCTTCCCTGCCACGTGTGACGTCGCGAGCTGTGACGGCTGGAAAAATCGCCTTCGGAGAAACTGGTGCGGCCTGCTAACTGGGTCTCCAATGGAACCCGTTGGTTGGCTGGCTGCTGGAGGCGTTCTGGGGTTTGCCCTCACAACCGAGCGATCAATCAACTGCGGCACTGGTGACGGCAGCGGCTCCGTGCGGAACGGCCGGGATCCGGCTGGTTATTAATGGGACAATATCGTGGCTTTAAGGGCGCCACCATGCGGGGCCCGATTAGGATTCCAGGTACTGCAGTGGTCACGTCTGGTACCCCTGGCTATGCAGGAAGGCGGTCCAGCGTGGGAGAGCAGAAGCCAGCTGGCTCGATTTTTGGCAGAAACTATTTGAGTTCATGTCGACGTCTTCAATTTAAAAGAAACAATCATAGGCGTCGCACGGAGGGTAAATGTCAACGCCTGGTCTGTAGGTGTGGATTGCCGGACTTAACTAATTTTTTCTGTTATCTCCCGGAATGTTGAAATACCGCCCTGATGTCACTACTGAGACCTAGCGCCTTTGATTTAGCGCATCGAAGATGCGGGGGGGGGGGGGGCGGCCAGCGGTGTGACAGGGCTCAGACGAGTGTGTGCAACCGCTGTGGCGCACCAAACCCCGTTCCATTTTTAAACGGGGCCTGTGCCTGTGAGCCTGTCATGGCTGCACCATGTGGGCTTAGTGTGGGGTGTGAACTGTTGTAGCACTGCCTTTTATCAACTTATATTACGTGTTCTCTTCCCCTTCCGTTGCCGTGCTACGAGTTTGTTTGCGTGCAAGGACTCGTAAACGTCCGATGCGCCCTTCCACCCTCCACCTGCACGCAGCTGTCCTCCCCCACCCTCCACCTGCACGCAGCTGGCCTCCTCCACCCTCCATCTGCACGTAGCTGGCCTCCTCCACCCTCCATCTGCACGTAGCTGACCTCCTCCACCCTCCACCTGCACGCAGCTGGCCTCCTCCACCGTCCACCTGCACTCAGCTTGCCATGATCGCCACGCATCCCACGTGCTCACTTCCCCGAGAGTCGCCGCCGAGGCGCGTGTCCGCCGCCGTCTCCGCCGCCCACGCAGCGCCCTCCTGAGCGGGCGCCCGTTCGGCAGGGCACGCCGCCGTCGCAGGCCGGCCCGGCGCCGGCCGGCCAGTCGCCGCTCGGCAAGCACTGGGGGCCGGAGCGGCGCGTGGTGGTGTGCCGCTCGCCCTCGCAGTCGCTCGGAATCTCGATCGTCGGCGGCAAGGTGGACCTCTACAACGCCGCGCCCGGCGGCAAGACGGTCATATCGGGCATCTTCATCAAGAACGTGCTGGCCGACAGTGTGGCGGGCCGCACTGCTCAGCTCAAGGTGAGCGGCCGAGGCGGCCGTCTCCGAGATGGCTGTCTTGGCTCAAGCTGAGTGGACCGAGATGGCCGTCTCAGCTCAGGCTGGGTGCGCCGAAATGGCCGCTTGAGCTTGATAGAAAAGCGCATTGGCTCGGTCCGCTGCGGATCATTGCAGTGCGACTCTTTTCCTGGAGCTGTGGGCATTCTCGACAGACCGGTTCGAACTCTGGTTAGGTGGGGCAGGCACGAGATGTGCCGCCCAGCTCTTCGGAAGCATAGCGTTGTCACTTTGAGTACCGCGGTGATGTGTTCTTCGGTATTCCCGATCGGCCACCCGTGACATAATGTAGGAAGCACTGAATCATTGTGAGTTAGACTTCTTCAGTCGATCAATCCACCGTGACCCACACGAGGCTTCACACGGTCGCCGTTTCATTGCTCCTTGACGAGAACCCACGCGACCGGTGGATGCGATCCAGCCGCGCGCTGCGTCGCGGGCCGCTGGTACGGCGAATGGTTCGGGGAGTCGTACGGTGTAAATTCCAGTCCCATGTGTCACGTGGCCACGAGCTGGGGAGATCGCTTTGGCTGTGTTCATGCGGCACGCTGGCCGTGCTGCGCCGAGCCCGACGCCGAGCCCGACGCGGCACCCGAGCCTGCCGGCGCCGCCCGTGGCCGACCCGCGCCCTGCCGTTCGCAGACGGGCGACCGCATCCTCTCGGTGGACGGCACGGACCTGCGCACGGCCAGCCACGACCAGGCCGTGGCCGCCATTCGCAGTTCGGGCGACGCGATCGAGTTTGTCGTGCAGAGTCTGGTGCACCGGGTGAGTAGCTGAGGCCCGTCGCGCAAGATGGCCGTCGCTCGCTGTCGCCGTCTGCGCTCATCATGTGTCGCTGTCGCTGTGCGTGCGTGCGGGTGAGCGTGCAATACATTTTACTACGGATACGGGGTGTGGATCCGCCGACGGAGCGGAAGACCGCTGGCCTGCGGACGGCGTGAGCGAGGACGTCGCGCAGCCGACCGGCGCTCTGACGGGGCTCGCTGAATGGATAACCGTCTCCGACTAGTCTTGCGATCGTCTGCTGGCTCTGGAGGGCGGGTGGTGCCGATTGCCTTGCGTCTGTAGTCGTTGAATGGTCTGTACATAGTTGCGAGCACTTGGCGGGGCGCTGCCCGGGGCAGGTCGTACGTGCGCCGCCCGCGTTAGACTTGAGCCGGCCGCCGTCGTCGCGCGCTGCGTGTACCTGCCCGCCGCCTGTGTCTTGTGGCCGCCGCCCGCCGCCGCGCCGGATGGCATGAGGCGACGGGCCGAGCGTGCATGACCGACGCGGCTGTGCACGGCCTGCCGCAGTCGCGAGGCGGCGCCGCCGGTAGAGAGGGCGCTAGTGGGCGACGTCCCGGCGCCGGCCGACGCGTCCGAGCCGGCCGAGCCGCCGGCCCCGCTCGCCCTCGCCAGAGGTCATCCAGGTAGGAGCGCCGACGGCCGGCCGCTCGCCGCCGCATGCGCATGCGCCTGAGGGGACGCCGCGGGTTGGACGGGCAAGTCTTCTCGCCTGTCTGCCCGCTCGCCCGCCCGCCTGCCTGCCTGCTTCAAACTGATTGTCGTTGTTTGCTGCCGCCGTGAGAGCGGTGTTTGAAGGCACCTGCGTTGTGTTTTGAGCGTCGAGATGCGTGTGTGCCGTGTCGTGCGCGGTTCGTGTGCGTCGCTTTGCACGTAGCGCCGCCGTGTGCTCGCCGCGCCGCCACCGCCGCCTGCCACGCATGCTCTGTTGTGTGCACCCCAGCCGGGCTACAAGCCGCCGGCCAAGCGTCCCGAGCGGCTGGCGAGCGAGGCGTCCGTCGAGTCGCTCGAGGAGGACGAGGAGGCGCGCACCGCCGGACGCTTCATCACCGCCGCCGGAGTCGAGGTGAGTCGATGGGTTCGGTCGGTCCGGCCTGCTGGCCGTTCGGTCGCGCGCCGCGTCTCCGGCGGGCGCTGGCGCGGCCGTCATGGGGAGGGCGGGCGGCGCGCGTGCTGTGGCGTCGGCAGCAGTGGGGGATGTGTGACGTTGTGCCGCTTTCCGGGGTGCCACGCCGCGCGCCACCGGTGCGGAGGCCACTGGGGAGTTTTGGCCGCGCGGCGCAGCCTGTGGCGGTCCCTCCGTCGGTCCCCGCCTGGCAGACCGTGCCGGTTGTTCTTCGGTTAAGGGGTTGTGTGGTGTGGTGTTCTCCGGTTAAGGGGCTGTGTGGTGTGGTGTTCTCCGGTTAAGGGGTTGTGTGGTGTGGTGTTCTCCGATTAAGGGGTTGTGTAGTGTGGTGTTCTCCGGTTAAGGGGTTGTGTGGCGTCGTCCTCCGGTGCCGTTCTAGCTGTCTGTCCTGTGGGCTTGTTCCGTGTGTGGGCTTTCGCATGTTTGCCGGTGCGCGTGGAAGGACATGCTGCTGTCTCGCTCCTAGCAGCACCCTTTCATTATTTTACCCTTTCAATAGTTTCATTATTATATTTCTTTTATCATTAATACATCCCAGCCGATGATGACATTTCACCGACAGAACGAAACTTTCGTGTACCAGTATTGCGACCCATATTGTCACACGTGCGCCACCTTTCCACACGGAGGCCGTGCAATATCCGTGAGTGGGGATTGTCCGCCGTGAAGTGTTTATTGCCGGCTGTTCGGCGTTATCTGCCCACCATTGATCTGCTCCCCTCTCCTCTGGCCAGGCGTTCATTGTCTCGTTTTTTTCGCTTTTTACCCCGACTGGCAGCAGCGGGCTGTGGTGTTTGCCACGTCTTCCCCTGTGTGTCCCGGTCTGGCTGCTCGGTGAGGCGCGCGGGGTGCCGCCGCCCGCCCTGTGGACCTGAGGAGCGTCAGCGCCGACTCCCGGCCGTCTTCTCCCCTCCCTCCCCGGTGTACGCGGCTCGTCCAATCAGGCGCCGCAGTGCCCTATCAGCAGTGTACTGGCCCGTGTCACCACCCCCGGGCGGCTGGGCGTAGGCGACGCTCCTACGTCAGCCGCGTCAGCCGTATGTCAGCCGACCAGGCCGCATATTGTCCCCGGAGCGCTCTCATATCAGCAGGATGGCGCTGCTGGGGCGGCCGGCAGTCCCTTGCGGCGTGTTTAATATCCTGCCGTGGTGTGCCCATTGGCGCGACAACGGTGTATTAAGCATATTTCCCTGGACAAATGGAAGCGGCGTGACAAACGGTGGCACTTTGCCCCCTGTCCCTGGACGCTTTTTTACTTCTATGAACGTGATTGTTTTTCCCCTAAAGGTTTTGACATGAACACACTGGTGCAAGAAACCTTGCTGAACAGCCGCAACAAGGGCACATGAATCATTAAAAAGGGCGATGAAATGATGACTGTGTCACTGGAAAGTGATAGTTCACGTTTGGTAAATTTAGAATGTGTGCTGCGTTGCAAAGAACATTTTAGTCTAACGATACTATGCATCGTTATTTGAGGCCTAAATACATTTCGTTCCTTCAAGTTATTCTGAAAAACTTGACACCAGAAACTACTAGTCAAAAGAAGATACCAAATGTCACAACCGATTTTTTCATTTTTTTAAATTGTATATCTTACCAAATTTAAGCCAAATGGCAATTCTAGCCTACCACCCACTCGCCTGATGTACGAACAGCACCAACCGCACAGCAGCCTCTTCCACCCGCTTCCATTCCACTCAAGCTTTACCACTACACCGTCAACCGGGTAGGCCGGCCACCAATCACTCCACTTCTTTGACCTGTCTGCTGCCGAGGGCTTGCGCCTGAATCAGGGCTGTTCCGCTCAGCGGCTTTGTACTGCGTTACAGTCTAAGGCTCCAGAATTTACCTCCGAGAAGCAAGGCGCACTGGAGCGCGAGGGGACTTAATTGGTCGCTGTAATTGTACATTGCTGAAAGCCGATTCAGTCCTTCTCGGAACTGAATAACACCTAAAGGTGGTCCGGTAATTAACCGCCAAAACGTTAAGCGCTTACTGATACACCAGACGAGGCCGATACTCCAAATAATTACTCAATCCAGATAGCTGGAAACCTTGGTTATTTTTGTAACATATTGTGACGACCGCGTCTCAGCTGCTTTCACGTAGTGCTTCCTGGTATGCTGGAGGCTGGTTTTTTTCAGCGTAAGAACTCAAAATGCGAAAAGAGAACCGGAGATTAAGGCGTTTCATGTTAAGGAGTGCTGGTTTGAGACTCATAATTAAACAGACATAGGAGCGTTATGAAAAACTACAGTCACATGCTGTCAATATTTGTCTCAAAATAGCGGTGACGAGCCGTCAGCCCTGGGCCGAAGAAGCCCCAGAGGACCCGAGATCCGAGAAAGGCCAGAGGACCCCGAGACCGGAGGAAGGCCCCGAGGACCCGAAGGACCCAGGCCCGGAAGCTCGTCTCCGCTATTTATTTTCTTTAAATTAAGTTAGGTATCAATACTAGTTTATAACCATCCTGCTACGTGTGGTTAACGCGTTTCTTAATTGTATCCGCTATGATAGTATGCCGACCCGTCCAGCACATGAGTTTATTTCGATCGCCGTTGGGCTATCCTCTGCGCCAAATTGGGCGGCCTTGTATTTACACATGTCTTCGTTTGGCCCGCATCCTTTCCGCTTGTCCAGAAGTGTTTAAAGTAGCTCACCTCCTCACGATGCTACTGGCGTCGCACAACACGGACCTGAATTCTATTACAAGGCCGGTGGCTCGTTGTGAGTCGCTGTGAGGGGCGTGTTCTGACCTGGGCAGTTCGTGCCGTGCCGTGGACCGACCGGGTCTGGTCCGCCCGGTGCTGCTCGGCCCCAGGGGAGCGGTACGTGCCCCGTGTCAGCCATCCCCTGTCGCGTGTCGGCGTTTGATTGTCGGCTGTTGGGGAAAGTGGGGCCTGTTCGGGAGAGTGGGGCTTGTTCGGGAGATTGTGTCTCACGGGCGACACGTCACGTGTGGACGGCATCGGGAAGCGGTGCCGGGCCGTGTGGGTGTGGCGCCGGCCGGAAGGTAACTGCTCGCCTTACCGTGTCGGAAGCGCGTCTGGTGTCGCATGCCCTGTCGGGTTGTTTTCCGGCCTGAGCTCTGGATTCACTTTCTATCTGTTTGAAACACTCCCAATTTATAGCGCACATTTATGAAACCTCACTGCTGTCTCTCTTGTTTTCTATGGTCCGACGCTTTGTGACCCGGCATGTCAATGCATGATGAACAGGTTCATTGTCACTGTGCCCCGCGCGCCGCGGACGAGTTCCACAAACGCCTGAGGTGCGATGGAAGGCTGCCCGGACCCAGGCTTGAGGTGCGATGGAAGGCTGCTCGGACCTGATGGAGACACCTGGCGCTCTGGTTGGCGCCGACCGCGTGACGTCAGATGCACCTGCCGCGCTGATTGGCTCTTCTGTGCGGACAGATTGATCGTGCCAGCGCTGGCTTTGTCAAGCTGAGTCGTCAGGAGCGGCTCCAGGATACCGAACAGGAGGATGAGTTCATGTACACTACCAGTAAGTGCTGGCATGCCACGCTCGCGCAGCACGCCCACCTATCCGCCCACGCGCACGCACGCACGCACGCACGCACGCACGCACGCACGCACGCACGCACGCACGCACGCACGCACGCACGCACGCGCGCGCGCGCGCACGCACGCACACTTGCACGCGCGGATGCATCCTTGCTGCGAATTGATGTCAGCTTATGAAGGTACCCCGTGTTGGATTAATTGAGGAAAGCGCGCGAAAAATGTCAAATTTGCCCGTGCGGAGATCGAAAATATATCCGTAAATAGGACGCATTTTAGCTGTAGCCCGCTGGTTCTAAGACGCACAGGTACACCCTTTTCACTGTTGTGATGCCCGTAGTCGTTTCCTGTTTTGTTTTGCTCTCAATTTCGCCGTCCTCAATTTCATCTTAATCAGAATCGCCCCATAGAGCCATCCTGGTTCGAGAAGATAACCACGGTCCTGGCCAATTGCCGACAACGTTCCAAAGTGATATCGTTGAGTGCAGCGTACCGTTATGGTGACCTTGCTTATCATCATTTGATCCACATCAGCGGGATGAAGCGGATTTGTGTGATGATTTATTGGCGAGCATTTGATTGCATTTACCGATATGCACCCGAATTTTGTTTGTTATTTCATAGTGATCTGATTGGCGGGCTTCTGCACTCAGGTTAATTGAACTGCTTAATCAGCTCCGTTCAACGTTAACTATGATGCCCTGCTGCCGAGGTCTCAGGTGGCTCCCAGAAACTTGGCGTTCCAAATTGTTGTACTGTTTCCTCAGCGCGTTGTAATAGATCTGATCCACTGGGAACCCAGGGCCATTTCTCCTCGTTAGCCTGATCTCACCCAGGCTGAACTATGGGTCCGCGATTGCGGGCCGCTGTGGCCTTCCGTCTTTTGCTGCCAATGCGACAGATGCGCGGATAGAGTTTTGTGGTATTTCTACAGGCGTGCCACCTCGTTCCCATCGGGCGCTCTGTTCGCTGGTGGCCAGCACACCCGCCGCCGGCCACCTCCGAGCGCGTGTGCTCATGGTCGAGCCGAAGGGTTCTGTTGCTTGCTAATGTCGACTTAAGCTGACCTGCCTTTGCGCGGAGGCTTCGGAAACGTTCAGTCCGGTTCGGCCGTGGCGCAGGTGATTCTGACGTCCCAGCACCACAGAAGGCCACGTCGTGATTGGCGTCGATGCCCGTAGGCCTGTATGTAGACGCCTTATTGTCGGTTCCCGGGTGATCTGTACCGGCGCGGACCCCGTGCGAACCGCATGAAACCGGTCGGCTGGCCTTGACAGTGCCGGCAGAACAGTCGACGACCCGCCTGCCGATTCCGACTATCTGGCTTCAGATGTGTCGAAGGGCATCAGCGGCGCGGCGGCTCCCGTTTTCGCAGCTGTCTGTTCCGGATGCAGGAGCGCCGCGCTTTTCAGTGGGAGCGTGTGAGTGAAGGAATTCGAAGTGTTTGTTTCAGCTTCGGTTACCACTGCGCGCGTCATATCTCCTGCAGCGTTGTGTTGTTGAAGACCCGTGGCCATCCCTGGAGCTCACAAAGCTGACCATCGCAGAGACTGACGCAGATTTGAGAGAGAGGTCGGGCGGGAAGCGGACAGCAAAACGCCATTTCTCCACAGGCCGTAATGGCGTGTTTGGTCGTGACTGGAATAGAGGTGATGGCTGGGTGGAGTGCGGCTCCGCCCCCGCCAGCACATCAGGGTCTTGACCCGGGCCACTCAGCTCGCCGGCAGGCGCACCACCAGCGACAGAGCTCTGTTCTGACGCCAGGCCATGTGGCGCCATAGCCTCTCCAGCTCGAGCCGAAAGATCGTGTTGTGGTCTACGGAAACTCAGGTCTTGTATGCGATTTCGACGAACAGCTTTCAGCAATGGCGACGGACGAGCTAGTGCGATCAGTTTGTTCCTACCAAAATCTCAAAGGCTCCTCCCAAAAAACTAACACCACGAGACAGCGAGTTTGATGCCAACTGCAGGCTGCATCATGACTTACTTGGTTTCGACACAGGAAGAAGAGGCTGGCTGGCCGCCGTGCGCTGGTGTTTAATATCTTCCAAAACGAATCGTTCGTCTTTTATTCGGTTCTTCAGACTCGCGCCCCGTGCTCCTATCGTGTTATCTCGTAGGTGAGTTGTTTGCCGCACATTGTTTGTGGACGCCTTACGAGAGCGCGAACGGTCTGATTAAACCACCATGCGTCTCGGCAGCTTGCTGGGACGAGGCGTTCGATGCATCTCGACATCCCATGGGACGAGATTTTGTGCTGAACGGTGGGACAGTGCTCAGTATCAAATCAGCCCATCGTCAGTCTCGTGTGCACGCCACTCCTGAGCGCCTGAGGACGGCTTTCATTCATTCGCCTCATTTGATCTGTGGAACTCGCCCGACGTTGCCAAGGACCCGAAAGAGAGGGCGTGGAATCGTTCGACGCCGCTCTGTTTTTTGCTCTCGCTCGGCCGGTCCGATTCGATCACACGGAGTGTTGGATCGTGCCATCACCATTCCATCGGCATCCGGGCGGCAGGGCGGCCATTTGTTATCGCCGCACGGTATGTGCTGATTATCATTTCATTGCCACGCTCTGTTTTTGGCGGGCGCCCTCCGTCATCGATTGCCAGGCACAGACGAGTTCACCGCGCGCCGTGGGGGAGGCCGGGTCTGCGCTCTCGCGCACGAGGCTGGAGGCGCCGCAGTGGGCGCGGCGAACGCCGCCGTCGCCGCCGTCGCCGCCGTCGCCGTAGACGGATGTCGGCCGGCAGGCCAGCTGGCGGGGGGCAGCGGCGGCAATCGGCGCGTGCGTCGGCGTCCCGTGCCGCCCCGGCGCGGCGCGGCCCGGGAAGAGCGGGCCGATCGATGGTCCGCTTTGTCCACCGTGGGATGAATGGCCCGCCGGGAGCGGCCGCCCGGCCCGGCCGACGCGGAGACGGCCGCCGCCCGGCCCGGCCGGCGCGGGGACGGCCGCCGGCCGCGCCCGGTAGCCGCCGGCTGTTGAGCGTGGCACGCCGGCGGTCAGCTGCTGCGCCCGACCGCCGCCTGCCGTCCGTCCGGTTTGTATTGGCAGGCATTGTGCCGAGTCGGCGGCGGTGGACGCGCCGCGTGCCGACCCCGTTCCCCGGACCGCCATTGGGCGGGGCGCGCCACCGCGCCAGCGGCGCCGGCGTTGCCGCCGCACCGGCCGTGTCCGCCGTCCACGTCCGGACTGATCAGGCCGACATTGACGGTACACTTGGCCGGGGTCCCGGCCGCCCCGCCCTCGCCTGGCCGTCCGGCCCGCCCTCGCCCTGTCGAAAGGTCACTGCGGCGGCCGGCGGCAGCGCACGCCGTCGGCCTGCATAAATAAATGAGGGGGCGGCTCGCGCGGAGGGCGCCGCCACTGCCGTCCCGTCCCCGCCGGGGGCGCCACCGCCTCCGGCGCCGCGCCGGAGCGGCCCGGCGCCGAGCCGCGGCCCGGGGCGAACCGACTCAGCGGCGCGAGCGGCGAGTCGTGGCGGCGCCGACGCGGCAGTCGGTACCGGGCGCCGGGGTGGGCCGGCCAGTCTGCAGCCGGGAGGCGGCCACCGTCGGAGGTGGCGCGCTGCGCTCGGCTTGGCTTGGATCGGCGCGGCTCGACGGCCAGAGACCGGTTGTAGCCCGGCTCGGCTCGACTTGGTTCGGCGCGGTTCGACGGCCAGAGACCGGTTGTGGCCCGGGTCGGCTCGGCTCGGTTCAGCGCGGCTCGACGGCCAGAGACCGGTTGTAGCCCGGCTCGGCTCGGCTCGGCTCGGCTCGGCTCGGCTCGGCTCGGCTCGGCTCGGCTCGGCTCGGCTCGGCTCGGCTCGGCTCGGCCCGGCTCGGCGCGGCTTGACGCGGCTCGACGGTCAGAGGCCGGGCGGAGCCCAGCTCGGCTCGGCGCGGCGCGGCGCGGCGCGGCTCGGCTCGGCTCGGCGCGGCTCGACGGTCAGAGGCCGGGCGGAGCCCGGCTCGGCTCGGCTCGGCTCGGCTCGGCTCGGCGCGGCTCGACGGTCAGAGGCCGGGCGGAGCCCAGCTCGGCGCGGCGCGGCGCGGCGCGGCTGGACACCCAGAGTCCGCTCGGCGGTGTGCTGTGACGCCGGGGCCGGTCCGGTGGCGGACGAGCATCGGCCGCGCCGGCGGCCGATGACGCGCCGCTGACGCCCATGTCTTCGCCGGCGCCGACGATGGCGTGTGCCGTCACCGCCCTCATCGACAACCCCATGACGCGCTACCACCAGGTGGTGCACGCCGCCGACAAGGGCATGGAGACCATTCGGGAGGATGCCGAGTACGAGTTCGATCCAGGTACGGGCCGTCGACGATCGCTGCGCCTGGGTGGCGGCGAGGGCACGCATTCTCGGCGGTGCTGCGTGCGGTGCGTCAAGGGTTGTGGCCTACATGGTGTGGTTTTTGGGTTGGACAACAAGTTGACATGTGGCGTAATGCGTCACGTGGCCAGTGCGGGGAGCTCTAATACCCTCCCCTTCAAAAGTTGTAATTAGACGGGGCGGTTCGGAAGGGGCTGTGACGCGTCGCACTTTGACCCGGTGCCCGCTCCTGTGGCGTGTTGACGCGCTAGGGCGCCAGCTCAGCTCCTCACGCCGCGCGGGCGTCAGCGGTCCGCGAGAGAACGCTGACGTGGGGTGTGGTGGGAGCTACAGCGTGGCCGGCGTCGGCAGTCTGCGGCTGAGAGGCCGGTCTGAAGTGGGCCGGCTCTCGAGGCCGGGGCGGGGGTGTGCTGCCGGGCTGATCCCTCCACAAGTGTTTTATTTGCGCCGCGAGGGCTAACAACTCGAAGCTGGACTCGGTCGTCCGTCACACCGGCGGATCCGCGCGTTGAGAAGTGGTTTGTGGTTCTGGTGCTTCGGCGACGGCTACGGATGCTTGCAAAATGGGGTGGTCGTGACGCCTTGTTGCGTGCGCGTCGGGCTGAGCTGTCACAGCACTGCCGGAAGAGGTGGCGTGCATCGGGGCGTGCTCGTGGCCGGCGCAAATGGACCCGCGCCGCGGACAATTGCGACGCGGAGCGCCGCCCGCCGCGGCGTTTTCCCTGGAGAGCTGGTGTGGAGGTAACCTAAGCTCGGCAGTCGGCAGCTAAGTAAGCACCTCCGCTGAAAGCATCGACCCCGCCCTGGGAATTCTGCGGGGAAATCCTGGGAAATCTACACCGGAGCGCAGAGATCGATGGCCGGAGTTCACAGAAGGCTCGGCCGCTGCCGCAGACACCGAGGTGGCTTTGCCGTCTGGTCCGTTGTCATGCAGCACAGCTTGCTGCGTGAACCCGGCTGGCAGGTTGCGTTGCAGGCGTTGCGTCGCCGCCCACTCCGGGGTCGTGCACAGCGGTCTCTTGGGAAGGTCATGAAGCCAGCAGGCAGTCTGGGCCACAGCCACAGGCCGCTGGCCAGGATGGCGCTGACTCACAAGCGGTATGAATGCACGGTGGAGGTCGGGACCGACGTATGCTCGCGACAGCTTCGATCGACATTCCCTTTTTGTCTGTTTTGTCAGTTTGGCCTGCTGGTTCACTCGGTTGTTTTGGACGGAGAAATGAAAGCGCGTCCCAGATGTTCAGGCAATGGCGTTTTCCATAACGGCGCAAGTCAGTTCGCCGAGAGTCTATCGGGCTCAGCAAACCAGTTCGGCATCGTCAGCAGGTCGGCCTGTTGCTCTGTTTGGTTTGCCTGTTGCTCTGTTTGATGGTCCTCCACGGAAAAAGTAGCGAATGATGCAGACGTGGCAATGATGGTGTTCTGGATTCATGAGCAAGACTGCCGAGCCCATCATGCCCCGGGTTCTAGTACACGACACACCATAGTTTTTTTAAGTGCCTAGGTACAAAATACAATGAAATAACAAAAGAAATGAAAAGAGCTCGAGTCTTCGTTAGAGCCGCTCTTGTTTCCGTGCCGGGTCTATGACCATGAAGGTCTAACAGTGCCGGGACCGATTGCGGGTCTGCTATAGCTTCCAATATCAGCTCGGTGTCCAAGAGCCGACGTTTCGAGCCCTTTCAAGATCCCACACGCACATCGCTCGGGATGTTCGTGTGAGAAATGGCTGGGCTCCAACTCCGAATAGTGTCTGTGTAGGAGTTTATGACTGCCCTTCCATCAGCAATTCGGACAGGAGTGGCATGCCAAATGGCATTCATGTCATGAATGCTGAAAAGCATGGGCGTCGTTCATGAAGACAATAAATAAGCGGGCCACTACAGAGCCGTGACTTGGACTCCGAGCTGGCCGCGGCGGCGCGCCACCAGGCCGTGCCATCTACAGTGGCTCTCGGCAGAACTGCGGTCTCAGCTCGGCTCCATCAGCTGCCCGTGAACGCGCCGCCGTCCGGGCCGACCTGGCGGTGGCCGTCAAACCGGGGCGGCGCTGCGGTGGCCGTCGACGCCCGCGGCCCGCACCCACGCGCGCCGCGCGGAGGCGCGGGGGGCGGCGTGCGGTCGGCGGCGGGGCGGTCGTTCGGCGTCCGCTCCACCAGGAAATGGCGGCGGCGGCCCGATGTCGGGTGGAGACGCCGGATCTCCGGCGGCGACGACGTGGCTGGCGCCGCGGGGAGTGGAGGGCTTGCAGGCGCGGCTGAAGCAGCACACGGCACACCAGCGCGGCACGCGCTACGTGCATTGAACCGTGCACATCCGTCTCGGCATTGTTTTCCCCAGACGCCTCACACCACCAGGTGTCCGTACCTTCATCACTGCATGTTCAGCTCCGCGTGTTGCGTGTGGAGCGCTGTGTGTGTTCGCCGTCTTCGGAGAGGCCCGTCTCTGCTGCTTGAATTGGCACGGCGTCGCAGTTGTCACCGCTCGCCGGGCGGTCCGGGCGGCGCCTGCTCCAGGGCTCCGGCGCCCAGCTGGGGCCGTTGGCTGCGGCGTTTGTCGGCGGGCGGGCCGTGCCGTCGGCGTTCGTCGCCGGTGCGGTCTTCCGGATGATGCGCCTCCAGGGCGGCTCCGGACTGTGCTCGTCGGTGGCCCGAGCATCGCGTTTACGGACGATGTTTTTTTCCGCAGCAGTCAAAATCGTTGGCTGGTGCGGAAGGAAACAAACAAAAGCAAACGAGTCGATGAACGAGTCGCCGGAGGATGTTCTCTTGGTGTGAGCCAGAATGGTCTTCAGATCCTCGTTTTTCGGCAATACGGGTTCAGTGTTCTCATGCTCAGCTGTCGACCTCCACTGTACCATAAGACACTGAGTAAACGACGCTATAGAGCAAATCTTGGTTATGTTGCCGTTACCCAACGTTTCGAGCTGTGCTCACGATCACGGATGATCAAGCCGTGCTGTGCTCACGATCACGGATGATCAAGCCGTGCTGTGCTCACAATCGCGGGTGATCAAGCCGTGCTGTGCTCACGATCACGGATGATCAAGCCGTGCTGTGCTCACAATCGCGGGTGATCAAGCCGTGCTGTGCTCACGATCACGAGTGATCAAGCCGTGCTGTGCTTACGATCGCGGGTGATCAAGCCGTGCTGTGCTCACGATCGCGAGTGATCAAGCCGTGCTGTGCTCACGATCACGAATGATCAAGCCGTGTTGTGCTTATGATCACGAATGATCAAGCCGTGTTGTGCTCACGATCGCGGGTGATCAAGCCGTGTTGTGCTCATGATCACGAGTGATCAAGTCGTGTTGTGCTTATGATCACGTATGGTTATGCGCACAGCTTGAAACGTCGAGTACCGTCAATAGAATTCATGTTTTCTTTATAGCGTCGCTTAGCCGGCACCTCATCTCATATTGAGCGTGAGGTGACGGTGTGATCTAGGCTTTCTCGTCTGCGCGTCATATTTACATTTCGCTTTTTCACTTGGCATGTGATTTCATGCCATTTCACACTGCATGTGCATGATCGAATGAGAGCGTTCCGTAGCACGCGCCGAGAACGTCGGGGAGCCACCGCACTTACCATTTGAGACATTGACGTCGAAGTAATTCCCTGGAAAAATGTAACGAGAGCCATTTTATCTCGGCTACATTGAAGGAGCAGCCTTCCACGAGCGTCGAGACACAACGGGGTCTGAACAGTGGCCTTCCTGGCGAATACTGATCCGGAGGCCGGCCTGATATCAACTGCTGCCAAACGTGGGAAGCAATCTTCTGTGTGGCGGCTCGCAATTTCCGTGTGCCAAGTTGCCCCGGATTAATTCCGGTCGTGCTGCCATTCCTGGCCGAGCTCTCTCCCGCTATAATCTGCTCTGTGTGCTGCCCTCTGTCTTCTGTTGCTCTTTCTTCTGTTACTCTGTGTTCTGTTACTTTGTCCTCTGTTGCTCTGTCTGTTCTGCTCCCTGTGTTTCTCTCTCTCTCTCTCTCTCTCTCTCTCTCTCTCTCTCCTCTCTCTCATCTCCCTCTCACTCTCTCTCCAGACTCGCTCTCTCGAATAAGTCATCTCTCAGGCGAGAGATCTACTCTCTCTCTCGTTCTCCTCCATCTCTCTCTACTCTCTCTGTCCTTCGTCCTCTCTATCTCGTCTCTCTCTCTCTCTCTCTCTCTCTCTCTCTACTCTCTCTTCTCTCTCTCCTCTCTCTCTCTCTCTCTCTCCTCTCTCTCTCTCTCTCTCTCTCTCTCTCTCTCTCTCTCTCTCTCTCTCTCTCTTCTCTCTCTCTTCTCTCTCTCTCTCCTCCTCTCTCTCTCTCTCTCTCTCTCTCTCTCTCTCTCTCTCTCCCGCTCTCTCTCTCCGCCTCTCTCTCTCCTCTACGCTCTCTCTCTCCCGCTCTCTCTCTCTCTCGTCTCTCTCTCTCTCGCTCTCTCTCTCCCGCTCTCTCACTCTCGCTCACTCTCTTCTCCCTCTGTCTCTATCGCTCGTTCTCTTGCTCTCGTTCTCTCGCTCTCCGCCCGCACTCGTTCTCTCTTTCTTCCTCTTCCTCTCTCGCTCTCCCACTGACCTGATTCCCGACTCATATCTTCGATTGCCTCTCCTCCGTCCTCTCGTCTGTCTGTTCTCTACTTTTTCGTGTATCCCTCCCGTCAGCCACCAATAAGGGCTGCATGGAGGGGAGGTCCTCCGTCTCATCCGCGACTCGTGCCGCGGCCGCAACTTGTTAAATTGTGTCTTGACATCTAGTGCAAACTTTACAAAGGTGCCAGTTTGACAGCATGTTCCTCTGTTAACTTATCGGCGTAGCTCATGACGTTCACAAGGTTTTCAAATATGCTGTCGACATCCCCTGAGCGACAGCAGCTGGCGGAAAGGCGATAGCATTTTGGCGTGATCTAGCGCGGCGAATATACCGTCGATATCCAGAGGCAGCGAGCGTGAACAGCGCGCCGCTGTGGAGCGTGGGCCCGGACGTGGAGAGCTCGGCACCGGTTCATCGGCTAGTCCGCGGAGATTCCGCGAGAGACGCCATCCAGTCAGCGCGCCCGAAAGCCCCAAGAGCTGTCTAGTGGCGAGAAACGCCCGCAGAGTCTCTTGAAATATCTGGGCTCGCAGTCGCAGAACCTATGATAAGCGCACTCGGAAATTTCTTCCGTTGCGGGCTCCCAGAAGGCGTCAGGGTGGCAGACGCAGGTCTGCTGGCTTCAGCGGCGTCCTGAGCGCGAGACGCCGTGTGGGGCGAAGCTGTCGCCACGGATGTTCCGCGGCGCGGAAATTATAATGGGCAATATGCATGCATGAGATGCACGAATGAATCCCCCCTTTTGTGGGAACTGGAAAACTTGATCCATGCTGGCTGATATCGCTTGAGCGTGCCTGGGCGCGCCGGCTTTTCCAGACGCGTCGTAAAGCTGACAGTTATCTTTGGAAGCTATGGTGCGCCATACGTTGCCACCACCTGTTTATTCCCAGCCCGGCCGCGGAGGCGTCTCGTGCCGGTCTGCAGCAGACGCCGCGCCGGCGGTTTCGCGTGCGATCCGTGCGTGCGCGTCTGCCACGCCGCGCCGTGACGCTCTAACGGGGCCGCCCGCCGCCCGCAGAGAAGATCCAGAAGAAGTACGGCGAGCTGCCGGGCGAAATCCTGCTGATCGAGCTGCAGAAGGGCAGCAGCGGGCTGGGCATCTCGCTGGCCGGAAACAAGGACCGAACGCGCATGTCCGTCTTCGTGTGCGGCCTCAACCCGCAGGGCAACGCCTTCAAGGACGGCCGTATTCGCACCGGCGACGAGATGCTGGAGGTGAGGCGGCCGACGAGCGGTGCGAGTCCCCGAGGTGCGCCACGTGTCTTGTGGTCCTTGTGACGGGCTGGCCCGCCTGCCTGTGCCGCTCCGATCTGTCTGTCGGTCCTTCTTCTCGTGTTTCGTGTTTTGTGATGTGTGTTCGCGTGGTGGTCATGTGTTCGTGCGTGGTGGTGATGTGTGTTCTTCTTGTGTTTCTTCCGTTTCTTGAGTTTGTGATGGCGTGCCGATCCCTGCTCCGGCTGACTGTGCGTTCTGAGCCGTCTGCCGTTCCGTCTGAGTGGCGAAGATACCGTTCCGTGCGTGTCCCCCCTTGCGGTCCGCTTGGCGGGGCAGTTTCGTTGGTAGCGCGGGTTTTCGTTGTCCCGGCTGTTCAGGCCGTCGACGCGCGTGGAGACCTCGCTGCCGTCGACACACCTGATACTTCAGTCACCAGCCTTCGGTCGACGTGTTCATCCATCCCGTTCGCTTCCTTAGACCCGCTTCCCCCGGATACAGTGTGCTCCCGGTCAGACCGTCCGCGAGAGGCGCCGTCCATCTCTGTCCGTCACCTGCCCCCATGCTCCCGCGGCCGCCGCCGGACTCAACCCGGCTCTGGGTCGCACCTCTCCGCGCCTGTGAACAGCGGCGACGGTGTTTCCCCCGCCGGTGGCGGTCCGTCTGCGGCCGGCGACGGTCCTCCTCCGGCCGGCGACGGTCCTCCTCCGGCCGGCGACGGTCCTTCTTCGGCCGGCGACGGTCCTCCTCCGGCCGGCGACGGTCCTTCTTCGGCCGGCGACGGTCCTTCTCCTGCCGGAGACGTTCCCTCTCCGGCCGGCGACGGTACTTCTCCGGCTGGCGATGGTCCTTCCCCGGCCGGCGACAGTCCGTTTCCAGCCGGCGACAGTCCCTCTCCAGCCGGCGACGGTACTTCTTTGGCCGGCAACGGTCCTTCTCCGGTCGGCGACGGTACTTCTCCGGCTGGCGACGGTCCTTCTCCGGCCGGCGACGGTCCTTCGGCCGGCGACCTCCGGCCGGCGACAGTCCGTTTCCAGACGGCGACAGTCCCTCTCCGGCCGGCGACAGTCCTTTTCCGGCCGGCGACGGTCCTTCTCCGGCCGGCGACGGTCTTTCTTCGGCCGGCGACGGTCCTTCTCCGGCCGGCGACGGACCTTCTCCGGCCGGCGACAGTCCGTTTCCAGCCGGCGACAGTCCCTCTTCCGCCGGCGACGGTCCTTCTCGGGCCGGCGACGGTCCGTTTCCAGCCGGCGATAGTCTCTCTCCGGCCGGCAACACTGTCGATTGCCGAGCTCGGCGCTCCGCGCTAAAGAGAGCGGACCCGGTGGCGCAAACAACTGCTGAAATTGTCGCACCGACAGGGGAGCAGGAGATAAAACTTGGCTTGTAAATTGGTCTGACGAAAACAACGTGGAAAGAAAGAGTGGCGTTCCGATTTCTTGTCTCGTGTGTTGTGGACGAACCTCACGCTCTGCCAACTCCGTTAGGCATTGCTTAAGAGAAGTTAAATCGTTTTTTGTCTGTTGATCTAGCTGCGTATCGTTCCCGGGCGGGAGTGGCTGGATATGGCCTAAGTTCATGGCGAGCGCGACGGGTATACCATGAAGCTCTTTGAACATGAGGTCTACCGTGTTCCAAGTAGCGGAAGTTCGCTAATGTTATAAAGTGATGGTCGGAGGAGAATTTGCCGTGCTCTGGAGCGACACGTGCCCTTAGGTGCCCCGTGAGTTCGCAAGCGGTGCCCTTGTCCTGTACGGAAGCAGCCGCCCCCATTCTGAAAGTCATTTGGTTGGCTGAATGTCCGTTGTTACAGTTATGTGAATTCCCACATCACTGGTTCTGTCCTCCGCAGGTCAACGGCCTAGTCCTGCATGGCCGATGTCATTTGAACGCCTCGGCCATCATCAAGGGCCTGCCCGGTCCCGTCATCAAAATCATCCTTCTCAGGTGAGTTGACCTAATCCCAGCAAAAACGGACGCCTTCCGAAATGCCCCGCGTAACGTTCGCCTCGCTCTGTTGGCGGCCAGACAAATGCCTCTACTGATAAGCCGGGCGGCGGGAGCTTTTATGCGGTATCCGAATGGGCGCCTCGGTTATCCCTGAGCACCGTATTTTTCCTGCGGCTTTTTTGGGCGCCCGGCTGCGGCTGGCTATCGGTGACGCCGGCAGCGTCCGGGGACCGGTGGTGGCGCCGAGGGCTGGCCCTCGCCGTCGGCGGCGCCGCGCGTGCCGCCCGTAATGGGCCGTCGGTCTGTCTCCGGCTGGGCATGGATCAGTTCCGGCGACGGGGATCGGCGCTGGCGACGGCTGCCTGAGCGCCCGGCGCACGTTTAGCGATTCGGGCGGGATCGACTGCGCTGGTGGGAGGGCGGCGGACGGGAGTGGTGAGGACAGGAGGAGCGCTGACGGGAGTGGTGAGGACAGGAGGGGTGCTGGCGGGGGTGGTGAGGACAGGGGGCGCTGACGGGAGTGGAGAGGACAGGGGGCGCTGACGGGAGTGGTGAGGACGGGAGGGGTGCTGACAGGAGTAGTGAGGACAGGAGGGGCGCTGGCGGGATTGATGAGGACAGGAGGGGCGCTGACGGGAGTGGTGAGGACAGGAGGGGCGCTGGCGGGAGTGGTGAGGACAGGAGGGGCGCTGGCGGGAGTGGTGAGGACAGGAGGGGCGCTGACGGGAGTGGTGAGGACAGGAGGGGCGCTGACGGGAGTGATGAGGACAGGAGAGGCGCTGACGGGAGTGGTGAGGACAGGGGGCGCTGACGGGAGTAGTGAGGACAGGAGGGGCGCTGACGGGAGTAGTGAGGACAGGGGGCGCTGACGGGAGTAGTGAGGACAGGGGGCGCTGACGAGAGTGGTGAGGACAGGGGGCGCTGACGGGAGTAGTGAGGACAGGGGGCGCTGACGGGAGTAATGAGGGCAGGAGAGGCGCTGACGGGTGTGCGGCTGCCGGAAGTGGTGATGGCGGGGGTAACGGTGACGGCGGCTCGAGGCGGCATCTCAACAGGATAAGTGGTGCTGGTGGGGAGGAGCACGACTGAAGCGGCGCTGACTGGGTTAGTGCTAGTGAAGGTGGCACCGACTGGAGTGGCGCTGACGGGAGTGGTGATGACGGGAGCGGGGATTAGGGCAGAGATGCCGACAGCAGTGACACTGACGGGGCTGGTGCTGGCCCGTGGGTGCTGACGCGTGTGGTGCTGATGGGAATGGGGCCGACGGAAGGAGCGCCCGGAAGTAGCGCCGATGGGCTATGCTGACTGAGGGAGCTCTCGACGAACGTAGCGTTGATCAGGACCAATGGGACCAGATGAGCCCCCAGAGCTGTAATGAGACCGGCGTGAATAGAAAGATGCGAATGCTGGCAGGTCACGAAATGTCCAATCCAATGGCCGGCAATGCAGGCAAGAATTGACCAGGTGGTGCCCAGGGCATGCGTGATAGTGGCACATTCAGTGGCATCAAATTCGGTCACAGTTTGTGAGCTGCTGAGGCGATCAACCGTTTAAGGCGATTTATGGTCGGTGATTGTTTTTGAATGCGTCCTTCGACGGCTGGTTTTGCTATCAGAGTCTTCACTGGTGGACTCGACGACCGGGTAAGGTGGGGATGTGGGATGGAAAATGTGGTGATGCTAGCCAGTGTGTACTGAGCTAGAACCGAAAGAGAACAGTGACGACGACATCCGGGGCGTTTTACGAGGGATGTCGCTGTCGGACGGCTGCGGTGCTTCAGCTGAAGGGAGACCGCTGTCATCGTAACGACCGAGTTCGTCCTAGCGGCGGGTGCTTTCCGCGCGCTTGTGTCGACCACTGGCGGCCGAGAACTCGAGAGCTGTGCGACATGGAACAAAGTCGAGTTGTTCGAGGCTACAGGGGCTCACCATCGATAGCTGACGATCCGGTGATTCCCAGCTTCGAAAGGGCCTGGACACTCACTGGAGGAGGAGGGGAGGGGTGAAATGGGCTCCATCCACTTGTTTCCGATGAAATTAGAACTTTTAGAAATAAAACTAGAACTAGAATCAGCGAGTTTTGGTGCGGCTTCCAAGATAACGAAACATCAAATAAATAGAAAATTGTTTTACGGAGGTTTTGAGGCGAGGCATTAGGATAACGAGTTAAGCAGTTATTCGACCTATCGTCATATTCTGGTGTGTTAGTATGCATGCAACATTTTTGGCTAGTTAACTTTCCGGCCCTCGTCAAATGTTATTGATCCCTGAGAAGAACTGGATGATTGTTGGCTTTCAGACATGTTTGCACCAAAACGCAAACAGGTTATTTATATGAGTCACAAGTTATGTCCATGGAATTCCTGGAATCATAACCGGAGTCTTACAATTGTGAGGTCAGCGCTCTACCAACTGAGCTACTGAGGAGCCTAGCGCCGTTCCCGGTTAGCTCAGTTGGTGGACCGCTGGACTCACGGTAAGTAAACCCCGGCGAGAGCATCCAACGCATAGGTCGTCGGGCATCGGGCTAGGCACAGAGGAAGCTCCCCTGTAGTCAGAATGGCCATGGACGCCAAGTGACCGTACCTGTCGGCGCGACCAAAAGCCCCAATCATCATGATCGTCATCAGAATGGCCAGATTCAGTTTGACCGTGTTTGGCCCACAGCTCCTAGAGACTGTCATAACGTCACGGCAAGCCGCATGTTTCAAGCTTGCTTAGCCAATGGATGACCACTGTCCTTCGCAAGCGTTTCGATGTGTTCGGTATGGAGCATTTGCGTCAGTGATTGCTGTCATGACCTACAGCTCCTGTGACCTATGGCTACTGTGACCTATGGGTGCCGTGACGAGGCATTCAATAAAGCCCGCCCAGGTATTGTGCTCTGAAAAGGTCATGGCTCTATCTTTATTAGGAATAAAGATAGGAGAATTTGTGCTCCCGCCACCTGCGTGCATTTGGCCGTGCCATGTGAACCGTGCTACTTTCTTGCTGGTGTGAAGTCCCTTTTTTGACCGGTGACTCCTGACTGTACTTTAACAGATCATTGACACTTCGGGCGACATCGATGCTCTTGACTCAGCCCGATCGCGACCACGCCAGAGATCACCGACAAAGGCAGTAGTGCACAGGCTTTGGCGACCTCTCGCCATGTTGAAGACCACTGCCATCCTCCGCATAGCTGATGCCGTATTCTGAAGGCCGGGCTAACTCACTTCTGAGAGGGATTGTAGGACGTGCTGGATTTTTTACAAGGGCGTTGAAGCCTGAACTTTGCCGCTCCACTTTGACACGAAAATGTTGCGTTCCTCACATCTGGAATGCTCTCTGACGCCCCTGCTGTCGGACAAGGAAGCGTTGTTCACATCTGGAATGCTCTCTGACGCCCCTGCTGTCGGACAAGGAAGCGTTGTTCACATCTGAAATGCTTTCTGACACCCTGCTGTCGTACAAGGAAGACGCGGGCAGAATAAAGCCTGTAGAGACGCGTAATCTGACTCGCGTCCTGAGGCGTGACGAAAATCAAAGCGGTCAGGGTGCTTCGCCTTTTCAGATGGCCCGTTCGCAAAAATATCCAGCAAACTAAAAGGATATGGCGGGCCAAGGACCAGAAACGGTAGCAGCACATCTCGCGATTGGGTTTGTTGTTCCATTAAAACTACCGGGGCATCCGCACCAGTATTGTTAACAATCCTGACTTATACGTGACGATGCTAATAAAAATTAGTCGCGGAGTCCTGAGTCCCCAAAACCACGTATCACTCATACCCCATACAAGAAATCAGCGCCTTCCTTAATGAGACATGGCTAAGAAACGAGAAGCTACGCCAGCTGTGACATTGCAACCTGGTCTGCCCTGTACGGAAGCGCATTGTGGGTCCTGCCAGTACCATCGTGCCATCGTGCCATCGTACAGCGGAACAGCACAGAACGATGAGAATGTCGTCAGAGACACTTTGATTTCTGGCTCGGGCGGTGCTGTGTTCGCGCGTTTCATAGTATGCTACTTCTGCGAACACGCATTTCTTGCGTCTTTCAAGTTCTGAGAACGCGGCCTTAAATGTCACTTATTTAAATTGCTGCCGTTCCAAATAATGTGTTTTCCCCACTTGGGTCGCTTCCGCGTATTTCATCCGTCTTGGTTAGTATTTGCGTTGGGGACGTAGGCGTTGTTGACGTCTGGGAAGTACTGGCCGTCTTCATTGGTTTGTATTTGGACGCGGTCGGTCTCAGAAACGATGTCAAATGTAGAGATTACGACAGCAAAAAAACGCGTAAAAGCGGCTCATCTCGTACATCCCTGGGCGATATTGCGCTTCGACGCTGGATGCAGCGACGAGCAAAACGGCAGTACCGACAGTCGGGCGGTGCTATTCTTCGAAGCCGCGGCGTCGGAGCGGCGCACAAAGCCAGAGCCGACCCGCCGTCGCGGCGCCGGCTAACGTCTGGCGCGGCGCGGCGCCGCCGGCGGCGTCGGCGATCGCCCGGGCGGGGCGGCGGCAGCTGGAGGTCCATTAGATGTTGGCCGCGGCCGACCGGGCGGCGACGGGCGGCGGCGTCGGCTCCTCGGTCCGCCGGTCCGGCCCGCCCGAGATGGGATCGATGGCTGCTGACGGTCGATCCGACCGGCCGCCACCCACCTCGTCCACCGGGCGGCCGGCCGCCGGACGGCCGCCGCCGGGCCTCGTGTCGACGCGGCGCCGAGACGACGTCGCCCGGCCGGGCCGGCCCCGCCGCCGGCCGCCTCGGAGGCGGCTGGTGCTGCTGACTTCGGTGCTCGCCTCTCATCTCCGCGGCGCTGGACTGTCGGGATGGCCAGTGTTAAACTTCGTCAGAGGCGTGTCGTGCTGGCCAGCGTTAAACTTCATCAGAGACGTGTCGTGTTGGCCAGTGTTCAACTTCGTCAGAGACGTGTCGTGGTGCCCAGTGTTAAACTTCGTCAGAGGCGTGTCGTATTGGCCAGTTATTCTACACACACACACATATATATATATATATATATATATATATATATATATATATATATATATATATATGTATATAGGCCAGTTATATTATACCTCGTCTTAGACGTGTCGTGCTAGTCATTGCCCTCCTCCCCTCCCCGCAGCGTGACAGTTCAGGCGTTTACCACCAGTAGTCGGAATTGAAAGGCACTGTAAACAGATACAGGGACGGTCAACAGTAGCGCAGATACGGACTAGCCAGGACTGCGACCCGGATGTGCGCTATGCAATCTGAAATACGATGTTCCTCATTGGAAATGCCTCGACTTTAGTGCTGACATTTATGAGGCTCTGTTTGTTATGCGTTGGCAATTTAGCCCGTCTAAATAAACGGAGGGCGGCTCTCCGTACATACCGCCGTCGGCTGATGAGATATACATTTGGGTGCCGGCCGGTTCGTAATTAGTTTCGCTAAGTCGCTGAACGAGATATGCCAAGGTTTCCAAATCTTCAAATTGCTGCACATCGGGGCAAGAGTTGTAGTTGATCATGATAAAAGGCACAGAAGGCACATGAACAGATTGGCTCGTTTAACATTTTGTAGTTAATATATTCAGATGTTGAAAAGGATCCGCTGCCGCATAATTCCCCTGGCCCAGTTGTTATTATAAGAATATGGTAATACACAATTTGCTTGCATGGATGCATGCGCTCAACAGAAGGCAATTCGGCGTATCTACACGCACCACAATTCGATGAAACCCTCCTCGATGCAGATTTCTCGATGCGTGCTTCCTTTGCGCCTACTGTGGATCCCGACTGCGGTCCTCTGAGCTCAAGAACTCGCAGCGCTGCACGGCTCACCGCTCCGGGGTTTACCGGCCGCGAGCTTCCGCGGAGCCTTGGGCCCCAGCCCCAACTGAGCAGTCTTACGGGGCCGTCGGAGGCACAATGCGGCTTCCCGGGGAGGCTTGCGTCGGGTCGAGCCGGGGTCGCAGCGGAATTGCGCCGCTTTTTGTCCCGTTCTTAATGCCACCGCTCTGATATGGCTGTCGAGCCCGAGCGGGCGCTGACGGGACCAAACAAACCGGGCATAAATGGCATAATGAATTGCTTTTGTTCATCCGCTGGTACGGAATTTATGTAGCGCGAAACTTATGATCGCGGCGTCCGTTGGCGTGTGCGGCTAGACAGGAGTTGCGATGCGGGACCCATTTGCAAATGAAATGCGAATTGGACACGGATGAGACCTGAATGGAAGCTGGCTTTGAGCTGGCATTTTAAGGTTTAGGGTGTATGTGCGGCGTATACTTCACTCAGTATTAGGTGGATTGCAGACTCAAAGGGAGTGTCACTTTTAGGGCGTACTTCCGGAGCATACCCTAGGGAAACCTCAGGGCCAGTATGTCTGATAGTAGCACGCGGAATTGCCACTGCAGCACCAACAAGATATGATAAGCAAAATAATTATGATTTTCATCAAGTGCATATTACGCAGTGGACGTTTTGTCACAGCACGGCACTTCGTTTTGTGTTTGAAACCTCGGAGTTCATTTCTGATATGGATAATCTTGGAACGTGCAAACATTCAAATGAAATATTCATCATTACCTCCGCGATTTCACTGAGACTGGGCTTGAGAATCTGCGTGGTTAGGGCTTTTTTGGCCCACAGACCCGCAAGGCATGAGCAAAAAAGCTCAAAACTGGTACCTCTACTCCGTAGCAGTTGACGGCGGAATCTGCCGCGAGCCGTCGTCAGCTGTTGCCGACTCGAGGTGCCACGGCTAGCTCTCTTTACCCGCGTATTGCAGGCCTACGAGCTGAAAAGTGACACCTCTACCGGCATGAATGACTGGGTATGAAGAAACGTCTGTGATTGGTACAGTGGGTGGCTTAAGCCGTTTACCGACAAGTACATGGGTAGGAGTTTGAACCAGATCGCCACTAGTCCATGTGATGTGGCGCTGGAATCTACGTCCTTTATAAACACGGTCTTGCACCGAACTCAGCAGCGAACTAAACAGTGTTTCCCAAAGTCAAAGGCGCTTCAAAAAGGCCCACTGTGCTGAAGTGTCATAGGAGAGAAATCAATGTCGTTTGCTGAGGTTGATGTTTCGTTAAATCCGTATGACAATGGCTTCATATTTGCATATGTTTTGTCCCAACTGGGGTCTTTCAAGTATTAATAGCATTTATTACACAAGCGCTCTGGCTAGTTAATGAATTGGTAACGTTATATAGCACACACGCTTGAAAAAGAAATAAATAAGAAATTATTTGATATATAGATAGAAACAATAATAAATAGAAAGAAAATGGAAGTAATTATAACTAAGAAATAAAGAGACAGAAATAAGAAGTATGTCTTTCATAGTGGTGTACGAATAATCCATTGGCATTTTTCCCGTTGGACCGGGCACTTCAACTCAAAATCCCAAGGTTTCGGTAGAATTCCGAGAAAGCTGGTGCTACCAATCAACTCGAACGCTTCCCTTCCAATAATGAGCGGAAAGTGTAAAAAGCTGGCATAATTCCTTTAAGTGTGGCAGAAACGTCTCCTTGCCCTTTGGCCATGTGCATGTGGCCACAGTAGGGCTTGTGCCTTCTGCCTGAATGTGTGGCCAAAGTAGCATGGCATGTCCGTGCCGGGCGGGACCTACAGCAGGGGGCAGGGCGCCTGATCTGCTGCCCGGCGCCCGTCTGTCCCCGCGTCGGGGCCGCACCCCGCTGCTGGCCGCTGACGCCGCTCGTGCCCGCAGGCGGGAGGAGGCCCTGGACGACCTGGCCGTGCGTCCCATCACCCAGTTCCCGGTGTCGCTGCAGGACGAGGTGAGAGTCGCGGCCGTCCCCGCCCGGCGGCTGGAGGGGACCGCTTTCGAGCGCCGCAGCGGCTGGCCGGTGCCCGTCGGAGTAGCCGCGGTGCGGCAGGGATAGACCGCCCCCGCGGACCGGTCTCGGCAGGCGGCCCCAGGACGCGGGCGGATTATAGCCCATCCCGTGGGCTCCTCTTTTCTGGTTATTTTGTTGCGCTTGGACTCCCACGCTGTCGGTTCTTGTACGCCGGTTAGCCGTGATTTATTAGTCCGCCGGTGTTCAATTTGGCCTGCTCGGCGTTGTTTGCGCCTGGCGTGCCGGCGGCTCCGGGTGTAGCTGTTCGATCGCGGCCGCCGTCTCTGCTGCGGCGCCGGACGGGCTTATCTGGTCTCCGCCGTCGCTCCGGGCTCGGCGCTGCGGCGCGATCCGGCGCACCGACCGTCTCAGCCGGTCCGCCCCCAGCCGCCGGTCCGCTCGGTGCCGCGCCGCTCCAGGCCGCGCCGCTCTAGGCCGCGCCCGCATCGGCTTGCCAACGAACCGGCGGCGCGTAACTCACCGGGTTTTATCGTTGTTCCGTTGGATTGTTTAAGTCGTTATATCACTGTTGGAGCGGTTTCGAACGGCTGTGCGTAGTGAATTTAATGCGCTTGAGACTGTTGAGCACGTAACCATCCGTGAGCGGATCGTGCGATTACGTGCGCCATGTGTTCGGGCATAAAGTCAGCGTGTTTGAGACAGCCAGACGATTCCATGACAGCCAATCGACTCGACCTCCCCCCCCCCCACCCCCCACCCCCCACCCCCACCCTGGTCCCCCGCGCTAGCCAGTCCAGAAGCCGTGACACGCGGAGGCGCCAGGTGCGCCAGACCAGCTCAGGAGCGCATGCCTCGACCTGGCGCGGGCGTGGTCACACGTGCCGCCGCGCCGCTCACGCCACCGTCTCGAGCAGCCCGTGTCGTCGTTCCGGCTAGCGGGGGTCAGCAGGGGGGGGGGGGGGTTGGGGGTGGAGCGCAGTCAGTGGCGACAGTGGCCAGCCGCGGCAGACGCGTGCGTCCTACCAGTGTTTCCAAGCGGCAGGAGCCGGCTGTCGCAGCCGTCGCGTTGTGTTGCCAGACTCCTTCTCTGCGAGCTTGGATGAGTTCAGTTATGCTGGCTGCGGGGCCCGGCGTTCAATTATGCTGTCCCGGGGCCGCGCGTCCAATTGTGTTGGACGTAATTGACGTCCTCATACATCAAGTGTAGTATTACATTGGTTGTTTGTGCGCATTGGGAGGCTGGCACTAAGCCTTTAACGCTTGGAAGCACCCGATTTGGATTGTGGCGATGGATGAACACCACTTTGTGACGTTGAGATTCACGTGAGATTCACGTTAAGAGAGAAGGGGATGATGGGTTGAGGCATTACAGTGCCGTTTTGTGCTCGTGGATGACTCACGGCTTGGGGAAAGCGGAAGAGAACGTGATATGCACCATCCGAAAATTCGTCACTCGATGATTTTATGTATTTTGTTCTCTGCCACCCATCAGCAGGCAATCATCAGTCCCTCTTACTACCCTAGCGGCAATAGTTAACACCAGAGAGCATAAAATAGCGAGTCGCCCCCCCCCCCCCCTCCTCTGTTGAGAGGCGGAAACATAAAAAGTGTAGGAAGCAGAGCGGCGTTAGTGTTAGGCATGCATAAAATCATAGCAAGGAAGGCTAATTCCTGCCATGCTTACGTGCGAAGTAATAGTAACGAATGTTAATGCTTCCATTTTTTTTCATTTTTTCATGTTTTAGTAGGTATTTATTGATTTTTATTATTTATTTATATTTACATATACAAATCACAATTTCTCTCTTATTATCACACCAGGGACCTTACATTCTATACATTCATTTGGTGTTATTGAAGCTTCACCTCGCCAATTTCGAAATCCTCCGCTGTATCTCTGAGTAGTCAATCCAGCTAAACATAGCTGGTTGCGTGGTGGACTCTTGAAGCCAACGACGTTGATTAGTGTGCCGTGGATAATGAGATGGCGGCCATACAGCGTATCTTGTATATGCTAATTGGTGGTTGTTACGGATCAGGAGGGTTGTATATGGGTTTCAATTACATCGATCTAGTATTTGATGTTGCTCAGATTCTCTTTACGTTATTTCAAGAACGTTAGAATGTGTTGATATCTGCAGCTGGCTGTCGGTCTCGCCTTCGCGCCCGCGCCTGGCAAATCTCGTGCTCACACAGTCCTGAGCTCAACAGACACGGCGGTACATTGGGAGCCGCTGGTGGTGATGTGGTCAACCGATGCATTGTGACTGGTGCGGGTCATCAGGCATGTACTGATGCCGACCTGTATGCTCATCAAGCTACTCAGTGACGCGGGTGTGAAGATGGCTGCAAAGAAGCGAATACTCGCGAAGGTCAACACCGTGCAATCCAGTGCAATGCACCGCCATGTGACGCCGGGCGAAACGGGACCTCGCAGCGCCGTGCGCCGTCTGTGTCGAGGCCGGCGGCGGTGCGTGAACTCCTGCCGCTGGGGTGGAGTGGCTCTCGTCACCAGACCGCGGCGTGCCGCCGAGGTCTGGTGACGATGCGTCGGCGACACGCGGCCCGCAGGTGGCGCTGCAGTAATGAGACGATTGGGCATTGGTTCACGCACGGGGCGCGCTGTGGGTCGGCGTTAGGTTGGAGCAAGGTGTGCGTCGGAGTTGAGGCCATCACTGATCGTGCAGGGCGGGCTATCGGTCGTGTTTTTCGGATGTTTTGGATTGTCTTCTGTCGCGTGCAGGACGGCGAGGTAGCCAATCGGGGTAAAGTACCTCCACGTGGTCCCGCCGTTTCGTCTATTTGGAGAACGGACAACAGCCATCTCCCTCTTCACATCACGCGTGTTTTGTCGTTGGATGGATCGATCTGCTTCTGGCGGCTCAATACTACCAGAGCCTGCAGCCGGCTCTCCGATCACGCGCCAGCCAGCGGGCGCGCGCCGCACCCGCGCCGCCGGCCGGCCGACTTTGATGAGATGGGATGTGAGATGGGATGAGCCCTATCTGGGATGAGCCCCGCTGGGCTGCTGGCAGCCCCCTGGCCACCTGATAACCGTGCTGTTATGTGACGAAGCGCACCCTCCCTGCCCCTCCCCCCCCCCCCCCCCCCAGCGCTGGTGTGAAGTGCTGGGGCGGCTGCGGCGAGTCAGAGCCACGTGAGATGACAGGTACAGGTCCGTCCGATGTGTCTGACAGCTGGCGCTGTGTTACAGACGCCAGAGCAGAAGTACGCGAAGTACAAGGGCCTGCGCAATGTCCAAGTGAAAAAGGTACGTTTTATATCGTGTGTGCGGACGGTGTTGTGTTGTGCGCTGGTGTTGCGTTGTGGCTGTGTTGGCGTGCTTGCTGTGTACGCGTGGACGAGTTGACTTACAGCTGATTGTCACATGCCAGATTGTCGACGCATGCTGTCGGTGAACCGAGGACAGCCAACGCCAAACAAGAGGCGGTCGGCGTCCTCCTCGATCCCGGCACCCGCGCTCCTGTCTGCCGTGTTCCGCATCCCGCGTGTCCGGCTCCGTCGGGGCATCTCATGACTGCCCGCGCTCCTGTCTGCCGTGTCCGGCTCCGTCAGGGCATCTCATGACTGCCCACGATGCTGTCTGCCGTGTCCTGCGTCCTGCGTGTCCGGCTCCGTCGGGGCATCTCATGACTGCCCGCGCTCCTGTCTGCCGTGTCCTGCGTCCTGCGTGTCCGGCTCCGTCGGGGCATTTCATGACTGCCCACGCTCCTCTCTGCCGTGTCCTGCGTCCTGCGTGTCCGGCTCCGTCGGGGCATCTCATGGCTGCCCGCGCTCCCGTCTGCCGTGTCCTGCGTCCTGTGTCCTGCGTGTCCGGCTCCGTCGGGGCATCTCATGACTGCCCACGCTCCTGTCTGCCGTGTCCTGCATCCTGCGTGCCATCATGCGTGCGTCACGGTACCACGCCGCATAATCGCATTGAATCATCGCATTGTGACGTGCCACTAGAGCATATCATCGCCCTAATGCGCAGCCTCATTAGGTGACGCTCACAGCAGCGTAGCATCCGTGTCCATTCGGTACACACTTCAGCTCATTAGGCGGCACCACTTCAGCCTCCATCACGTCAGCCGGATGCATAGTTCAGCTCTCAGCATTCCCCATCAGTGGGAGTGGAAGAGCCGGGTGGCCACCACCGCCGGATGTTCCGGCGCCCCCCGTCTGCCTGCGCCCTGCAGCCGCCAGCGATATCGGTCGCGACTCCCGCCGTGCCGCCGCTCTCGGTGGCGTCCGCTGCCGGCCACGGTCCCGGCGCCGCGCGGCCGCCGTCCGTGGTCGGTGTCCCCAGCTCGACGCCAGGTGACCGCCGCGCTCCTCCGCAGGGCACGCAGGGCCTCGGCATCATGATCTTCGAGGGCAAGCACGCCGAGGTCGGCCAGGGCATCTTCATCTCGGACCTGCAGGCGGGCAGCCCAGCCGAGCAGGTCAGCGGTGGCGACCGGACCCGTCCGCCGCGCGGCGCCGTCTCGCGCGTGTGCGATGTGCGCCGCTTGACGACCGCGCTCCTGTCTGGCCGCAGCCGGCGCCGGACCGCGCCGTGCTCTCTCGCGATCGGCGCGCGCCGCCGAGCGCGCGCTCCTGTCGCGCGGCTCCGGGCGGCGCGCGGCGGCGCGGTGCCGTGTTTGCCCGGCGACGATGGCGGCGTGCCGTCGTGTTCGTGCACGAGCGGTCGTGTTACCGCTAACTGGCTTACTCAGCCGCCGCTAATTAGCTCGCTTCCCAGGCGCGAGTGGCGCGAGGCATGCTGAACGACCGTGCCTATTACATGGCCAATGAGATGGGATTGTGGGGGTATTGCGCGCCTCCCGGTGGAGGTGAGGCCGCGGACCGTCGCCCCTGCCAGCGCGGCGTGGCATGTGTGCGTGCATGCGTGCCGTCGTGACGTGCGACGTGGGGCGTGCCGTTGCAGGCGGGCCTGTCGGTCGGAGACATGATCCTGTCCGTCAACAACGAGGACCTGGTGGGAGCCGACTACGACACGGTGAGACCATCGGCCTGCGTGACCACTCTCGGCCGCTGGCGCGGACGGCAGATCAGTTTTGGCTGCGGTTTGTGTGAAGCTGTCGTCAGGAGACCGCTGTCCAGCAACTGATGGCAGATCTTGCAGTTTCCCGGTCACAGGACTCTTGCCATCAGTTTCTCACGGCCCAGGGACTCAGGTCCTCCCTCCTGTCAGTGCCGCTGCGATCCTCCCGCAGCCGACTGATTCGCCTAACCGAAAGTCTGCCTTCCGACTGGCTGCAGGCGCTTGCGTTTCTGGCTCGATTAGGGCCGCGTCTGCGCCTTTTTCGCCTCGCTGTCCTCGCCTACGATCGTCAAAACACTGCACTCACACTAGCCAGCCGTGCGTCACGTGTCGGCGCGCCGCTGTCGCCCTCCACGTACGGCGGCCGGCAGAGCAGCGCTCGCCGCCGCCCAAGGGCCGCTCGCGGGCCGCCGCCTGGGTGGCGTGCCGGGCCGCCGCTGCCGCTTCACTCAGTTCGGTTTTATCGCGGCCGGGCGGTGCGCCGCCGCCTGGCTGGCCGGCCGCTGTTCGTGTAACGGGCCCGGTAATAGACGGATCCGGGCCGGGTGTCGGCCGCGCCATCTGCAGATAAAGCCGGCCCGACAGCGCCGCGGTCTGCAGTGCCCGCCTCAGCCGGAGCCGGACCGGCCGGCCGGCTCCGAGTGACAGTCGGGTTTGCCAGGTTGAATGCCGGGATCGGGCCGCCGGCTCGGCTGCCGCTGGTGGTAACTAGCCAACAGGCTGACGCGACCCGACACCAGGCGCCGCCCAGTCGCCGCGCGCTGGCAGACCCCGTCCCTAGCCGCCGCGCGCTGGCAGACCCCGTCCCTAGCCGCCGCGCGCTGGCAGGCCCCGTGCCCAGCCACGCCGCGCGCCGCGGGCCGCTCCCGGGCCGTGCTGTCGCCCCGAGACGGGCGCACGTCTTTCTCGAACGGTGCGGCGTGGCCGGTGGACGTGTCGCCGTCCACCGGCCGGCGGCACGTTAATCTGACAGTGCTGGCGGCGTGGCGGCGGGCCGCCCGTCGCGCCGTCGGACCCCCGTCGGGACACGGCCGGGCGATAATTGGCTGGCTCTCTGTCGGCCCGATATTGATTACGGCTTTGGCCGCCGACACAGTCCTCTACGACCCGCCGGGCGGGGCTTGTCAGCCGGGTCGGGCACCCGCCACGCGCCAGTTTTTGATAATGCCGGTCTCATTGCCCCGTTGTCCGCCGTCCAGTGGGGAAAACTCACCTGTTGTGCTTCTTGGAGCAAGGGTTTTATCCGACCTCTCACCTTTGGACCCAGTCAGATAGACGTAGTGTGGGCTCTACGGGCGTGGCTCCTCTCATTAGAGCGGATGATCGCTGGCGCGCCATGCCCTCCCCCGTCGCCGCCGCCGCCGCCTTCGGACTGCCCCAGTCGTCTGACGGCGATTCAGCATCAGCGAAGTTTGGAGTAGGTTGACTGAGACGGCTGTCGGAGTTGATGATGCTCCGGCGGACGCCGCCGGGCGGCTGGTCGTTGTCTGATGATGCCGTCCATCCGTCGGACATGAGGCCGCCGTTCAGCGCCCGGCCTTGCCGAAAGGGGCCCGGCCTGCTCGGCCTTTTTGCGCTTCCGGCCATTAGACGATGAGAAAAATTGCTCCCGGCGCGGTGGCGGCGTTCCAGCACACTGGCAGCACCCGACTCATGGATGAGCGTCTGGGGAGGCGGATGGAATGCTGGGCGCAGATGCGACCTAGTCAGAAGCTGCAGCCACCCGGCCGCGGCATGACCTAGGTGAAGGCTTGGTCCGATCTCGCACGGCCCCGCGGGGTTTGGCAGCTTCACACGACTCAACCATGTAAGACCTGCGGCGACGCTCCCAACGCTCCCGGCTGTGTCGCCGTCGCCCTCGCCCCGTCTGGGCGGACGCCGGCGCTGAAATAAGGATGAGCCCGCCGGTGGCACGGCACCGCGCCGGACGCGACTGGCCGGCTCGCTTCCACCGTGAGAGCGAGCCATGTGCCCGGCAGCCGGCCCGGAAAGTTCGATGCCGGCTGACCCGGCGACCCCGACGAGCGGGCGGCGCCGCCCGTTGGCCAGATCGGCCCGGATCGGGAGAGAACGGTGCGCCCAGGCGGCGGCGGTCCGTCTGACGCCGGGGCCGCGGCAGCCGACGCCTCTCAGCGGCGCTTTCGGCTTTCAGATGGCGGCGGCGGCGGCCAGCCTCGGTCGGCTCGTCGGGTGCGGCGCCAGGGCGACCGGCGACGGGTCGCGGCGCAAGCCTTTGTTCCGATAATGAGGCCCCGTTCGGGGATCTGGATGCTGTTATCCGGACAAAGGCCCGGAATAATGAGGGCACGTTAAGGGATCAGGCTGCTCCTTGGGCCCCAATGAACCCCATAGATTAGAAGGCTTTGCGTGGGATCAAGTCATTGGCGGCCTGATTAATTCTTGTATTACGGGGCCAGCGTGAGCGATCTGAGTGTTGGTAGTCGTTGCGAGCATGGCTAGTGTTCGCTCGTCAGATGATGGGGACTCGCTGCCCAGCTAGGTCAAAAAGCCAAGCCATGGCGATAAAACTTACTTTCCCCAGTTCGGGCAATTTCTAGATCGGAGCTCGGGCAAAGGTCATGGGTGCTGCGACCCGACGGAACGCCAGCCTGTGAAAGGTCACACGAAGGTCTCCGTCGCTACCGTCCGCGTGTCTGTGCTATTTCTCACTGGAGATCAGACATGCTATTTGAGGCCAGACGGATATAATGTAATCGATATGACGTTCAGGCTTCCGTGAGGCTGTAAAAAGCAAACGACTTCCACAGCATAAAAATTAAGCGACCGTGTTCAAAATATGCATGCCTTCGGATGATTGGATTCGATACCGTTGAGCTTGCCTACCATTGTAAAGAATCAGCGGTTAGAAATGACATTGGTTCGCAGCTGCGTTCGCTCCCGTCACTTTGCGCCGGTTTTTCACTTGCTGTGGTGGAGTGGATCTCCCGAACAGAGGTGTTGGGTACATCGTGTTCCCTGAACGTGGGACGCTGAGCTTCTTGTGCTCCCGTCTGCCCTGTTCCCTTCTCGGCAGGAGAGTTCTGCTTTTCGCCAGCTGACGCCGGTCGTTCCTGTTCCCTCGCCAGCTGGCGCCGGTCGTTCCTGTTCCCTCGCCAGCTGACGCCGGTCGTTCCTGTTCCCTCGCCAGCTGGCGCCGGCCGTTCTTGTCCCTCACCAGCTGACGCCGGCCGTTCCTGTTCCTCACCAGCTGACGCCGGCCGTTCCTGTTCCTCACCAGCTGACGCCAGCCATTCTGCTCCTCGCCAGCTGACGCCGGTCGTTCCTGTCCCCCACCACCTGACGCCGGCCATCATTGTCCCTCATCAGCAGATGCCAGCCATCCCTGTCCCTCACTAGCTGACGCCAGCCGACCCTGTCCCCCCACCAGCTGGCACCGGTCGTTCCTGCCCCGCACCAGCTGACGCCGGTCGTTCCTGTCCCCCACCAGCTGACGCCGACCATCCTTGTCCCTCATCAGCAGATGCCAGTCATCCCTTTCCTCACTAGCTGATGCCAGCCGACCCTGTTCCCCACCAGCTGACGCCGGCCATCCCTATCCGTCACCAGTTGACACCGGTCGTTCCTGTCCCCCACCAGCTGACGCCGGTCGTTCCTGTCCCCCGCCAGCTGACGTCAGCGGTCCCCGTCCCTCACCAGCTGACGTCAGCGGCCCCCGTCCCTCGCCAGCTGACGTCAGCGGTGCTCCCGCAGGCGGCCGGTATTCTGAAGCGGGCCGAGGGCGTGCTGGCGCTGTGGGTGTCGAACCCGAGCCGAGCGGTGCGGGACGCCTCGCCCTCACCGTCGCACGCCGCGTCGGCGCCGGGCCAGGCGCAGGCACCTGCGCAGGGACAGCCGTCCGCCGCTGAACCCGAGAAGCCGCGTGAGTCCCCGCGGCTGACACCGCCCGCCGCCCCGGCGCTCTGCGTCGCCGGCTCGCTTCATCGCGAGCGGCCGCGCCGTGACGCTCCGTCGAGGCGCGCCGTGTGGGTGTTAGACGGGAGTTAAGGACCGCCTTCAACGCTGGGCGGCGTTGCCGAGGTTTGAGTGTTGCCGTGCAAAGGAGAAGTAGCATGTTGCCGGCGCTTTCACCCACACGGTGTGCCCTCGTGGCGTGAAATATACGTTATGAAATGAGACTGCGGTCTGGATGTGGGGCTGTTTGTTATAGCTGCTTGTGATGATACCCGATTTGAATGTGGTGGGTGTCTGCTTTATCGTTCTTGGTTGGATGTGGTGGGGGTGGCTGCAGATACGTATGCAGACTGGCTTTTGCACGATATGATCATCGTTGAAGAGCTGACGTTATATGTGTGTGTGTGTGGTTGTGTGTATGGAGGGAGTGGGAAATTCTCTTTCCTGTACTCGCCCACGGGGTCAGCATCAGTGCGTAACTCGTCTGTCTGAATTATTCATGGGATGTGTAGCGCGTGCGCCTGGCTCCTGCGCGGGCACGCCTCGAGCCGGCGCTCACGTGCGGCCGGCTGGGTGCCGGGACGCCTCCGCTCCGTGCGCCAGCACACGAGCGCCCCGGTCTTCCCGCCATCTGTTTCCGCGCGCCCGCCGCCGCGGCGCCGTCTCGTCGCGCGCTGGTGACCGCTGGCAGCCTCCGCGGCGCTTGGGGGACGCCGCCGCGCGCTGGGGCTGGCGGCGACGCTGGCCGCTTGGCTTGGCTGTACGGCCGCGTGTGTGTGCGTGCCTGTGGTGCTGGCTGGGCTGCGCTGCTCGGTGTCGCCGTCGCCGGCTGACGGCCGCCCGTTGCCTCACACGTGACCGCCGCTGTTTTGTTTGTTTTTGCTCCCCCCATCACGGAGAATGCTGCACTCCGGCGGTTTGACGTATTGGTGCATGCTATGTAAGTACAGGTCGCGGCGGCTGTCTGCCGCCCTCGCAGGGGTGTAGGTCGTCTCTGCCTGTTGGGCCTGTGCCCGCCCCCGCGCCGCCAGATCTGTGGTGCCTCGTGCGCAAATCGAGCCACGGGTGTTGCGTGGACGCCTGGCTCATGAGACTGAAAACCCTCGCCGTTATCATGCATTAGTCCCGTGCTGCTGCGGTCACCTTCCACGGCAGCACTTGCGGTGCGCCTGCACATTAGATTGGTGCACCGGCTGGTCACCGTCCCGTCAACCGCATGCACTTGTGCACCGCGCTGGGCGCATGCGTGCGGCCTGTCCAGGTGCGGGAGGCGACCCGTGGCGCCGTTCGCGCCGCGGTCACGAGCCGTCGCCGCGCTCGCTCTGTAGCAGGGTCGCGTGACGAACGTGACTTGTCCTTTAGCCTAGTGTGGCACGGCAAATAGGTCGTAGTGTCGACGGGGCGGTCGAACGAAGCACTTAACTTGTCGCCAGTCATCAGTGAAACCACCAGCACACCTTAGTCTTGTGGATTATTTTGCTGGCTCTTAATTCGTTTAATAGTCCCAGTGAACCGGTGGGTTAAAATAATGGCGTCCGAGACGCTGGTGCTATATGACCGTCAAGCTGATGCACTGAAAACCCCAGTCGTCATCGTCATCATCAGGCGGGGAATTAAAGAAAATGAGCCCGTAACTGGCTTTAACTGGACCATAATCTGATTGGGATGACGAGGCCATCCAAACCTAACGGTGACGCCTTCGTTTGCAGGGATACCTCCCAAGCCGGTGCTGAATGCGTCCCAGTGGTCGGCAGCCAACGCTCCCGCGCCGGCCCCGACCCCCACCCCAGCCCCCGCCTCGGTCCCGATCCCCGCTCCGGCCTCGGCCCCGGCGCCCGCCCCCGTCCCCGTCCCCGTCCCCGTCCCTACTCCTACCCTTACCCCCACCGCCGTCCCCGCCCCAGCCCCAGCCGCGGCCTTGGCCCCGGCCCCAGCCCCAGCCTCGCCCCCACCTCCGACCCCGGCTTCGCCTTCGCTTCCGGTCCCGGCCTCGGTCCCTGTCCCTGTCGTCACCCCCGTGCCCACCGCCATCCCCGTTCCTACCGCCGTCCCGGCGCCCGTAGCGGTCCTGGCCCCGGTCCCGGTCCCGGTCCCAGTCTCGGCAGTGGTGGCGGCGGGCGCCGCCCCTCCGGTGGCGCCCCGCCCGCCGCCCAAGCCGAGCAAGCCGTCGCCGGCGGCGGCGGCGGCGCCGGCTGACGTCCTGCCGCCGCCAGAGGAGCCGCCGGCCGACCCGGCCGCCTGCCCGATCGTGCCCGGTCGTCAGACCACCATCGAGATCAGCAAGGAGAAGATGGGCCTCGGCCTGAGCATCGTCGGCGGCTCGGACACGCTGCTGGTGGGTGCCCGGGCGCTCGCTCCCGTCCGGCTGGCGCTTCAGGCGCCGGTGACGCTGCGGTCAGCGCCACTCGTGACACACGGCATGCTGGCGGTGGTCGGTGGAGCGGCGCTGTGTCCAGCTGTGGCCAGCTGCTTGAATGGAAAGAGCAGCCCGCCGGTGTTAGTCGCATCATTCGGAATGTTTCGGCGCCAAAAAGGCGTTCTGAGGGCAGCTTCGGATTTGGTTAGTATTGCGAGATAGTATGAGTCGGTCGAACCAGTTCAGTACGGTCTGTCCGCTCTCACCACGCACATACAAACGCCAGGGGTTTCAGATTTGCTGTGTGAAGCCTGCCTGCGGTGTCGTCTTCTCTGGAATGCAGCCGACGGTCTGGGATGGGCCGCTCGCTCTTTCGTTCTGAACAGACGGACGGCGGTATGCCAGTGGCCCCCTTTCGAGAGGCGTGTCTGTCACAGCGGACGCACGCGCCCGCTGTGCGGCGTACCTGGCGCCAGTGCAGATCCCATTCCACCGGGCAACAACGCCTCGGGGCTGGCGCCGAAGGGTTCGACGTGGTCTATCAGCGGCTGCCGGCGAGGTCCCGCGTGCACGTGTGCCTGACGCCTGCGCGGCGGCCGCCAGGGGGCCATCATCATCCACGAGGTGTACCCGGACGGCGCGGCGGCCAAGGACGGACGCCTCAAGCCCGGCGACCAGGTGCTGGAGGTCAACAACGAGAACTTCCGCGATGCCAGCCACAACAAGGCGCTGGCCGTGCTGCGCCAGACGCCGGCCAAGGTCAGCTGGGGTCAGGGTCGGCAGGGGTCACGCCGGCCAAGGTCAGCCGGGGGAGGGGGGCAGGGTCGGCAGGGGTCACGCCGGCCAAGGTCAGCCGGGGGAGGGGGCAGGGTCGGCAGGGGTCACGCCGGCCAAGGTCAGCCGGGGGAGGGGGCAGGGTCGGCAGGGGTCACGCCGGCCAAGGTCAGCCGGGGGAGGGGGCAGGGTCGGCAGGGGTCACGCCGGCCAAGGTCAGCTGGGGTCAGGGTCGGCAGGGGTCACGCCGGCCAAGGTCAGCCGGGGAGGGGGGCAGGGTCGGCAGGGGTCACGCCGGCCAGGGTCAGCCGAGGGGGCAGGGTCGGCAGGGGTCAGGCGGAGGTCAGGCGGCGGGTTCTTACCGGAATCAGCAGGCCAGCGGGGGTTTGACTATGGTGAGAATGGTGGATGTTGGTTTGGTTAGGCGGGGTCCTGTCACGAATGGTTCGCGGTTCAGATCGCTGCCGTGGTGACGCTCTGTTAGATGCTATCTTGGCATTGAGCCGACGTATTCTTCCCACTTCCTCAGCTCCCGTCGGCTTACTTTCCAGGCAGCCACGTGAGCTCAGACAACTTCTGAGGGGTATGCTCATGTCTGCCGCTTAAAGTTCAAAAGACCCGAGCGACATTTTTCGGAAATGGAGGTATTTATATCGTTCGAAGAAGCTCGAAGAACTGCATGTTGACCTGGCATTGATCAGAGGTCAAATCTCCCCTTCCTATGTGCAACATTTGCGATAATTCAACAACACCTGGAGATATCGCTGCGTGATTTTCCGTAGCTCCCAATTGATGAGTTCTACGCCTTGTGTGATAATAACTATGATAATTACTCACGCTTGCCACAATAGAGCAAGCGTGAGTAATATCAGAGTGACGTCATGTTGGCCGATTTTTTCACAAAAGTGCATAGCCGAAGACAAAGTGGCACGTGAGCCGAACGAAAGAACGAACGTCTGTAAACGGGAAATGTGAGCCAATGAGTCCAGCATTCAGATGCCTTGTCGTTGTGTTGTTTCAGTATTGCACCGTAAAATATTGGCTTGTTAAATCAAAGAAAATGGACAAAAGTACGCTCAGCATTTTTTCTTTGTCTTAGATTCACAATTTTCCAACATGGCAAAGGTGTCCTAGAGACGACTATGAAGGATGTCTGCACCAAGTTTCAAGCAATTCTCTGTAGCGGTGTTATGGTTTATTGTTTGAAACACATCACAGCGCATGTGGCCCGTGCCCAGGTCCCCGGCCCGCGGTGGCGCGCGGCGGGGCTCAGGTCTGCCGCAGCGACGCGCTGACGGGACGGCGGAAGCCGGTGATCAGTTTCACACGCAAAAAGACGACCATGTGGCTGGTGGTGGTGTTGAAGGGTATCAGGTTGCGCTGTCGGCAGGACTAAACCGTGGAAAACAACGCGAAAATCGATCCAACCGCCTATTTACTACCGGGGTCAGTCATTTTGCCTTGACATTAGATGGCCTAAGAACCAGTAACCGCCCTTGCTCAAGTTTTTGATACCCATAATTACTGCTAAGCTCCTCCGCTTCACGTTCAGATGGTTCAAACGTGACGGAAATAAATGGACCGGAGCAGATATGCACACAAAGGTTTCAGCTCTCATTCGCACAACACGCGACCTTGGCTCTAGGCCCGGTGCGGCGCGCGTAATATTGAATGCCTTCCTATGTAGTTCGTTTGATTAGGGCGCACTGATTTCACGCCATGAGATACGCTTCTGAATGATATGCGTTGTGGCGGCGGTCAGGTGTTCCAAAGTAATTTGTTTATAATTTGACGTGGACCTATGGCCTTAATACACACTTAAATTTAAGTTTGTTGTGTGGTGGAAGACCGCACGCCAAGGCGCTATGGATTGCGATTTTTAAATTCGATATGGCTGTTCTTGATATAAGCAGGGGGTCAAATCTGCCCCGCTGGTCGATGGTGTACCGCTGAGGAGCCCGGTCAATGCCGGGTTAAAATGTAGAGTAAAAAAGGGAAAAACTGCGTGCAAAGCTTTCCCTTTTCTAAGCACATAGGCATGTTTGGTTCGCGGAAACGTGAAAACGCTTCTTTTGAGCAATTAACCTGATGGCGCTTAGGCCTTCCTGCCTCTGGCCGGCCGATTGGGCTCACATGTGCTCACCAGTTTGCGCCAGAGGGGAGTCGAACCGGCTCTGTGCACGGCCGCCACGTGGGACCTGGCGTCGCGTGGGTCCTGAGCGGCCACGCCCGACGTCTGTCGGCTCCCTGTGCCTAGTTCGCGCCCGTCAGGCTCGGCTCCTGCCCGGCGCCATACCACTCTTTATCGCCCGCGCCCGGTCCCGGTGAATCCACCTTCGGCTGATGTCGGCCCCTCCGCTGGCGCGTGTTCGCCGTCGGCTCGGCCGCCGTCGCCGCCCGCTCCGCGCGCTCGCGCTCCTCCCGCGCGTGCGGGCGCGGCGCGGCGCCGCTTGATCGAGTGGACAGCCGCCGAGTGGGCTGCGAATTGGTCTGGGCGTCCCTGCGGACGGCCGACGAGTTGGGCCCGGTGTCGGTCGGGCGGCTCGTCAGGCCGCGCACGTCTGTCGTCCAGGGGCGCCGCCAAATGGCGAGCGAGGTGTGACGACCGGGCCGCCGGGGAGCACGGCCGGCCGTGCTGGTGTGATGAGGCTGCTCGGACCGGGGGCGCTGTATGACCGTTCGGACCGGGGGGGGGGGGGGCGCTGTATGACCGCTCGGACCGGAGGGCGCTGTATGACCGCTCGGACCGGGGGGCGCTGTATGACCGTTCGGACCGGGGGGCGCTGTATGGCCGCTCGGACCGGGGGGCGCTGTATGACCGCTCGGACCGGGGGGCGCTGTACGACCGTTCGGACCGGGGGGCGCTGTATGACCGTTCGGACCGGGGGGCGCTGTATGGCCGCTCGGACCGGGGGGCGCTGTATGACCGTTCGGACCGGGGGGCGCTGTATGACCGCTCGGACCGGGGGGCGCTGTATGACTGCTGGGACCGGGGGCGCTGTATGACCATTCGGACCGGGGGGGGGGGGGGTGCTGTATGGCCGCTTGGACCGGGGGGCGCTGTATGACCATTTGGAACGGAGGGGGCGCTGTATGACCGCTCGGACCGGGGGGCGCTGTATGACCGTTCGGACCGGGGGGCGCTGTATGACCGCGCAGTCGAAGCGCCCGTAAGCGCCAATTGCTGCTACCACCGCTGGCGCGGGTCGGTGGGAACGGGGAGTGGTGGACAGTGGCGGTGTGCCTGGGCGGCTGGGTGCGCAGTGGCGGTGAAGACGCCACGTGGACTCTGCTGGAGCGGCGAGGGTATCTGTTGAACTGGCATGGTAGGACTTATCGTAAGATATGCTGATATGTAAGATATGTAAGATATGCTTATCGTTATCGTAAGATATGCTGTGAGTCTGTCATGCAGATTACACTTAACTCTGTTTACGCTCTCCTGCAAAAATTTGATAACATTGAATTTTAAGAATTAATTAAAGATGTGATTAATTGGCCCCTTGAATGTTCGTCCCGTCGCTGGTCTTCGTCACCGAAATAGCGTCAGAGAGTTCAGACGTTTGTGAAGCGAAAGGCATCCGTTAAGTGTGATAGCATCGGCAATAATCAGTGACAGGCTCCCACCAAAGTTGACGCAGAATATTAGGAACCAGAATCCGAGTTCCCGAGCCACTCGGACCATTGATACTTTCCACACAGTGCAGCTCCAGTGTATTTACCAACACTTCCTAGTGTCGCTTTGGCAGAGGGGTGACCGCAGAACAGTAGCGACCCAATCCGAACGCGTCAATATGTTTTGGTGCCCAGGTGGCATACAAGTTACACCATGATGTGAGAAAGATTGGTGCGGCTTTAGTTGCCCTACGACCGCCCCCACACATTTGAGTGCTCTGGCTTCCAAGAAATATCAGGCTGGAAGATAGTTTCTTTTGGAAACTTATCTCAAGTTATTGCCGCTTCATGCTTTATGGTCCGGAGTTATTGCACAATAAACGTTTGATTCGGCTATATCCCTGTCATGACGAATTCGCCAGCCTTATCTTCCAAACCACCACCGATCCACACAAAGACCCGCGGAATGCCCGCCGTTTGGACGACATTCATCTCGGCGCCAGAACCTCCCCGGGGAAGGGAGGGCTCCTGCTCGATATCCGGGATCTCGAGTTTCGGCACGACATCGCCCATTGATTCGGTCTTCGCTGTGGCTGTGAAACGGCCGGTGGCGGCTGCCGGACGCCAGTTTCCATTTCACGGCTGCCGGTGCCGGGCGGCCAGCCGCTCCCGGCTCGCTCCATTCCAGACCGTCCCTTCCGCGGCGAAGGAGCGCGTTATGCGTAGACACTCGCGCCGGCCGGGCCGTCGCGGCGTGGAGCTGACGGCCCGAAAATAAACTGAAATGAATATGAATGACGCCGCCACCGCGCACCACGGCTGCTTCCAAGGTAGTCATTAATCAGCGCCGGCGGCGAACATCCCCGCTTTAACAAACCAGGGACCGCGCGCGGCAGCGCATGGTTGTCGAAAGCCGAGCCGGGCCACGAGTGATTGTATTGGCGTGCGCCCCGTCGCTGCGGGCGCTTGGCAGCCAGAGGCCCTCGGCGCGGCACGTGTTGCGTCCCTCGGGGTGCGTTCAGAACTTTCTCTGCGTTCTTTTCGCCGGATGTCGCTGGAGGCGTGCGATGTCCGCGACTCGCTGCAGGTTACATCGGTCGGGATCGCTGAAATCAATGGCCGTTTAAATCGGCTGGCAGCGCTGAAATCACATGCGTGCCGCAGTTACAACACTCAGACTAATGGTTGCATGGGCGTGTATGCATGCGCATGAATAGTAGTGGGGCTCGACAGCGGCCTGACCTGACCCGCATCGATCAGGTGCGGATGCTGGTGTACCGGGAGGAGGGCGCCACCAAGGAGGAGGACGTGTTCGAGACCATGGACGTGCAGATGGTGAAGAAGCCCGGCAAGGGGCTCGGACTCAGCATCGTCGGCCGGAAGAACGGACCCGGCGTCTTCATATCAGATGTGGTGAGTGCCGGCTGTGTGCGATCTCGTCGCTGGGCCTCGCGCCCGTCCGAGGCGGCGGCGCTCGCGCCCGTCGCGTGCCTGGCGTTGTGTTGGTCGCTTTGGTGAGTCGCTGCCGCCCGGGGCTGGCGGTGTCCAGCTTCTGTTCGTGCCTGCGTCGCTGGTGGTGGTGATGAGACGGGCTCGGCCTGGCTCCCGCTCGACGCTCGTGTCGGGTTTGTGGTCTGGCCGCGTGGAGGTGTGGTGGCGCCTGTCATGTCTGACTTAATATCCAGACCACACACCACGCAACACACCCACATGCCACGCAATGGGCAGCTTTACACCCACGACACAGGAAGGTTTATGCTTTCTAACTTTCGATATATTTTCACGTACCGATCCCGTAACCGATCCACGATTTTGAACCGATCACCACAACCGATCGGTTATCACGCCCCTGGCCGGCATGGATGTATTTGTGCGAGTATGTGGGGTTGTGATGTGCGGATGGCTGTCGGTACTTGTATGGCGGATGGCTGTCGGTACTTGTGTGGTATGGGGCGCATGCGATTGGTGGTTGTTTAGCGGGGTCTGCGCTGTCTCTCGGTCGTGGTTGGCAGATGAAGCGCAGCTTATCGGGCTCCGCAGAGTTCTTTAACTTGTCTCTGGATGGTGTCGACCAGATGGATGAAGTGCCCTGGGCCGAATCTGCAGCCCCCTGGCCACGTGTGACGGGTGAAGGGCGGCGTGGCGGAGTGTGCCGAGGCCTCTGACCCGCCACCGGGCCGGGTGTGACGGGTGAAGGGCGGCGTGGCGGAGTCCGCCGAGGTCTCTCGTGGCGGAGTCTGCCGAGGTCTCTGACCCGCCGCCGGCCGTGTCCGACACAGGTGAAGGGCGGTGTGGCAGAGTCTGCCGAGGCCTCTGACCCGCCGCCGGGCCGTGTGTGACGGGTGAAGGGCGGTGTGGCAGAGTCTGCCGAGGCCTCTGACCCGCCGCCGGGCCGTGTGTGACGGGTGAAGGGCGATGTGGCGGAGTATGCCGAGGCCTCTGACCCACCGCCGGGCCGGGTGTGACGGGTGAAGGGCGGCGTGGCGGAGTCCGCCGAGGTCTCTCGTGGCGGAGTCTGCCGAGGTCTCTGACCCGCCGCCGGCCGTGTCCGACACAGGTGAAGGGCGGTGTGGCAGAGTCTGCCGAGGCCTCTGACCCGCCGCCGGGCCGTGTGTGACAGGTGAAGGGCGATGTGGCGGAGTCTGCCGAGGCCTCTGACCCACCGCCGGGCCGGGTGTGACGGGTGAAGGGCGGCGTGGCAGAGTCCGCCGAGGTCTCTCGTGGCGGAGTCTGCCGAGGTCTCTGACCCGCCGCCGAGCCGTGACCGACACAGGCGAAGGGCGGTGTGACAGAGTCTGCCGAGGCCTCTGACCCGCCGCCGGGCCGTGTGTGACGGGTGGAGGGCGATGTGGTGGAGCCTGCCGAGGCCTCTGACCCGCCGCCGGGCCGTGTCCGACACAGGCGAAGGGCGGTGTGACAGAGTCTGCCGAGGCCTCTGACCCGCCGGGCCGTGTGTGACGGGTGAAGGGCGATGTGGTGGAGCCTGCCGAGGCCTCTGACCCGCCGCCGGGCCGTGTCCGACACAGGCGAAGGGCGGTGTGACAGAGTCTGCCGAGGCCTCTGACCCGCCGGGCCGTGTGTGACGGGTGAAGGGCGGTGTGACAGAGTCTGCCGAGGCCTCTGACCCGCCGCCGGGTCGTGTGTGACGGGTGAAGGGCGATGTGGCGGAGTCTGCCTAGGCCTCTGACCCGCCACCGGGCCGGGTGTGACGGGTGAAGGGCGGTGTGACAGAGTCTGCCGAGGCCTCTGACCCGCCGCCGGGTCGTGTGTGACGGGTGAAGGGCGATGTGGCGGGGTCTGCCGAGATCTCTGACCCACCATCGGGCCGTGTCCGACAGGTGAAAGGCGGCGTGGCGGAAGCGGACGGCCGCCTGATCCAGGGCGACCAGATCCTCTCGGTCAACGGCCAGGACCTCAAGGTTGCCACCCAGGAGCAGGCCGCCTCCATCCTCAAGACGTCCATGGGCAAAATCAACATGAAAGTGGGGCGGCTCAAAGTGCGTCACTCGCCCGGCGCCGCCAACGCCACCAGCAAAGTGCCTGACGCGTGAGTATTGTAGGACTCCTCCGCCCGAGGTGGTTCGGGCACGCTCCGGTCATCGCCCGCGGCACTGCAGCCCAGCTGTGGACGCGCTCGTCCTCGTGATGTGTACCCGATTGTGTGACAGTCGCTGCCGAGAACTGTACTAGCTATGAACGTGGTGTGGTGTCCATGATGCCAGTGGGAACAGGGGCGGGGCGTGCGAGTGAGTGGAATAACGTTGTCCCATGCTGTCTGGCTGGACTCAGTTAGGGTGCTAACTCTCTCCCGTTTCTTTTCTGTTGATCTGGGGTCGCCAGGAAGGTGAAATAAGGTGATGGTGAGTAGATTCCTTGTGGCGCTCCGCACTGCTGCATGCAGTCCCGTGGCGTTTCGCCAGCGACAGTGCTTACCTCTAGTGACGTACTGGAGCGTTCGAGCTTCTCTTGTTTCACCGTAGAGTGCATGGATTTTATTTGCATGGGCTGTGCGGATTCTTCCTATTTTAAAAGCACCCGAGTGCTGCCAGGTTGTCGGTTCGGTTTCTTTTGTCGTTGTGTGTTTCGGCTGCCTTGCAGATCGCACGTCGAAATAGCAAAAGGCTCACCCATGTACCGGCAACGGTGTTGCGAATAAAAGAAGCAATCATTTCCGCGCGTTGCGGTGAACGAACAGCGTTCCGTAAATTTCGCGCCACGCATTGAAATAGAAAAGCAAGCAACCAACAAAGGCTATGGAAGATGTATCGTTTCCATTCCACGCACATTTTTCTACGCAGCATAGAACGCATTGATGCATGAGTGTTTCGCGAACATGTTTGCACTGGCTACGATGTTGCCTGGCTGAAGCCTCCTAACTGAGCGATGGTGTATGTTCAGATCTGTAATTCCATGCTAAGGGTCTTGATCACACTAAAGGACATAATCATCTTATAAGTGAAGCTGTGTGCGTTCGCTAGCTTTACTTAGCGCAGCTTCGTGCTTGTCTGGATTTCACCCTCCCCTCTAATGACTTTACACGCCACGAATTTCCATGCAGTGGTCATGCAAACATGGAATTTGTAACGCATGCTATTTGAGTGACATCGAATTAACGCACGTCGTAAGCAGTGATTGTATTGATTCGCCACTTTGACTTTATGGCGACACCCTGTCCGCATGTATGTACCTGCCCGTCGACTCGGAGCGGAACGGAACTCGGAACTGATTCCGTTCTATCGCAACCGTCGCTGTGGACCTCGGTCTCCCACGAAACCACTGGCCACTGATGCGTCGTCTAGGCGTTTAGACGACGGGCCTGCTGATGTCAATGCCCGCCTGTCGTCGCCGCTGGCACGTCAGTGCGTCGACGCCGGCTCCTAAGACAGCAGCCGTTGAGCCGTCGGCCGCTGCGGCCGCGCGTGCTCCGCTCCGTCCGCCTGACCCTCGCCTCCGCCCGGCAGCGCGCCCGCGCCGTCACCTGCGCCGCCGCCGCCGCCGCCGCCGCCTCCGCCGCCGGCCGCGGCGCGCGTGGTGGTGCTGCAACGGGGCGCCGACGGGCTCGGCTTCTCAGTAGTCGGCGGCCACGGCTCGCCGCAGGGTGACCTGCCCATCTACGTGAAGACGGTGTTCGAGCGCGGCGCGGCGGCCGACGAGGGCTCGCTGCGCCGCGGAGACATGATCCGCAGCGTCAACGGCGTGCCCATGACGGGCGTCACGCACCAGCAGGCCGTCACGATCCTCACCAACGCCACCGGCACCGTCACCATGGTGGTGGAGTCGTGAGGCGTCGGGAGCCGCCCGCGCCGCCAGCGTCGGCGGAGTCGCCGCCGCCGCGCCGGCCGGCGGTCCGCGCCAGGTAAGCGCCAGGGACTGCCGTCGGCCCCAGCATTCGCCTCTTCGACACGTATAGCATAATCCATCTTCTTGGTGGTGGGATCATCTTATTTTTAGAGGCTGCGCCCGGCTCGGGCGGCCGGGCAGCCTCCGCCGCCCGCTGCGGTCCGTTGCGATGTTTTTGTACACTGATGCGTGTCATTTTACAGCTAAGATCTTGTTGCATTTTTACCAGCCGTGTATTGTATTGTTACGAGGCGGCGCCGCAGCAGGCCCGGCTGGGCGAGCGTTGTTGTGCTCTGTTCGTTCCGCTGGGCGTGCGCGCGTGGCGCCACCGCCGTCCGCGGCGGACCGTGGGGGCATCGCTGCGACGGCGCCCCCGGTGGCCAGGACCACCCGCTCCAGGTATCTCTTTATGCCCTGTCCGCGCGGGTCATGTCCCCGTCCGGTGCGCCGGTCGGCCCCGGGCGCCCCCCTCCCTGGCCTTGTCTGTCCGCCCGGTCTCTCGCCGGTTCGGCGGGGCGGTGGGCGTTGGTCGGTCCACGCCTTCCCTCATCAAGTTCAACATCCCGTACGTGGGTGTAGTCGATCGATTACGATGCAGCTATAATACGGTTTCAGTGTTGTGCGAAGGGATTCCTAAGACAATAAATTTGCAACAAATGTGCTTACTTGTGTGCTGTTTGGCAACTGAGCGGTTTGTCGCATGGTGGCCCGCGCTGCCAGTGGTCTCAGCATTGGACGGGAATTGGTCAACCACGACCTCTGATAGTGACGTCACAAGGCTGAGGTGGACGCGCCCGCCTCCAAATATACACTGGCCGCACAAAAATAAACCAGATGCTTGTATTCGCATGGTGAGCCCCACAGCCTTCCCGCGCTGGCTCTAAAGTGACCAGCACCAGTGCAGAATGGTCCGACAGCCGTATGAGCGTGGCGGCGCCGAGGCTCCCTGCCGGTTACGGAGAGGATGCGGCAGATCAGAGCCCGGCCAGCTGGCGGGCTCCGTCGAACCGCCGCAGAGAGAACCGCGCCAGGTCGAACTGGCTCGGTTCGCCGTCGATCAGACGCTGCAGCACCTCGCCGAACACCGGCCCCATCTTGAAGCCCTCGCCTGTGGAGGAGAACCCGGTCTGACCGGCTGTTGTGGCTGTAATACTGCTGCACAACACGGGACATCTGATGGGATTGCATTTCCTCACAAGCCGGCTGTTGTAGCCGGCTCGTATCTGCTTCCTGGGAGGAAGGGCACGAGGCGTCCAGATATCTTCCACGCGCTTCCGGCTGAGATGTATTGGTGAAAGTTATTGTTTTGGGAATGGGGTGGTTGTAGTTGCTTACCTGACATTCCATACAATCAACGTTAGTACTGCAAAGTTGCACATAGAAATATGCATTTAACAAAAGCACCTTGTCCTCCGGCTGTCCTGGCAATGTTGCGTAAAAGATGAGATGTTCATGAAAATACGTTTTTCAGGTAGGTCTGAACCCTGGGCGCGATAAATCTCCGAGGTGCCAGTCCTCAGTACCTGACATCCCGGCTGCGAACACGATATTTGGGTGGGCCGGATGGACGTCCAGTATGCATCTCTCGTCCGGAGTAGTCTGCAAACCGCATGAAATCCGTGTCAGAAACACTGAGCACAATCACTTCACACCAGCACAGACTGCCGGCCGACGTGGTATGGCCCTTGTCAGGCTGCCACGAGCATACCGCGGCCTGTACTCCTTCCTGACCGGCCGTCCGTGTATGGCGTGCACGCGGTCCGTGTGTGGTGCCACGCGCACTTGCGTGTGCCGCGTCGGACTCGCAGGTAAGTGCTGGCCGGGATGGTTACACGAATGCTCGCTACGTGGGCGTATAGAAACTAACACAGCAGCCTGTGCTCGCGGTCGACAGTGGGGAAGGCATTGGTTGCGCTGGGTGTATCGGAGGGCGTGAACACGCCTTACCGTGTACATGCACGTCTCGACGATGGCCGGCTCCGGCTCCAGGCCCGGGAAGTTCTGTGTCACGTACTCGGTGAGGCGCCGGAGTACGGCCTCTGTGGAGACCGCGTCCCTCCTGTCTGGGTCGCAGGGGACTCCAGTGTGGATGCACAACTGGAACGGCGCGAGCGTAACCGGGATTAACGTCGGTAGGGATCCCCTCGGTGGTGGTGTGCGGAGAGTTTTAGGATGCGTGGTAATGTGTACGACAATCATGCATTGCTTCGTCTCACCAACCAATGGAAACCCCAGCCTGGCGCACACAGACGTAAAGGAATCGCCCGCTTATAGTTATTGCAGGCAACACACGACACCTCATAGCCACGGAATGATTACCGCCTTTCTACTACCTGCATCTTAAGCATATGGTAATGCGTCCTGGGCCCGCGACACTTGTCGAGCTCCGCATAAGTCATCGCCTAACAGACACCGCAGGATCACCCGGCCCGGCCTAGTCGCGGCTTAGTCCCGCTGCGGTCCGACGTCACCCGCGGCGCACCTTCACCAAGCCGGGGTACTCGAGGCTGGGCAGCCAGTAGAAGTGCGACGTGTTGTCACCCGGACCCAAATCGATGCCGACGAGGGGCGCCTTGGCGCCGGGTCGCAGTCGCCAGTACGTGACGGGCACGCGCAGCGGCGCCAGCAGCGGCGCCAGCGGCAGCCCGAGCGGCGCCAGCAGCTGTGCGGCCCAGGCGCCGGCGCACAGCACCGCCCCGCGCGCGCGCACCCGGCCCGCCGGCCCGGTCAGCGTCACCGTGCCGACGCCGGGCGAGACCTCGGTGACGGGCCAGCTGTCGCGCAGGCTGCCGCCGGCGGCCAGGTACAGCCGGCGCACGGCCTCCAGGCAGCGGTCGGCTCGCAGCACGCCAGCCGTCCTGTCCAGGCAGCCGACGGTGGTGGCGAGGAAGCGCGCCACCGGCACGAGCTCCGCCAGCTGCCGCCCTGAGTACACAGTCTGGTCGTCCAGGCAAGCCAGGTACGTCTCGAAGAGCTCCCGGTTCTCGGCCGCCGAGACCAGCAGCATGGGGCAGTCGCTGCAGGCACGGCGGCAGCGACGGTTGGGGACAGATCGGACTGGTTGAGGGGGCTCTGAGATCTCCGGCATCGAAAGAAACAGATGATGCAGCTATAACCGACATTTATACTGACTACATATCAGGGGCGTAGCTTCGCAAAATACGTTGGGATGGGGGGCGAGGGCTGAGGTATATAAATGGAATTACCCCCAAATACACAAACGGGTTTCTCCGCGGACCTGGCCCACTTTTCTTCCAAATTTGGAGAGAGGGGAGGAAGAGAGAGGAGAGAGAGGAGAGAGAGAGAGAGAGGAGAGAGAGAGAGAGAGAGAGAGAGAGAGAGAGAGAGAGAGAGAGAGAGAGAGGAAGAGAGAGAGAGAGGAAAGGGAAAAGAGAGAGAGGGAGAGAGAGAGATACGAGAGAGAGAGGAGATAGAAGAGAGAGAGAGAGAGAGAGATGAGAGAGAGATGAGAGAGAGCAGAGAGAGAGATGGACTTAAATAGTGCCCAGAGCCCCGCCTCCCCCCCCCCTCCCCAAATTGAAGGGAGGCTCGACTCCTGCTGTATATGCACGTGGTATCCACACCCAACTTCAAGTTTGCTTGGAAAGTTGTTTTCCAGAGTTAATGCTTGATGACCGGTGAGAATTTGTGTAGATTCCGTCAATCCAAAGCTCAACTGCGTTCACCCTGGCTTATTTGCAGGACGTCACCACATGAACACCGGCGGCTAACCAATCAACGTCTCGTCCTCACTGGCACAGAGTTTCGCCGGCATGCCGCTGGATGTCGTCCCAGAGGGTGCGGGACCGCCGCGCCATCTGGCCCTGCACCGGGTCCCGGTACGCCGTGCGAGTGATGCGGCTCTGGCCATGGGAGCTGCCGCGCGAGTGGGGCAGCGGGAACTGGCGGCACAGAGTTACAGGGTCATCACTCGGGCAGTTACTCAGCTGCCACTCCGACTAGGCGTACAAAGTATAAACGTAGCCTTGCATGCTATTGGCCATGGGAAGCAGCGAGGGCAGAGAACTGAATAAATGATACAGTATTGGAATGTCGGTTCAACACAGGTCGTTCGTCTCACTAGCCTCAGTAGTGGTCCAACACAGGCCGTTCGTATCAGTAGTATATCAGTAGTGTCCGGTCTCAGTAGTGTCTCAGTAGTGTCCGGTCTCAGTAGTGTCTCAGTAGCGTCCGGTCTTAGTAGTGCCTCAGTAGCGGCCGGTCTCAGTAGTGTCTCAATAGTGTCTCAGCAGCGTCCGGCTTGCAACAGTGCCATGCATTCCGTTAGCATAACGTTTGATTTGGCCTGTTGTGTGTGCTGACGTGCGCGCGTGCTGCCTCCATTCAGTGTTTGATAACGCGTTAAGTTACTGCACTGGCACATTGCAGACAGCGCGTGTGAGGCTGACATTGGTCGGACGGCGAGCGAACGCCGCTCCGCTACTCACCTGGTCCAGCAGGAGGACGCTCCTGTGTCCAGCCTTCACCAGCTGGTAGGCTGTGCAGGCGCCGATGATGCCGGCGCCCACCACCACCCGGTCATAGGTCAGCTCGGCCATCTGGTGCGGTGCGAGGCGCGCCAGTGCCAGGCGTGAGCGCTGAGCAGAGGCAGCAGCAGAGACAGCAAATGACGTCAGCCTCTGCATGTTTATATATATATATATATATATATATATATATATATATATATAAACGTGCGTAGGATGGCTGTAGTATGGGTGCCATCATGTCTCTGAGATTGGGGGAATAGCGTTGAGGGGTCGACTAAAATTTGAGAAGTGCAACGTCACTTAAGCATGCATTTCTAATACAAAACCTAAAAGTAAACGTTTCACGGGCAAACTTGGAGGAAACAAAACCCCGTTTGTAAAAACTGAGGCATGGTTCCCCAGCCCCCCCCCCCCCGCACTAGTTATACGTGTGGACTCAGTCAGGCCGGGGACGCAGCTTTTATTTGTGCTTTATCGGAAAGGACGTAATTTTAAAGGTTCTGAGGTAAAACCATGGAAAGAATATAATGGGAGGATAGGCGTAAGCTAAGCCTAATAAACTTAAGTTAAGCCTAAGTGTATTCCCAGTTTAGCTACATGTGTGCTTGTCAATACCTGTCCTTGCCAAGTCACATGCTACAATTGATTATGGCCCCGTGATCACCTCCAGCATGCACTGCATCTGCGCTACCAGGCGATCACCCCAATTCCGTATAATGGGATGGTGCTTCGCATACCATGCACGTTCCCACGCTTTCCCATTGGAAGACATGGAGGCAACTGCGCAGGCGCAAGGATCTCAAGGTCAACTTGTTCCCCAGCTTCCAGTTTGAGAGCCCCAATTTTGACTTGCCCCGAAATCCCAGAGTGGCAATACCCAGGCATCCAGCACACTAATACTCACAGATCACGCTCGCTCTAAGCTGTGAGTTCTGATGTCACGCGTCCGCCACCCGCGGATGGCTGAAAGCGCACTGAACTCGCCCTGACCGCGACGGCTCCCAAGATAAACAGTCCGTCTTCTGCGGCCGGTGACGGCGGCAGTGCGGTCCTTCTGTGCAGCGATGCGTACCGACAGGACTTCAGTGTCAAAGTCCTCGCTGCCTCCGGATGCACAATCAACGTCACCGGTAATCAGACTGCTTGATTGAGATTGAGATTGAGATTGATTGAGACATTTTGTTCGAACGTTCGCCAAGTCGAAACACCACGTTTCAATGGAGGCAATGGTGCGTGCCGTGCGTCTCGCGCGGCCGCCCCTTACCGCCGGAGACGTCTCCGCCCTTATTCACACACGCTAACGCCGTCCCCGCATGTGAGCGTGTTACCATCGATGACACGGGAGCCATTTTGCTCCGCAATATTGGCGCTCGCCCTCTGTACCGTTAGGTGTTAACATGACCCTGTGCCGTGACCCCCTATCATGTGTTCAAGAATCAGTGTGAAGGCGAAGAACTCAGTTCACAGCGCATCAAGCACACTGCTCCGCCCTTGGTGGCTTGTTTGGGCCGCTCTCGGATGCGGACAAGAAAATGAGACTGACGTGTGCGCCGAATTGACTGATGAGACTGACAAACACGGCCGGCACAAACGATAGTTTATATTATCGCACCCAACAACCGACGATCGCGTCGAATAAAACAGCTAACTGGTGTGGCCGAGACCAAGGCACGGTACAGGTACTGGGGACGCGAAGACGTCGCCTTCGTCCCGCTCTCCCGTCTCAAACGAGCGTGACCACCCGTCTCAACAGAGGCGCAACGGGCTCGCTAAAATGCGACAAGTCGGCATTTTCCGGCAGGAAAATGACTGCAGGACCACACCATACCAGCTGCTGTCAAATCCAACTTGTAAGTTCGCTCACTGCGCGTGCGCGCCGTGACCAGGCAGCCACCGCGAAGACCAGCGATCGCCAATGAGCACACCATCTCATTGTAAGGGAAATCGGGACATCGGAGCACGCATGTGCGCGCTTCGTGGAATGTTACGAGCACATCGCTGGCTCCGCCAGGGTGCACACTGCAGGGATATTGTCGAGAGAGATACTGCGGCTGCCGGTCCACGCCCAACCACTGCATTGGCGGTCGGGCCCACCGCTCCACAGACAGCTCACCACAGGGACTGCACGCACACGCAGGCTGTGCTGCTGCCAGCAGTCCTAAGGCAGTTAACGTGGCCACGCGCACAGCCTGATTCAGGCCGATCACAGGTCTTCCGCGAAACTTGCGCCGGTTTAAGACATCCTGCCGCTCAAAACGTGACTCTAAGTTCCGATAAAAATCGTAAGTACACTGGGAGAACAGGCACAAGCACAGCATCGACTCGTTCCGCCACGACGGTTCTAATTCGTTTGACGGAAGACGACGAACGCCGCCCGTTTGGCACAGGGCGTCGCAGACAAGTCGCACCTCCACGGCTTTCACAACGCCTGGACAGCTTGTTGCGCGACGCACGCAGGAATGCACATGCTCCATGCAACGGCAGAGACAGGAAGCCATTCAATGCGGGTCACACATCCCACGGCACGCACGACGAAACTGCGGGGAGATGCGCATCTATAGTCTCGATGACGGGTTAATAACTAGCGACGCCTACGGAAGCCACGTTTCCTATTTGAAAGGTCTGGCTGGAAGCACGCTTAGCTGGGAAGCGTCAAATTCGTCGCACGACGGTATAACTGTCGGGAGCACCTCGTGTCACATCATAACGTGATCTGCCAACAGACAGGACAACAGTAATCAAGCGCACAAACACATAAGTATAAGCTCGGAATCTTACCTATTAGCTGGCACGCATCCGTAATTTGACAGCGCGCCCACAGGACGTCCACGATATGTACTGAGCAAGTAAATCACAATAGTCACCACTTCAAACCCCTTGATAAAACCTAGATTAGCATCAAACGGTATGACTGCCGCGTCACTAGCTCAGACCATTTGTGTACCTCAGCGACCCCATCCGCTATTAGGGACCTTCCACGCTCGGCGTTGTCCGCCTTGGAGTTAAAGCCCGACAGAGCAGCTCCTACCGACCTACCCCCTCCGTTCCTCTACCACATCGAGTCCCTTCCCTCCACGCTTCGGTCGCCTACTCGTCCTCCCGCCGCCGCCCGCGGCACCGGCGGTCGCCCGGCACGGCTAGGAGCCCGTCTCCATCAGACTGTCCAGCAGCTTGTTGGTGCTGTTGACGCGTTTCTCGCGGCTGCGCTCGTCGCCCGGCTGGTTGGAGCGGCGCCGCACGCCCACCACGCGGAGCGGCTCTTCCGGCGCCGGTCTGCGGCAGGGGCACGACAGGGGTCAGGGGCTGATTGGAAAAGCTGGCGGACTGCGGCACTGCGACGGCAGGGGCACGACAGGGGTCAGGGGCTGATTGGAAAAGCTGGCGGACTGCGGCACGGCGACGGCAGGGGCACGACAGGGGTCAGGGGCTGACTGGAAAAGCTGGCGGACTGCGGCACGGCGACGGCAGGGGCACGACACTGGTCAGGGGCTGATGTCAGGGGCCGACGGACTGCAGCGTGGGGACGGTGGAGGTACAACGGGGAGTCAGGGGCTAACGAGTGGGGTTGGCGGACCGCGGCGCGGGGACGGTAGAAGTACAACGGGGAGTCAGGGGCTAACGAGTGGGGTTGGCGGACTGCGACGCGGGGACGGTAGAGGTACAACGGGGAGTCAGACTAACGAGTGGGGTTGGCGGACTGCGGCGCGGGGACGGTAGAGGTACAACGGGGAGTCAGGGGCTAACGAGTGGGGTTGGCGGACTGCGGCGCGGGGACGGTAGAGGTACAACGGGGAGTCAGACTAACGAGTGGGGTTGGCGGACTGCGGCGCGGGGACGGTAGAGGTACAACGGGGAGTCAGGGGCTAACGAGTGGGGTTGGCGGACTGCGGCGCGGGGACGGTAGAGGTACAACGGGGAGTCAGGGGCTAACGAGTGGGGTTGGCGGACTACGGCGCGGGGACGGTAGAGGTACAACGGGGAGTCAGGGGCTAACGAGTGGGGTTGGCGGACTGCGGCGCGGGGACGGTAGAGGTACAACGGGGAGTCAGGGGCTAACGAGTGGGGTTGGCGGACTACGGCGCGGGGACAGTAGAGGTACAACGGGGAGTCAGGGGCTAACGAGTGGGGTTGGCGGACCGCGGCGCGGGGACGGTAGAGGTACAACGGAGAGTCAGGGGCTAACGAGTGGGGTTGGCGGACTGCGGCGCAGGGACGGTAGAGGTACAACGGGGAGTCACGGGCTAACGAGTGGGGTTGGCGGACTGCGGCGCGGGGACGGTAGAGGTACAACGGGGAGTCACGGGCTAACGGGAGGGACCAACGGGGGACTGACGGCAGGAACTGACGGGGGCCTGACGGCAGGGGCTGACGAAGAACGAACTGCAGCGAGGCCAGGCAAAGGCGGGGCGGTACTCAGGGACAAACTCAGTGGCCCACCAAGCGGTACAATCACTTGGTCGTCAGATGACGGAGCAGGACGGCCAAAATGTCCGTAAAAATCATGGCACGGAACAGTCGGGACGAAGTACGGTGCAGCCCCAAAAGTATACTGCACGGCACAGTCAAAAAGGGGTGACGGTAGGGCAAAGTCGCGGGCAGCTGACGGTGCGCCATATTCCGAAGGTCGGACTGACAGAATGACACATGTGTAACCCAGACGAGATCTGCGATAAAAGGCGTGCTCGCGTAGATGAAGCGTCTCGCGACATCACGGGCACCTCCGGTCAGAGAGGGCCCGAAGCAGAGCCCACTCACTCGGTGGTTGCCTCTCTAGGCACGTCTCGGTGGTCCTCGTCTCCGTTCAGGCCCGGCCGCGACCGGCTTCGACTCAGCTGCGCGCGCCGTTCAGCTGCCGGCCAGGAGCGGGCGGCGGGTGACGGCGACACAGCAGCCCACCACCGCTCTCGCGGACACCGGCACCGCCGCTTGGGGCCACCCTCTGGCACCGGCAAACCACCCAGGGCCACCCTCTGACACCGGCATATTGCCCAGGGCCACCCTCTGGTACCGGCACACCGCTCAGGGCCTCCCTCCGGTACCGGCACACCGCTCAGGGCCACTCTTTGGCACCGAAACACTACCCAGGGCCACCCTCTGGTACTGGCACACCGCTGAGGGCCACCCTGTAGTACCGGCACACCGCTCAGGGCCACCCTCGGACACCGGCACATCGCTCAGGGCCACCCTCCAGCACCGGCACATCGCTCAGGGCCACCCTCGGGCACCGGCACCGGCGCTCTGTACGTGAGCTTTACGGCGTTTCACTTTGATAAGCGTGGTTTGCCAAAAACACACACATGATGGCTTGGAAAGCACGATCGATGCATGTTAAGCACCTCACAAGAAATGCAGACGAGAAATGCAGCGCCCTCTAGACATGCGCCACACATTATGTTCATCAGAAGTCACACGACGCCGTCATGACCATACACTATGGCATACAATCAAGCGAGTTCGCCATACAAGAGCACGATCAGGCACCTCGGCCCCTCCGGAGCCCGCCGCGCGGCCCGGACCACCCACCTCCGGCGGGCCGGGCGGGCCGCTTCTTGCGCTGGTCGCGGCTGAAGGCGGAGCCCGACTGCAGCGCCTCCATCAGGCTGTCCATCACGCCCTCCTGGTTGTCGCCACCCTCCATCATGGCCTCGATAGCGCGCTTCTGTGACTTCTTCTCGTTGCGCTCACGTTCCGCCTTGGCCTTGGCCTCCTTGGCACGCTGGATCTTAGCCTCGGTCTCGCGCAGCTTCACATTGTCCTGGTAGGCGTCCTGCGCGGCCCGGCGGAGCGGAGCGTCAGGGGCACACGCACACCCAGACACGCCCCTGCCCCGGTGGAAATAAGGGCCAGGTGTGCACGCACTGCCAGACACGTCCCTGACCCAGCGGAGTGAATCTTCAGGGGCGTACGCCTACCCAGACACGCCCGTGCCCCGGTGGAAATAAGGGTCAAGTGTGCACGCACTGCCAGACAAGTCCCTGATCCAGCGGAGTGAAGCATCAGGGGCGTACGCCTACCCAGACACGCCCGTGCCCCGGTGGAAATAAGGGTCAGGTGTGTACGCACTGCCAGACACGTCCCTGATCCAGCGGAGTGAAGCACCAGGGGCGCATGCCTACCCAGACACGCCCCTGCCCCAGTGGAGCGGAGCGTCAGGAGTGCAAACACACCCAGGCGCGTTCCTGGTCCAGCGGAGCGGAACGTCAGGGGCGCACGCATACCCATAAACGCCCCCCGAGCTTTGATCCAGACTTTGAGGTACCCGGCGCTGAGAATTTAATTTTGAGGTACCCGGCGCTTAGAATTTAATTTTGAGGTACCCGGCGCTTAGAATTTAATTTTGAGGTACCCGGCGCTTAGAATTTAATTTGGTGCGCCTCGCGAGAGCCGAACTTCGAGAAATGCGACGTCTATTTTGCTACCTAAAAAGACATCCACGAGTAGTCATCTCTTGGTAGCCAGTGGTACTAGCCAGTCATCTCTTGAGAGTGGTAGCCATCAGCTGGGCAGCAAAAGGGCAACTGAAATGACTGCTAAGTTAACCTGGCCGGCCAAGGATTGTTTGAATAGCAATGAGACAGACAGACAGACAGACAGACCTGTTAAAATCGACCTGGGGATGGAAAACCACGGATTTTGAAAGTTTCGCCGGTTTTCTCGTGCCACCGCTGTTAATGCCACCGCTGCTAGGATCGGTGGGATTGGGTACCGCGACTGAAACGCTTGCCTGGAACTGCTTGATAAACGTGCTGATGTCGCCGAAGAAGTCCTCCATGGTGTACTTCTTCTGGTCGAACGCAAAGAAGTCGGCGATGCTGGCAAAGCGTTCGGTCATCGTCTGCGCCATGCTGGTCAGGATGTTGACCTGCTCCCTGGCAGAGGCCGCGAACTCCTGCGCTTCGCGTCAAGGCCATTTGACGACACCATTACGCGCAGCGCCACGCGCCTGTGATGGGGCCGGGGAGAGCAGCACCACACAGTGAGCAATCGGGGAGGTAGCAGTGCTCCTGTCCGAGGAGAGTGGGCGCACAGTACGCGACCAGCCAAGGCTGGCGGCTGGCGTCGGAGACGTCACATCCACAGACGGGCGGTAACGCCGTCAAGTCACGGTGGACGTTCGGAGAACTGGACTCAACGACAGCATCGGTCCGGAGCCGCAGAACGAGCAGCGACGGCCGTGTGACATGGAAAGGATACGGTCATGACGTCCAGAAACTTGTCGTCGTCACACAGCGGCACCTTGTTGTTCTTGATGTCCGTCTCCAGGTTCCTCGTGCCAATCTCCATCTTGTTAATCATCGCCTTCACCTGCTCCGCGGACACCTGGGGGGCCGCAGAGGACAGTGACGGTTTGTCGGCACCAGCACTAAGGGGGTGTGAGTCACACCCCATAAATCACCAAGCTCCTCCAAACCGAATTGCCCCGCAAACAATGACGATTAGATAGTCTATCTCAAGAGAGGGCGCGGCGAGGCGTGTGATCCCGCCGCGGCCGCAGCCCCCGACGGCGCTGCCGGCCTCGCACGTACAGCCGGCAGCTGGGAATGACACGCGCTGAAGGCCCCGCGGCGGGTGCACAGACCTTGGCGGCTGCCTGGGCGTGCGGAATCTCGCCGGGGAACTCCAGCAGCTCGGGGTGCTTCGTCTCCACCACCTCGGCCAGGTAGTGGATGAGCGTCGTCTTGTTGTGGACGTCCTTGGTGTTGTTGAGCTGAGGACGAGCGGCCGCGCGCGTCTATCAGTCACACGAAGCGCGGCCGGTATGCTCCGACCCCATCGGCTGCACTCAGCTGGCACCGAGGTTCACCGGACAGCCACGCGCCGCGACACAGAGGCGCCGCCGACAGCTACGCGCCGCGACACACCGGCGCCGCCGACAGCCACGCGCCGCGACACACCGGCGCCGCCGACAGCCACGCGCCGCGACACACCGGCGCCGCCGACAGTCACGCACCGCGACACACCGGCGCCGCCGACAGCCACGCGCCGCGACACACCGGCGCCGCCGACAGCCACGCGCCGCGACACACCGGCGCCACGGACAGCCACGCGCCGCGACACACCGGCGCCGCGGACGGCCGCCGCCCCGTCGGCGCACCTTCGTGATGTAGCTGATCTCGAAGCCGAACGCCTCAGCGTTCCTGGAGCCGGCGTTCATGTAGTTGCCGAGCAGCAGGATGAGCTCCAGCAGGCGGGCCAGCTTCTGGCTGGACATGACCTCCTCACAGGCGGCGGTGGCCGAAACAACGCTCTGGCGGCACGGCGCGCCGACGTCAGGGCGCCGGCGACATCACGGGAAGACGCAAAACGTGCTCCAGACTGGAGACGAGCGCGCTAACACCAAACTAACGCCGTGATGGCATACCAAGCCAAGAGAATGACTTAGCACCAAATGAGGACGAACCAAATCGTCTCAAGAGCTCTCCACGCTGAGGTTACGCATTGTCCGCCGAGGAGGAGCCCGAGCAAACAAGACCACGCAATCCGCACGGACAGTCAGTCACCAACTGATCCGACCAGCGCTCTGGACCAGCAGCGACTACCAGCGGCTGAGCTCCCGCGGCGTCCGTACCGGCTTAATGTCCTGCACCATCTCATCGAACTTCAGCTTGAAGCTCATCGAATTGAGGCGCGGGAGGAGCCGCTTTATGCTGCCGATCTGCGGACATAACACCACACGCAGAATCCATTGCACATGTGGATCCGTACTGGCAACACGGTGGTCACTTTTACCAGTCAACGCTTGTTTAAGCGTTGGGGAGGAAAATCCTCAGTGAACACGCTTCATGAATAAAGGAAAGCGAAAATACATGTGTAATGCTTTTCGCGAAATATCACCGCAATGTGCTAGAGAGGCAGTCCCACATCCACAACACGGAAATAACTCAACGTGCATATTAGCATCCACCCCATATACGGCATCTCCACCGGTCCACCGGCCACCGGTCCACCGGTCCACGCGCCCACCGGTCCACCGGTCCACCCGCCCACCGGTCCACCGGTCCACCGGTCCACCGGTCCACCGGTCCACTGGTCCACCGGCGCCGACCGCGGCGGCCGGCACGCACCGTGAGCGCGAACTGCTCGGCGACGGGCAGGTCATCGTAGTCGTCCTGGTGCGCCTCCAGCTTCTTCAGCTGGTCGCCGGTCGGACAGAACTGGATGAGCGACTCCACCAGACTGTCGGTGAGCACCGAGTCGTCGCAGCGCAGCACCGCGCGCTTCACCTCCTCGAACGACATGTGCTTGAACGAGCCGGCCAGCATGATCGAGAGGTTCTGCGCCGCCTTGCCGTCCAGCACGCGCAGCTCCTTGCCCTGCGGAGAGCGAGGTGTTGGCGGGTGGGGCGATCTCGGCGCGGAGCCGTGGTCGCATGTGCGGCGAAGGCGTGGCCAGTCTAGCAGAGACGCTTCAGCATTACGGCCAAAACATGCGGTCCCAAGGATGAGCATCAGGGTTAATACCGATGGATCCATTTGGAGCCATGCGTCATGACCTTCCCTCGCAAGACAAAAAGTGCCTGTGTGTCGCAGGGTCACGAACCCTCTCGGGCGAGCACGAAGCCGTCACTCGCCATTCTCCGTCGGGCGTTTTCTGTCTAGTTGACCATCGAAGCCACTAAGGATCCACGTAAAGAATAAGCACGAAAAGCTCAGCAGCAAAACGTCCGACGCAATTCGGCACGCATTCCACGGCAATACTCACCTTCTTTCCCTTGTTGTTTGCTTGGGCCACTTCTGCCTTCTGAGGAGGTGGCTTCGACGCGAACTTGCTCTTCAGACCTTCCAGAATCTCATCATCAGCCAACGCCTCCTCGTTGGCTTTGACCCAGAACGAATTCTCTTTCAAGTTGTTTGGAAGAATCTGAAAATCGCAGCGTTGTCTCCAGTGAAACGATATATCATGCACTGCATAATGCATTCACTTGCTGCTGAAATCAGCCGACTTAACCCGAAATATTCACCCTTTAAATAAAGCTAGGAAGCGGTTAGTTTAAATGCGGGGCACACAACCATGCACAAATAACACTCAAAACGGAACGGACGGGTGCTCCACAGGCGGGAAAAAGAAGCAACTAAATATATATTCTACTACAACGGTGAGTCGCCGCGGTCAGGCCGGCAAACCTTTTTCCAGTTGGCCCGCTTCAGATTCTGGCCCAGGGTCCACTTGGTCTTGGGCTTGAGTCCGTAGGGCAGCTGCGGCGGCGCCGGCGCCCGCGGCATACCCGGCGGCGGCGGCGGTCCCGAGCCAGGCGGCGGCGGGGGCGGGGGCGGGGGCGGGCCGCCGCCTGGAGGCGGGGGCGGCGGCGGTATGCCCGAGCCAGGCGGAGGAGGCGGCGGCGGTATGCCCGAGCCCGGCGGTGGTGGCGGCGGCGGGGGCGGCGGCGGTATGCCCGAGCCCGGCGGTGGTGGCGGCGGCGGGGGCGGCGGCGGTATGCCTCCGGCCCCGGGCGGCGGGGGCGGCGGCGGCGGCGGCGGCGGTACCCCGGGCGGCCGCGCGCCGCCGGTCGGCGCCCCCGGCATACCGCTGGGGATGACCAGCGAGCCTGGCGGGCCAGCGCCGCTGGCGAGCCGCGCCTGTAGTTCGGCCACCAGCCGCTCCGACGCCGAGAGCCGCGCCTCCGTCTCCTGCTTGCTGGTCAGCATCTCCTCCATCTTAGCGTTGAGCTCGCCGGCGGCGCGCTCCTCCTCCTTACGACTGCGCTCCACCAGCGTCTCGATCAGCGGCTCGACGTCCAGCTGGAAGCGGCGTGTGGCGCGGAAGTCCGGGTCGACGCCCGACTTGTGCAGCACGATCTGGGAGACGCACTCCTCCACCAGCTTCAGGTAGGCCATGCTGCCGGCCGGGCGGCGAGCCGGGTCAGCGGGCGAGGTGCGAGAGGCGGCTGGCAGCGCCAACAGACAAGGCAGCATGCGGTGCAAGGGAGCGGCACAATGCTCCAGGGCAGGCGAGGGAGCTGGTCTACCAAGACGCAGATCCGGGTGCAGTGCAGAGTCTGAACACCAGACACAACCGCAAACAAAACATAATTGAACTCGCAAATCCTCATTCGTCGCCACTCTCTCTATAACGCAGGCACGACTACGACGACTAACACACCACCAGGCCGCACAATCATCGACAACTCCCCACGCCAACGTACACCAAACCCCCACCCCCCACGCCGACACGCCTCCACAGCCAGCGCCGAGCCGCCCCGTCGCTCACCGCGCGTTGTGGTCGTCCCGAATGCAAAGCAGGTGCTGCAGCACCGACAGGAAGTACGGCTCGCCCGGCGAGTCGGCCAGCGAGTTGCGCAGCAGCGTGTAGCACTGATCGGGATCGTCCAGCTCCAGGCGAATCGTGTCGAAGCGCTGGCACACCTCGTCGTGGTCGTCCTCCTTGTGCTCGTTGAAGATCTTGAGCTGGTTCTGCAGGCCGTCAGCCTCGTCGGCCGCCATGGTCTGCCGGATGGCGGATTGCGAACGTCACGCAGTGGCGGGGCAACGATGCGCGGCCACGCGGGTCAAACGTGAAGTAAATCGAGTTTTTTTTTTAAATAGCTACTTTGCACTTTCTTTTTTTTCATGTTAGCAATACGGTTCCAAGACTTGACTGCCGACGTTTTTCATGGTAGACAGTATAGTTAACCGGTTCGACATAGTTCCTGCACCAAAACAATTCCCTGATAACCCAGCGCGCATGTTGGTTCTTAGGTAGGTTTGCGACCTAAAAAGACGCAATGTGAAAAACTACGAGGCTTCAAACATTCGTCAGTCATGTGACGGTCTTGGCATACTTGAAACATGGTTCGAAAGCAATCTGGAGCACAGCGGGCCAGCTGATGCTTGGATTAAACCCTCCACTTACCACAACGTTAGACACAAAACCATCATATCTCCCTGTATCCAAACAGCGACGGCAGAAGCAGCGTGCCGCGCACCTGGCGGTACGGCGAGGGCACGAACCTCAAGAATGTCGATGAGGCCGTCTCTCATGAACTCGTTCCGCAGGTGCATGCGGAAGTCGAGGTCGTCCGGCGAGCTGACCAGGGCGTTGATCAGGATCATGACGCACACCTGACGTCAGAACGCACGACCGGGACAGGTGTCACATCACGTGGGCATGCTGAGTTTGACGCAATGTCATACTGCCGATTTGGTCCAATGTCGCGTGCATGCTGTCTGGATGACGGCGCGAAGGGCCGCCAGCACGAGTCTGGTAGTATCCTTAAGCTGATCACGCATAGCAGACGGCAAAGTTTCAAAGCTCCCGTCGCGTGACACACGCACCCAAATAGTCTTCAGCTTGTTTCTGCCACACTGAAGACATTAAAACGATGAACACACGTACAGTCCGCTGGGGGTAGTAAATACACACAATTTCGAGATGCATCGCAAAAGATATCATTTCTCAGAACCTTGCGTCAACATTTTGAGGCACACGGGAAAACGGCTTCCACCGGGGCACACCCTCCCCCCACTCCCGCAAACTCTCCCTTCCCCAGCAGCCCTGCACCGGCTGGCTGCCGTCCCTCCATCCGCCGCACGCACCCGTAGCTGTCCGTTGCTGCGGTCCATCAGGCCCTGCACGATCGGCGCGAACCGCGGCCGCTGCACCAGCTCGCCGTTGGCCGTGATGGCGTCGAGCGTGCGCCGGTGGCCGTCCGGCGGCACGATGGCGAAGGCGGAGAGCATGCGCACCACCTCGTGCATGACCTGCGGCAGCGACGGGTCGAGGCTGCGCGCCAGAGCTGGCAGCGCGCCCTCCTCGGCCAGCATCTGGCGCAGCCCCAGCGTGCTGTTCATCAGCGACTTGAGGCAGCGCACGCACTCCAGCTGCACCCGGTCCCACTTGCTGTCCCTGTCAGCGGGTGGAGACGTGTCGGCCACAAGTGGGTACGTTGCAGTCCCGTCGCACGAGGTGCTGCATGGTGTGCTTGGTGTGCAGGCGGTCTCTGATGTCCCTGGACAGGGGTGTGAGATGGAGGTGCCAGGCGGCTGCTCCGGCAGGGCACGACAGTCCATGGGACACAGGTTAAGTGGACGAGATGGGGCCACAAGCTGGCGAAGGGGCGCAACAGAACAGACGGGTCGGTACGCTCACGCGATCCAGCTGTACCCATCCAGTCGCGCCGTCTGTGACTGCACACATGTCACTCCGGCCCTGGCGCAGACAGGCAAACACGTGGGGAGCCCAACGCACACCACCAGAAGACTCTGCTGTTGCTGGTGGGCAAGGATGATAAGTGACTAGGGCTTCGGGGTGGGCCAGGTTCAGAGGTCACCTGACGTCCACCACGAGCGCGAGGGGGACGGCAGCAGTGGGAGCGAACCCGCTCGCGATACCATCACTTAATTCTTTATCAGCGCATGCAACTGCTATGCTAGGGTTTCATTTATCACCTGCATAAGTTACGCGTCCACATTCAACCATAAAAATACATTGACACGCATCATCAACAGTTCTGCTCGTCAACTGCACGATTTCATGACGTGTTCTCGGAAAAGTTTCCTCTGCTAAGTTTACTCATATCCCTCACAATCTACTCTCCTGAACTCCCTGCTACCTTCTTTGTCACTCTTCGCTACGTTAACCCATTCCAGATGTTCCGCACTGGATACACCGACGGCCCCTCCGCGGCCCACAGACTGACCCACGGTAGCACTCGCCGAGGATGGCGATCAGCTGCTTGAGCCCGGTCTCGCCGAACTCCTGCACCCAGGTGAGCGGGTTGTTGGTGAGCGCGATGCGCAGCGACTCGAGACACTCGCTGGTCTTCTGCACGCTGAGCGGCTGCGACAGGTAGCTGGTGTAGTCGGCCGGCGCGACGAACCGGCTTCGCTGGCGCTGCTGGCACGGCAGGAGTCACACGGTCACACGGACTAACGTCACTGGTCACACGGTCACACGGGCTGACATCACTGGTCACGCGGTCACTGGCGAGAACTAGTGCTGGATGATCGCCGTTTAAAGGCACTCGTCACAAGTGCGGTTGTTGGGGGTGGAGAGGAGGGGGGGGGGGGCTTTCGCCAGACGCGACAGTTTGGCGCTCACAGGGTCACCGTTACAGGGCTATCGCCAGAGCGGCTGCAGTTGGACGGACAGATAGCACAGAAGCGCTGTCATGCGTGGGCCGTGAGCTGCCGCAAGGTCTGCGCCAGCGCCGGCCACTCGGCTCGAAGAGCAGATCAGGGCGTGGGACACGTGACCAACAACAGCTGACCGTCCGTCCCAGCTGAGGTCCAACGAGAGCGAGCATTTCCGTTACGGAAATGAGCCGAATGCCGGAGTCCACAGCGGAAGGTGCATCTGGTCAAAGGATTTGGCCTTTCACTTGCAATGTCTCCGTTAGCCGACAGGCCACCCGTACGCAAAGACTGTGCACGCTATACATGACCCCCAGCGATGGGCTGATGACCTGCGATTTGTGACCCTGAGATTTGAGGCGACCGCTACCGGAGTCAGTCTCCGTGACGGCAGCTTCTCACGGACGCTCCGGATTCGACGGCCTCACCGGTGCCGCGCCCTTGTAGTGCATGGCGAGCATGCGACGCTTCTTGTCGATGTCCTGGTTCTTCAGCGGGGTCTTCTTGTCATCAGTCAGGTTCATGTCGTCCTGCGTAGCAATCAAAACGCTCATGACAGCCGGATGCTACGAAGTGAGCGCCTCATGGCATTCCATAAACCCGGTACACGGTGGAAATGTTACCAGACATATTTCTCTGGTTCGCATAGGGAATAACAGGGTTTGAGAGCCATAGTGACAGACATTGATCAAACGCACTACTGCGCTATCAGGCACTCGTGTCGGGCAATTCTATCAGATACAGACCACGGTCCTGGCTACTGATTCTTTAAACAGTCCTATTCAACCACAGCTAACAACATATTACGCAATACAACAGGCCCGGTATTTTGGTTGATTCTCTGCATTAACGCATTTGCACGTTATTGCTAGCCTTTGGTTACAGCTCAGATCACTTTCCTCACAAAAAAGACCCTCATACGCCACCATCAGCAGACACGAGACACCGGGCCCCTCCTCCCATCAGAGCCGCCGCACCGGTACGCGCGGCTCACCAGCATCTTCTCGAACTCCCGCTCCACGTCGGCCTCGGTGAGAGCGTCGGTGGTGGCGGCCGGCGCCTGGTCCACCGTGTCCTCGGCCGCCTCGTGCACCGACGCGGGCCGGCCGCCCTTCTTCGGCTTTTTGTGGAACGCCTTGTCCAGCTGGCGGCACACCCGGAGAGCCGCGTCAGCGTGCCCGCAGCACGCGCCGAGGCGCGGCGCCGCCGCCGGCTCCGTGTGGTGAGCGAGCACACTCAATTCGTGATCAGCTGGCATAGTCAGTTAGTTACAGAAAGCACCCTGCAACATTCGTGTCGTAGTATGTGAGTGCCAAAGGGTTTAAAACTAATTGTAACAGATTACGAGCATCAGCTAAAAAGTGGCACGCCCACAAACCCCCACGTCCGGGCATCACTTACGAAGCTGGACTTGGTCTTCTCGTTTTTCGACATGTTGGGCGTCTGGTCGGCCCGGCCGTCAGCTGCAACAGAGGACCCTGTCACACGAGCGGCCGCGGACGGCGGCCTGACGCGTGACCTACACCGGCTGGCCGTCACGGCGGTCGTCACAGCTGACAGCTCATGACAGCGGCCCTGACGTGGCCGAGCAGCCTGAACCGTCGAAAGGGCTCATGTCCTGCAGGTTTTGAAAGCTGTGGGACATACCAAAAGGGCCATACATAGCCAATGAGGTGATGTATGTTTTTCAGGAAATCCATCCGGCATCTAACACTAACACACTAAGCAATCTGATATATACGCCTGGTTTGTGAAAAGGGCATCCAAGAAGAAAGTTTTTGCCTCAGTAGCTTCTACAAGGTGCATTCAAAAGGCTATCAGAGGACAGCAGCCTTTGGTCATCAAATTCATGCCACTGCAGAAGAAGAAGGCATGCAAGATTCACAAAGAGCCTTTCAAAGTTTATGGGGGCAATGCCTGTTCAACATCACAGGAGTATAGGTGGGAACGGGAGTGCCAGGAGGGTGATGGCCTGACGATGTTCAAATCTGTCTCACAGTGTGTGTCACCACAGCTATGGCATGACATGACACAACTGGGCAACACACTCAAAATGGTGCACGAGGGTCTGCAGAGCTACCAAGATGAGAGATTGATTTGTGGAGTAAATAGTCACTGCAAATAAAAGCTGTCTTTGATGTTTTACCCAGAGACCAACATACAGTTGATGCATTGAAAACATGCAGATTTTCCACCAGATGTGTATATGGATCCCAAGGATGGATCCAAGATCCAATTGTATTCCATGCTTCTAGGATCCTTGGATTGGATCTTGAAGCCTTTTGTGGGGGGGGGAGCTTAAGGCATGTATGTGCTTTTCACCTCCCCCAATTGTGCGCATGAATCTTCTGAAAAAGGTAATGTCTGCCACATTTTGGGGACCACAAGGGTGTGACATTTGCTCAACTAGTTCTCAAAAAGGCACTTGTCATCAGCCAATCATATGATGCCACCCTGAGTAAACATCTCCCACCAAATATCACTAGGCACATTCAAGGAACAGCACAAGATCAGTTCATTCTTTACAACAAAGCTCCCACCCCCTGATCACATCACTGTCATGACTGAAACTCTTGCTGACAACAACATTGAGCAGTTGGAGACCAACCACATTGTCGGGTTCTTGCCCAAAATGCCTTCTGGTTGATTCTTTTAACAAACCACTTTCATGGGCATTGTTTCTCAGTGTGGCCTGTGCTATGGTTGACCACATTTCAGTATTATACCCCATTATCCATATATACCCCATTCAAACATCATGTGGCCATGAAACACCTGGTATGCTGCTGGGAGTACTGCATTGAAAAGCAAGGAGAATGCATAAAAGATGAACCATCAGTGACAGGTGCATGTTAATAAATATGCTGTCCACAGCCCAACAGATCTAGCTTTTGTAATGCACTGATAAGAGAGCTGTGTCATACCTACACAGCAGCATTGTGTCATAATTTGCATGCATACTTGCCATGGTTTATTACTTCTGCGCTCATGAGCTAAAATATTTATGTGACAGATTTTGAATCTTGCATATAAGAGCAATTCCATCAAGGCCATATTTGGCCTACTGACAAACCAAGTGGAGTTAGTCCTCATCTCACAATCAATTATTACAACCAAACTCTGGCCTGGCATAGTAAGAATGTTAACACTGTGTAAGGTGGATAAGATGAAATATCTGTGCCTTGCCAAAACTGTCAGCCTTGGTCATGTCTACACAACTCCACAGATTGACCTAATTTGTGTTGATATGAACAAGGAATGATATGTATTCTTTTAAGTCAGATGATTGAGCTGTGATTATAACCACATTTCAACCAGATATCAACAATACACGCAAATACTCAGGGACGGCGCGCTTACCACATTACCTTCACAGCCCCCTAATTGAAAACCAGCGCGCCCCTATCACCCCGAGCAGCTTTACAGCTACCTCACAACTGTTGGGTGCAGTATGTCTCACCACAATGTTTTAAGTCTAGTGCAGCTATCCTGTCTGGCTTAGTTCGACCAACTTAAACCGCAAAATCAGCGTCACATATCCTCCGGATGCGACGGCGGCTACGCTATTGGCTTCTAACCACTGTTATACGCCACGGGAAGGGCGTTTCGTTAGCGTCCGCCGTTTATGTCAAACCTGCGTCATTTACGAATGCGTTGGTGCATATGAAAGGCACAGCTAATTTATGGAATGGCCATCAAGCTGAGAGTAAGTCCACACGTGACAGCCGCTAACTACTGTAGTCAGGTCGCTTAGTGAATTCTACTCAATTCAAAGTGGTCTTTGATAGTTATGGTGGTCATCTTGTTTATTTCTCGTGTACATTAACACCAATTAATAGGGACCCAGTATGTCTGGATTCCCCCACCTGACCACTTCACTAGCTGATCCCGTCACGTTTTACATTTCATTCAAAGTGCCCAAAGGGTTGGTCAGAGCTTCATGACAAATACAAATATCAGTCTTCATGGGTACATTTGGCCTGACGGTACGCGCTCAACACGATGATTGCGATGTGATGCATGCGCGCCCACCGATGACACACAGCTCCGTATTGGGGTGGTGCCCGGGCTACGGGGGAGTGGCAGGAGACGAGCCGGATCTGACGTCACAAGATAAACCATAGGTGACATCATTTTCTAGCGCTACTGGTAAGGTTGGGGGTGCAGACGGGCGAACATTCCGTTCCTGCTTCCGTTCAGCTGTCGGTCCAGGCAAAGTCCCAATAAAGTGACCGTTCGTACGTTCCAAGAATTATCAAGTTTGAGTTGGAATATGCGGCGAATAACAAAATTACAAATTATAAGCGGGGAGCGTGGTCCGGCCGCTGAAAGTGCTGCCATGTAGGTGGGACTGGATGCTCCTTGCTAAGATAAATGCTCTCATCGTTTTGCTGACATGCGGGCATGCACGTAGTCCAAATACAATGAGTTTCGTCAATGAGGGCCTTAACCTCCCTGGAATTGTGCGCAGCCATGTGACAGCGATGACCACCGCCGCTAAATTCATTGCTTTTGTGCTCTTTCCGAGCACTACTTTAACCATACATCATCCGTCGTCCCTCCCGTCAAGAAGCAAACTCTGGCGTCGATCGTGCAACTGAGTATGTTACACGCCGTGCTCGGCTTCAGAACGCATCCGCCGTCAGCGGTTGACGGTGTCACCAGTTAGCTGGTACTGATACGTCAGTGGAGGCATCATCGTGATCTAAGGCCGCAGCGACCAGCGGCCACACCCGGTCCCGGTTTTGCATGTCAGACCACACGCATACGTCCCGCCGCGCTTCACTCAGCACAGCCGAGATACGCTGCACCCGACGCGTCCTCAATCACGGGGTCCTCACCACCACCGCGCACCGCGTCCTCGCCGGCGGCGGAGCGGGCGGACGCAGGGCACAGCCGCGCGTGGCAGCGCAGGCCGGAGCGGTGGGTGTAGGCGCGGCCGCAGCCGGCGCACTGGAACGGCCGCGTGTCCGCGTGACGCCGCTGGTGCACGGTCAGCGCGTCGCGGCGCGCGAAGCGACGCCCGCACACGCCGCAGCGGTGCGGCCGCTCGCCCGAGTGCGTGCGTAGGTGCGTCTTCAGGTGGCCGCCCTGCGAGAAGGCGCGTCCGCAGCGCTCGCACATGAAGCGCCGCTCGCCCTCGTGCACGGCGCGCGCGTGCGCGCGCAGCTCGGACGCGAACGCGAAGCGCTTTCCGCACAGCTCGCACTGGAACGCGCGGCGCGCGTGCGTGACGGCGTGCTTGCGCAGCGACGAGGAGCGCGCGAACTCGGCGCCGCACGTGGCGCACACGTGCCGCGAGTCGGCGTGCTGCTCGGCTACGTGACCGAGGAGGTGCACGGGCCGCGGGAACTGCCGCGGACAGTGGGCGGAGCGCAGCGGCGGCGCGGCCTCGTGCGCCCGCTGGTGCTCCTTCAGATGGCCGCTCTGTGAGAAGGAGCGCTCGCAGACGGCGCAGCGGTACGGCCGCTCGCCCGAGTGCACTCGCGCGTGTACGTGCAGCGTCTGGGGCTCCTTGAAGGCGCGCCCGCAGGTGGCGCACACGTACGGCCGCTCGTTGGTGTGTGTGCGCAGGTGGCTGGTCAGATACTTGGCCAGCCGGAACGCCTTGCCGCAACATGGACAACCGTACGGCTTCTCGCCCGAGTGTATGCGCTGGTGCGACGCTAGCTGCGACGCCTTGGCGAAGCGCTTTGCCGCACAGGCAGCGCAGGCCGTCGTCCGCCAGCGGCGTGCGGCAGGGCCGAGTCTGACCGGCTACCTGACCCGCGGCGCCGGCGGCTGCCGTGGGCTCCTCCGAGGCGTCCCCAGCGGGCCTGGCAGGTTAGGACGGGTGTTTTCTGCAGGCCGGACGTCGCCTGGCGGATCGCAGGAGGCTCCCACATGGTCCGGGACCCTCGCTCGGTGACTGCAGCTCAGCTCCCTCGGCCGGTGCGATCTGCACTGTGCTGTCATCGGTCGGTGGCCTCTGCTCTTTGGCACCGCCAGGAAGGCCAGACTTTTCCCCGCCATTGGCAGGTGGTGTCAAATGGATTCTGGGTAGTGGCTGTTCACCAGGTGTGCAAACGCCGAGTACCGGTGATGCGGCGACGCCGAGCATCGCTGGTGCAGCGACACCAGCGATACCAGCCTGGAGAGCGGCTTCGTTTGGTACCGGTGCCTCCGCAGCACGGTTCTCCACCTGCACTAGTTGGCTACCCAAACGGAGCTTTTTCCTCGTGGACTGTTTCGCTCTTGGTCCGGTCATGGTGCCGGTCTGCCTTCGCTTGGATGTCCGTGATGCACGCTGCTCGGCTCCCAAGATCCTAGGAGAAGTTGGCCTACTTGGAGAACTGGCGTCCTTACTTGGCTTGGCTTCGCTTCTGCCATCGGCGGTCGGGTCGGGCGCACTGGCGAGCATGCTGCTAATCGCTTGGCAGTCACGCTTCAGTGCGGCAGCCAGGGTCCCCGCACCGAAGCCGCTACCCTGGGGTTCCGGGAGCAGGCTACCGCCGCAGATGTCCTGCTCGGGAACAGCGAGACGGACGCTGGCGTTGCCGGCAGCACACTCAGCCTCATCAGCCCCGCTGGCTCTGCGAAATTCTGCGGAGTCCTCGTCCCCCGCTCTGGGGCGTGCAGAGCCGTCGCCGCCGCCGCCCGGCTCTGCTCGCGTAAGGCCAGCGGGGGCGCCGTCGCCGCCCCTTGCGCTGGCTCGCAGCAGCAGCTCATCTCTGTGCCGCTCCGCGAGCGTCCGGTGCCGGTGGTAGCCGTTGAGCAGACCGGCGCACTGGCCGCAGACCAGCGGGCGACCGCTGGCAGCCGCGCACAGCCCCAGCTGTCGTGCCACGTGCGCCAGCGACTGGTGCGCCGTGTCCGTCACCGTGCGCTGCAGGTCCCAGCAGTCGGCCGGCAGCCGGCCGGCGCAGACGCAGCAGAGCGAGCTGTCGGCGGCGGCCGAGGCTGCAGGGTCCGGCTGCACCGCCGCCCGGTGCTGGCCGTCGTCCGCCGGAAAAGCCATGGCTCCAGACGTCCATTCACTGGGAGTCACGCATCGGGAGGGCACGTCCGGTGACTCGCGTGGCAGCGGATATCTCGCACGTGCACTGTTTGACTCAGCTATTCGCTGTTCGCGGCGGCTGCTGGCCCATCGCAAGCGACGGTGAAGGGCAGTGCGTCTCCCACCAGCATCAGTCAGGGGCAGTGTGGCAGTTCAGTAGATCCGCGTGACGCCGGTCGTAGTGACGGCGCAGACCACAACGCAGCTGATCACTGCTGGCAGACTCCAGCTCAGTGCCGACAGTCAGCCGTCGGTTTGCTTATGTAGCGTGCCCGGTGTCTGGCACAGCGCTATTTTCCCCGCTGTGTAAACACAGACTTCAGCACGGCCCGAATGGCGAAACGTAAGGCCTGCTACCGCTTGCTTGCATCGATCAGCGCAAGTTCCCGACTTCTAAACATCGCCCGTTTGGAAGTCTGGACTTCACACATGGCTCTGCAACTGTAGAGCCCTGCTGATCGCAGAGTCACACGAGCGTGGGGAGCACGGCGACTTCCGATGTGGATCCGTTTGCATTACATGTTTGTTCCATGCAACCCCGGGCTTTATTTTCTTTTGAATAGGCGAGAGAGCTCCCCCAGCTCGGGCTCCCCCCCAACTTTGAGAAAAAATGGGCCAAATTTGGGAGAAACCGTGGAAATATTTTGTGGAAAGGGTGGGTCATTCTTCACTGCTCAGCTCCCCCCCCCCTCACGCACACCCCAAACTCATTTTGCAAACTATGCCTTTGCATGGAACATTCACTTATGTTGCGCTGGGCTCGATGAGTTTCTTGGATATTGACATCACCACCCACGTCGTAGAGCAGAGCGCGAACAATAGGACCATTCTCCTTCCTGGATGTTAGCCAATAGCACGGCAGAATTTTAAAAATGCGATGCCAATAATGCGGAAACCAAGTCATGATCACCAACGATGGATGTTTCCCTTCACCGGCGAGCAGGTTCGTTACATCGCTGGGAATGAGACTCAGGAGATGTACCTGAGACTTAACCGAGCGTGTGGTTTGTCACGTAACGAGATCCACATGCTAACCGTTACAACAAAACATACACCACCGCCGGAACGGCGCTTTAACAGGCCCACCGAAATCAAGACTAACCGACGTAACTTCTCAAACAGTACCAGCCGTCCTTCCAGCCCGCATGCTACTCGTCACATAAAATACTCATTGAGTTTGCTGTCACAGGTACTTGCCACAGTTACTGACTAGCCCCAGGATGTCCAACTAGGGGAGACGGAGGCGGACTATTATAACACATCCGGTTGTCCTTCAGTTGGAGTGGTTTCGCAGCGCATGCACCTCGCCAAATGTTCTAGTTTCTGGTGCCATCGCCTGGCCCTGTCTTGTGCATGGCGTCACCGCAGTCATAAATAAAAAAATGAAAGTATATTGGAATATAAATGGCGTCTGATGACGCTTCTGTTTACTCAACGTTACTGGGCATCCTATTCGTGGCATGAAAATGGCGGTGCTATTTTTAGAAAGCAAAATACGGCCCGGGATCACGTCAATACAACCCGAGCCAGAAAGATGCAGTTGACACAAACCACACTCTATTTGCTCACATCCGCCGCAACTTCACACACTGGCGAGCACAGCTCGTATCACATGGGTTCACCGTAACAACAGAGGTCCGTTCTTCACCGGCAAACGCTGGCCCGAGGCAGCTGCTAACCGTGACGTCACAAGTACCCTCGCCACACGCTAACGACCACGAAGGCCAAAAGACAGCCCTGTTGTGGCACAGCATACAGCATGTCACAACGTATGTCATATATTTAACATCGGCATGCCATAATGACATGATATAGTCATGAACCAATGCCCAATGTCTCATTGACACATGCCATTTGATCCGTGACATCACATGTGGCTGCATCATATCAGTGTTTGCCACCGGACTCTACACCGCCACCCGCTCCTGGCCAGCCGATCTGCCATCAGCTGGCCGCCGGTCCGCCGGACGCCGGGCCGTCGCCGTCGTCGTCGGCGGCCGTCGGCTCGTTTCGGCAGATGACGGACACCCTCCGGCCGCGCGGCACCCGCCGTTCGGCGAACGTCGACAGCGACGCGCTCAGGATCTCGTGCGTGTAGTCGTAGCGGGCCGAGTTCCTGCGCGCGCACGAGCGGACGGGATGTGAGGAGCGTTCTGGGCCCGGTCAGATGTGCTGGGGTCACGCTGACACAGGCGCGCGCACGACTGGACGGGATGTGAGGAGCGTCTGGGGCCCGGTCAGATGTACTGTTGTCACGCTGACACACGCGCTGGCCCAGCGGCGCCGGCGCCCGTCTCCAGATTCCCAGGCGCCGCTGCCCTCATAAAAGATATACAGGTGCAGCAGCCATGGACAGCAAGACAGTCATCCATTTTCAGCCAAACGTCAGCTTCTTCCGTCGCACTCCAGCGTGTTGGAATTAGATTGAAACTGCGGCGAAAACGAGGCAAACAAAGGAACGAAGTAAAAACGTAACATGTGCTACAGGGTCAAAGCATGTAAGCATTGGGGACATGGGAACAGGCCTTTCATACTTCGGAAGAAACGAGAGGGACGCTGATCTGTCCGCATCTGGGTGAGCGCGACAAAGCGCAGCTCCCACGCCGCACGACCATGCGGTGAGTGGCGCGGCATGCCAGCGGAGGCCGGTGGCGAACGGACGGCGCCGCACCACCTCAGACGGCGGACCACTGCACCAGGGGAGCCGGCGGCAGCTGGTGCCCTACCTCATGACGTAAAGCGAGCGCCGCCCCAGCAGGGCGTCCAGCCGGCGTTCGGGCTCGGCGCAGCTGACCAGCCGCATCACGGCGTCCGAGAGGAGGCTCAGACCGGCGATCACGCTGCCGCAGAACTGCAACATCGGCGGCGGCGCCTTCAGCGTCGGCCTCCGCTGGCGGCCAACGGCTCTGGACGAACTGCTAGCGACGCATGAGCGTGTGGCGACGGACACGGCGGAGCACCCATAAAGTTATGATGCCGTGATGAGCCGCCAGGGGAGTTGTGTCGGCATGGTAAGTAGAATCTGCTCCAGCCTTTTGACACTATCAGATTCCACATCCGCCAGCACTAGCACGAAGACACGCTACTGCATGGCTTCATTCAGTAGCAGTGATCAGCCCTTGGCGATATCACGAACCCATCTCGGCACAAACACGGCAAGCCAGCACGGGTTCAGCCGGCGCCCCGCCGTTCTCCGCCCCGCCGCGACGCTCACCCGGCGGCTGTCCACGTGCGGCTTGATGACGCCGTCACCGGCCAGGTCCAGCACGTGCACGTGGCGCAGCTGGGCCGTGCCGACCGGGAAGGCCAGCCGGCGCACGCGGTCGAGCACGCGCGCGTTCTCCGGGTTCCACTGCAGCCGCTCCGTCTCGCGGAAGCCATGGATCGCCTGCAGCAGGGCCGGCGTCGGGATGAAGCTGCCGTCGACGGCGCACCGCTGGCCGCTGCCGTCGCTGGTTGGCATGTGTTGCCACGGGGAGGGCTTGGAGACCAGTCGGACCGAGGTACGTCCTCCAGTCGGATCGTGAGACGCCCAAGCCGGACTCCTCACGCCGCCAATCAGGTGGTACTAATCTGGTCTGGCTGGACCCAGTCACATGAACTAGCCACCAGAAGGACCAAGCAGGTCCACTTACTGATAGAGGCAGATGGTGGGGGGAAGATGCTGCATTACAGGGACCAGAACAGTGATATGAACAGGGATGTGTCACATTGACCTATGAGACCAGTTTGAACCAACTCCAAAACAATGGATCCAGCAAAATGGTTGTGGTGGACAATGTAATGCACACTGTATACCAACTATGGTAAAACACTCTGGTAAAACACTGACACTGGTTAAACCATGTCATTGCTTTCATTATATTTCATCACAAAGCATGATCTCACAAAACTGGTACCTAGAAAAGCATGAGGAAAGGCCTACAATGATAAATAATTCTGAGGTGCCTAGAACCTGGTGGAACAGTTGGTAAGCACCCAGCAGCATGAAACCCCATACTATTCATCACTGTTTCAAGGTTACATCACATCACCAGCGCTCGATACTTACATCATCCCAATGGTCAAACTCATACCTCATCCTCTTCAAATATGGGCCAATTTCTCCCATGATACATTCCTCTTCAGATTCAGTGATGAAATTGTTAAAAACCAGCATATCTTGCAGCATGGTAGTCCTGGTTTCCTCAGACCAGTTGCCATGAAGAACAAGGGAGTCTTGATCTGCCTGATAGCTCTTTTCATGGTGTAGTGCATTACTGCATTGCACTTTGGAAGAACATGCAACTTGTTCATTTCCTTGCTTCACAGAATTAAAGAGCCTTTTTCCTAATCTTTGTCTTCCATTAAAGCTTGTCAAAACACATCTCTTCCAATGCAAGAGACAGTACAGTACCATGGCCACAGCTTTTCTATTTATTGGTTCAGTACATCAAGCCTCTGAGAAAAATCAAATCTCTGTGAGTGCCATAAATGTTATTAACATGTGAGGCTTTACCCTCACACATCAAAAGCACTGTCAGTCTGCCATGCATGAAGCTTCTCGAAGGATGGCCAGGAAACAATACTTATAATATTAATGCTGGCCTGCCGCCTTAGGCATACTCATCTGAAGTAACGTTATAACGCATTTCTTCCCCCCCCCCCTCCCCTCGAACAAACCTGGCAGTGTCATCTTTATCCTTCGCAATGACCGCCTCAATCTACAATCACTCATTTCACATTCAGTAACGATGGTATACACTGCAGTCGCGACCATTAGCGATTCCCAAGTTTATAAGCGACCCCACACTATGATGTAAGAAGGAGTACTTTTTGTTTATGAATGCTCACTTTTCGACACAGCAGCGCCAGTTTCCGCTGTATTTGAGAAGTTCGTTTTCCTCGCGGTCCGTTTTGACTGTTGTTATTTTGCCAAAGTTGTGGTCTAATGACGTCACTGATACATTATATTTCGAAATAACGCCCCGGGTTGCCAACAACGTCTGACATAATTACTGCTCAAACTGTTGCCGTCGTCTAGAAGGCTAGTATCTAAACGGCCTTTCCCTCCCGGCTAGCTCAGTTGGTAGAACTCTCAAGTCCTTCTCTCACCATCAGAAGACCCTGGCTCGAATCCCACCAATTTCAA